TTACTTCTTGGAGATCTGAATATCCCTCGGATGTATAGTTTATTTTGTACTTTATTATTCCATCTGGAGTGTACTGTATAACTCGCAAATTAGTTACAACTGGATCATCTACTTTCGTTCCAGGTCTAATAGAATTGTAATAGCCAAGTCTGGCACAATCAGAAAAAAAGGTGTGAGACAAATAAAATACTTTGTAGGGTTGCTTGGGGCGGACAGACTTGATCAAATCAATGTAACTCTGGGGGCAGTAGATAGGTCTGTTTCTGATCTTTTGTTCAATTGTACTGTGAACACTGTCCACTTCCATCTGAGTGTGACCTTTCTCCAAATACTTCTGGACTATGGTAATATCGTTGTTGGCTGCACACTTGAGCAGGGTGTTAGACATGGTAGTGTTACGGTTTTGGTACGTACACCCGTCACTGTAAATTATGAGCGTTTTCACTTTTGGCGACATCATCCTTACATACTCGAATATGCATGAAGCAAAAGTATTGGCTGTTAGTTCACCTTCGCCTTCATGCCAAAAGAAGCATGTTACATCTTTAGTAGCCAAATCGTATATCGTAAAATTGTGGCATGCCAGCTTGGTTTTATAATACATTGCTGATGCTTGTAATCGAGGTGATAATAATACAGCCTGTAAATCCATGGTAAGTACCTTGACAGATTCATCATTTTCATCAACAAGCTTATCTTGTACCTTAGATAGCCGTGCATCAGCCTTCCGCTGGATGTGATTGTCGTATACATCTTTAGTCAGATTCTGATTCTCGAACGCACAGCAAACATCACACTGATCTTTTTTTGGTCGAAAGAGTGCCAAATTTAACTCATCAAAGACACTGTGGAATGCTTTCTTACAAAGAGCAGTACCAGCATTTGACAAACAATGATCTTTGTAAATTCTATATAGATCTTCAAATGAAACGAAGATAGGCTCTAAATATGATTTAGACGTTGATGATCTGCAGTAATGTGAAGTTAATTTGCATAAAGACTGCAGAAAATCTCTAGCTTGATCATGTTGAACTCCGGTTGTCTTCAGTACCTTTCGTGATCTCTTTGGTGCTTTAGCAGGTGACTTTGTTTTTTTCGGAATATTCCATCTGTGTTACCTTCTACTTTACGCTCCGCTACTTTCTTTTTGGACACTGAATGGACTACTACGCACTGCTTTTGATGCCAATTTAAAGCCCAAAATTTATTAAACAAGGTAAGTCTATCGTCCTCAGAGAACACATCACAAAATCTTTGTTTAGACTTCTTGCAAAAATCAGTACAGCCTCGTGGACGCAGTTGCCGTCCTGGTTTTTGTACCTTTAAACTTTTTCCATTTTCAATTATAGATCCTATGTAATCTTTTCCCTTCATACGTCGATTCATATTTACATTTCTTGTCCAAAGATCCGGATTTGCTGGTTTATTTGGCTTGAGTTTAGCAGGTGTCAAGTTTTCATCTTCAATTGTAACTTCCTCTTCTTCATTGCTGTAAGCGTCTAAAAACTCTCTCCGTTTGGGTCTGTAAGAAGGATCTGCTACAGAATCATCAAGATCTGTTAATTCATCCTCTGATAATTGGCTGTACATAGGCCGTTCTTTGTTTTCTGGAAGTGACATGCTTCTTGTGGCAGTTTCATTGGAAGGCATTATTTCATTACTTTGAAAGGTAAATCTTGGACTCCATGTATAAACAAGACTTGTATCATTTGGTACTCTTGGTTCCAATCGTCTAAATTTTAAACGTTCTCCATTTTCTTGAATATCAAATATTGAGTTGTTCGCATTATCTTGTTCTTGGCTAGTTGTGTATTCTATTAGGTTATCTGTCAAAACCATAGGTTCATTCTTTCTCTTCATTGAGATATCTGATTGAAGAATACTTTCAATCATTTTGAGATCTGGGTTATATTCATCTATGCAATTTGCAGCGTTAATCTCTTTTGAGTTGTCAGTCCAGATTCCAAAGGTTTCTGTTCCTGCAATTGTATCCATGCTGTTATTCATCCATTTTTCTATGGGTGCTATTGCCGTAGCTGTCCAAATGTCTTCTATCGGTGTTATTTTACTACTCTCCTTTGTTTCTGATATATTAGGCGAGTTACCATTTTCTATTATTACACGTAAGTCATTGTTTTCTCTTGTTTCAGTTAAGTCTTTGTTTTCTCTTGTTTCAGGTAAGTCTTTGTTTTCTCTTGTTTCAGGTAAGTCTTTGTTTTCTCTGGTTTCAGGCAAGTCTTTGTTTTCTCTTGTTTCAGGTAAGTCTTTGTTTTCTCTTGTTTCAGGTAAGTCTTTGTTTTCTCTGGTTACAGGTAAGTCTTTGTTTTCTCTTGTTTCAGGCAAGTCTTTGTTTTCTCTGGTTTCAGGCAAGTCTTTGTTCCCTCTTGTTTCGGGTAAGTCTTTAGTTTCTCTTGTTTCAATTAAGTCTTTGTTTTCTCTTGTTTTAGGTAAGTCTTTGCGTTCTCTTGTTTCAGGTAGGTCTTTGTTTTCTATTATTACAGGTAAGTCTTTGTTTTCTTTTATTACAGGTAAGTCTTTGTTTTCTATTATTACAGGTAAGTCTTTGTTTTCTATTATTACAGGTAGGTCTTTGTTTTCTATTATTACAGGTAAGTCTTTGTTTTCTTTTATTACAGGTAAGTCTTTGTTTTCTCTTGTTTCAGGTAAGTCTATGGTTTTTGTTTTTTTAGATGAGTCTTTGTTATTTGTTATGATGGGTGATTTTCCATTTTCGGTTATTGAATTTATTTTAGATCTGGATTTCAGGGACAACAATACAAGCTGCTGTCCTCTGGAAGGTGGTCTTTTTGACATTTTCTGCAATAAACAAGAACAAATGAAATAGAATGATGTATCCATGCAAAAAGGACGTATATCATTTGACGTTCTCGATAGCGATACTTAAACGATGATACGGTATCATTACTGTTTAAGAAGTTGGTATTTGAAATAGGCCAAAGTCGGGTGATCACAGAACAAATAAAGCTGCTAAAATGAATTAAATAAATAGACTTAATACGTTTTTTATTCCCTTTTCTTACCTCATCAAATTAGGCTCCTTATAACGTCAGTTGTTATTGTTGACAAAGATATACGTCTTTTTGACATACATTATTTTAAGCCAATCGATATACATCCTTTAATCATATGACCCAATATGTCACTTTTAATTGGCTTAGAGATATGGTATCTGTACCATTCGATGCTCCTATTCACGGGGGTCACGTTAGTGCAGAAAAAGGCTTTCGCGCCAAAACCGGATATATGACCTTTTGATATCCCACCGACGATATATATCATATTAAAGCTTGGATCAATATTGCCCCGCCCCACTTCAAATCCATTGTCTGCGTTAGAAAGTTAAAAAAACGTGCCATCACATTTCTAGTACTTATGAGGACTATTTACATTATTCAACACTCAAGTCAACCCCACAAAATGGTGCACTTGTCCCTTTTAGTAAAATCTATTCTGTGCTATTCAAAATCATAGAAGAATGCCAATACTACTGTCTACTCAGGCTCTTATGACTCAATCGCTTTGTTGTTTACACCGTGTAGACAAGATTTATGGTAAAATTGTAAGCTTACTGTGAGTTTAATATCTATCCAATATGCACTTCACGAATAGAAAAACACATCCACACTACTAAAGTCCATAAATTTCAACACCTAGTAAGTTTATTTATTGCAAACTTTCGATTGGTTGGCAGGGATTGAAAATAATGAAATTCTCTCCACTATTTTCATGAACTTCAAGAACATTTGACATCAAGTAACTCGTTGGGTTGGACCTTGTGATACAGACAAGGCTTGAAATAAGCGTCCAGACACAGACGCTGTCCGGTACATTTTTGGCAAATTTCTGGTACAATCTCATTTGAGCCGGACTTTTTTTTTTGTTGAAAAGATCGTTAATTAACAGCGATTAGAACATTGGCTATGAAATTCTGGCTATGCCTTGGAGAGGTACAGTTATGATTATAATAACTATGAAGCTGATTTATATCAGCTTGTAAAGCAAAGCTGACTATCTGTTTAAACAAATGAAAGCATATTTTATTAAAGTAGAATTTTTGTGTTCTATTCAACTTGATCAAATGAAGCTCTCTTAAATATTCTTTTCTGTTGATTTTATGTTTTCTGAAAAAAAAGATGTTTTCATTGATTGTAAGTCCCAATAAAAGAAAGTCATAATACAGCTTTTGAAAAACTAATATTTTTTTCTATTAAGTCATTGATGTAAGCTTTGATTTTGTTATTATTGCAGTCAAACTAACTCAGTAAACACAGTCAAATCGTTTATCATACAATTGAACATTTATTTCTGCTAATACTATAATATAATGTTGTTTTCTTTTCAGGAAAAATTATGAATCATCAGGGAAATTTCCCAGGACCACCTCAACCAGGAGGGGTACCACCAAGACCTGGTATGGCTCCTCCTAACTATAACCCATCTAGTCAAGCTGGTCCTATCAATGGACACTCACAAGGAAATTTCATGCCAAATGGTCCTCATGGAGGATTGATGAATGGACCATCAGGAATTCCACCAAACTCCATGGACTTTGGACTTAAGCAACAATTTGGTGCAGTTCCACCTCCAGTGTCTAATTCTCAGCAATCACCAGCAGGATTTCCACCTTCGGGCCAACAAATGCCCCCACCAGGACCTCCTGTGATGGGACAAAGGCCTCCTCAACAAATGGGTCAAAGGCCACCTCAACAAATGGGTCAAAGGCCACCTCTTATGGGTCAAGGACCCCCTCAGATGGGACAAAGGCCTCCACAAGTTGGGCAAGGACCTCCACAAATGGGACAAAGACCTCCTCAAATGGGGCAAGGACCTCCACAAATGGGTCAAAGGCCTCCACAGATGGGGCAAGGACCTCAACAAATGGGTCAAAGGCCTCCACAAATGGTGCAAGGACCTCCACAAATGGGACAAAGGCCTCCTCTTATGAGTCAAGTTCAAACCGCGCCATCTGGAACACCTCCTCCTGCAAATAATAATGGGATTTTTTCATCTAATAATACACCAGTTTATCAACCAGCACCTTCAGCCTCAAATCAGAATCAGTTTGGACCAACACCATTGGTCAATGATACACAAAGTGGTGAGTAATCTAGTGTTTTTGGGTTTGATTAGTTTTGTTTTGAAGTACCAGTAGAGTATGTAAAGAAGATATTTCGAAGTCAGCGTCTAGAAAATTGATTTTATATCTGACATAAGTTTCAGTCAACTATATGTACAAGATAAACACAATTGTCAATTAATAAACTTTCATTTCAACATCTATCATACCATATTTTTGAAGCCAATTTTGAAAAATGTAGATTCATTTCATTTCCCTAATGCACTAATTAACATTTTTAAAGCTAACATATATATATGAAGGTGTTAATAGGGACGATGTTGACAGAGGTTTACTTGCATCATTTATAAATGCCATAAAATCAAACATTAAAATACACATTCACAGGTTTCTAGCACCACAAAACTAACAAGATTGACTGTCAGTGCTGAAAATTTTAAGCTTACATAATAAAGAAATTTACCTTACCTTGAATGTCATGTCCCTTATTGGAATAATATTTGTATTATAATTCTATATAGGAATAACATTCATATTGACATTAACACCTGTTACAGTTTACTTTCTTTTTTCGGTGTTGTTTTTTTCGCTTTATACTTTCCGTCTGTGTGAATTAAAGCATGTTATTTACTGTGCTATATTGTAGATATACGACCTGATGAATTACCAGTTCCTTTTCATGGCCAAGCTCAATATTCACATCAAATTGGCCCTTCCATGCTTCTCTCCCCTGGATCAGGTTAGATCTTTCTTTCTTGATAAATATTTTATCTTTAAAGGGATATAATACTTTAATATTTTGGTTTAACCTCTGATAAACTCAATTGAAGGTATCCGTATCACTTTTTATAATATGATTAAAACTGATGTGTATTGTATCAATACCATAAGCTTTCATTTAATTGAAGACATGTTTTAAGTTAGGTTTTTAAGTGGTACAGGTAAATTTATTTCTATCAGCTGGTTAAACAAATATTAACTAAGTCTCTTTAAATTGAATGAAAAGTTTAAAGTTAATGGTCGTATGATCAAAATTTCTTTTAAGACTATTTGATCACCTAAGAAAGCTTTAAGAATGGCTAATTATTTCAAATTAAAATAATTATTTGAATTATCTAGAAATTGTATTAGAAAACATCAGGGAATATAATATATAGTTTTGGCATTGTTAAGCCTGTGATCAAACCATATAAATCCCAATCATTTGTGTCTGTTAAAGAAGTTTATGCACACACCTATAAGACAAAGTCAAATACAAACTGTTGACTGTTATTTTACTGGCAGTACAGACTACAGGTACTAAATAGACAAACAATTCATTGATCAGATAAAACTACACATAAAACTAGTGTCTTCACACTTTTGTTGGTAATCTTATTTTACTGATTATTTTGACATGAATGGGACAAGAAGTTTGATAATGATATTGAAGACAGTAGTAGACTGGTTTATCTGACACCTCCAGTGTGCATAAATATCTTTGATTGACTCTACATCTTCATGCCTTTGTGTAGCTTTTAAATTTTTGCTTGAGTGCATTTTTTTACAATTATTTTAACAATGTGCATGTATAAACTATTGTAACTTTCTGAAGTAAAGACCAAGTCATTTGACGTTTATTAATTGAAAGAAATTAGTTAGAAATGTTTTTAATGTGTAAAGAAAGCGTGCAGTTTTCTACTCTTATAATTTTCATGTATGTGTAATTCACCTCACACAGAACATTAAGAGATTATTCAAATGTGCCTCAAACAAGCATGTAATTTTATATCTATACTTAGCTTGTCTAATATCAACTGCAATGTTTTGTTTTGTTAATACCTTTGTATCTAGTTCAGTTAAATTGCATGTTTAGATCCAACCAAATACTGGAAATCTCCAGTATGCATATATATGATTATGTGTTTATAATTATAGAACCATCATCCAATAAATCTTCAAGAGCACCAACTCCTATCAGTGGTCAGACATACGATGCTCTGGAGGGTCAATTTACACCAACTAAACAAGGTAGGTACTCAAGGTGTGAATTCTACTCTAGGTTTGTAGTGTACATTGCCTATGTGAGCTAATCTTGATAAGGAACCAAACCCAAGGCCCTCTCTACAAATTACCAGTATTAATACTATCATTGGTTTTTGGAGTATTAACACTAGCAGCACCAATTAATTTTGACTGATTCACCAATCATGCAGGTAATCTGCAGTCAAGATATTTTGATTAAAAATGGCTTATTTTTCAGGTCATCCCCCTTCACCTCTTGTAGGTACTAGTCAACCTCCTCTCCTAAATCAACCGCCAGCCAATCAAGATATGGGTCAAAGGTCAACTGGTATTACAGGCAGACGTCAATATCCGCAAGCTCCTACTCAGGTAAAGGATTGTTACATTATTTTGGATCATTTGGCATTCAGGCTAAGATTAGAATTGAATTTTCTGCTGCAGATATTACATGACAAAGTACCAACAGTCAAAATTTCTTCAGTACGGTATGTATTTATTGTAGGACTTTATATCTCAAAATTGATACATATAGCTCAGAATGATCTTTTAGTTAATATATTCAAATATTCAGACATCCCCCAATTAATGTGTCTGTGCTATGAGGCATTAAAGCTTTATCCTCTATTACGATTTTGCTTTGAGGAGCTTAATGACTTCTGTTTTATATTTCAGCCAGGAGAGAACTATGGGGCTTACCAACCAAATAAACCACTAGATCCCATGCAGAGAGGAGGGGGTATGCCTCCCTATGGTAATCTTCAAGCTTCAAACCTCCCCCCTACACTACCAGTATCAGGGTACCAACCCTCTACTGCTGGTTACAATCCAAACCCTAATCCAAATGATCTATCTACCAATTTTAAAAATTTAGCTTTCAACGTAAGTAGCTTCATTAGTTTTATTAGAAATTATATATAATATTATGACTGAATCTATATATATATTACCAATGAAATGATATTGTTTTAAAAATACTTCTAAGCAATTTTGCCAGAACAGTCTGACGCCTTATAAAAATAAGAAAATTATTTTTCTTTATGTTTTAAGGAACGCACTACAACAACTATAAATTTATTAAACGAAAAGAATTTAATACATCGTGATGGTTTAGAGACGGTAAAACCCAATTTACAACATGATTTTAAAAAGGTCCATTGTAATCCTGAGTAAGTATATTTAATATACATCAAATTGATTTATAGGTCTAGGTGAGAAAAGAGGTTAAAGATACATCCGTTAAACAAGAATTGACTGAAATATGATCACAAAAATATTAGGTCTATTGAGAAGCCTTGTCCTAAAAAGATACTTTAAATTTTGTTGAATTTATGTATACATGTTGAGGTTTTATCATTACGTACCTATAATTTATTGTATGTTTTTATTTTTCAGAGTTTTTAGATGTACATTAAATGCAATGCCTCAAACTTCGTCATTATTAAATAAAGCTCGTTTACCATTAGGAATATTAATACATCCATTTAAAGACCTCTCGGTAAGTTTCAGTCCTTGTTTAGTTTTTCTCCTTATTTCTTGTTTTTAACTATTTGCTTCTTGAATGTTTTGCAGTTAATTAGCTCTAACCTTGCTTTAAATATTATTTGGTTATCAATAAAATTTTGTGATAAATTTTGATACAGATCTCGAAAGAGATATAAAATTTGTTATAAAGTTCTAGAAGATTTTCAAATGATAGACCTTTCTATATATATATTTATCATTACATATTATATATAGTTTGTTTAAAATTGTTGCAATTCATTAGAAAAATTGATTGGAAATAAAGAAAGTCGTCATGGCTATTTCAGGAGAAAAAACCTTATCTTGTGAGTAAATGATATGGATTAAGGGTGTAGGGAACTTTATTTACATGTACTTTCTTATATTATTAGTAAGCTAGTTCTAGGGCTAAGGTTTGAGCACTTAGGAAATGGATATACTTAAAATACTTTTATTATTTTCAAATATTTTATTTTTAGATCTTATAGCACTACCTTACTCATTCATTTACTCGTTTCTTTCTATTTTATCATCCCATATGCCACCATTTAATGAATGATACTGATGAAAACCTGTTAACTGCTGGGAAGCAAAATCAACTTTATGAGAAAGATACTGTATATATTATTATAATAAGTATTTTTTGGATGGAAATCATCTGAAACTTAATGACTGTTACTTAGCTTGTGACAACTTCCAACATAATTGTCTCTGTCAAATCACAAAGTTAGCTGTTAAAGTTATTTGGTATAGAAACCTTTCTGACAGATAAAAATCTGGACCAGGTGTTCTTATCCTCAGATTTAACCAGAAATTCTGTTATATTTTCAGCAATTACCAGTAATTCAGTCTAGTGTAATAGTGAGATGTCGGTCCTGTCGAACCTATATCAATCCTTATGTACATTTTGTGGATTCGCGACGATGGAAGTGTAATCTATGTTATAGAGTTAATGATTGTAAGTATGAATATTATGTATAATGACTTGCGTGAAGCTTAGAATAAAATTGTTACAAGATTATTTTGTTTATTCACTGTTCATTTCTTGGTAACAAGGCTTCTATTTTCTAGTTTGGACACAATGACCTTTCTCAAATAATTTTTTACTGTTTGTATTTCCAGTACCTGAAGAATTTAGTTTTGATCCAGTAACTAAAACATACGGTGATCCACAAAGACGACCAGAAATACGTTCAGCAACTATAGAATTTATAGCTCCTTCAGAATATATGGTAAGTAACTTAACATCCAATTTACTAGAGATCATGATGTTGTTAACCCATTTTGTTGGCTTGTTTGAACAATTTTTTAAAAATTCAAAGTGCACTGAATATTTCAAATTTGAGGATTTGAATGCTAATTTATAACTTGATTTGGCTTTGAGTTGGCACCTGTTTAAGTAAATGCTTTTGAGTAAAACTATTGTGTACAGTAGATGAATCAACTATCTTTGTTGAAGAAGAATAATAAGGTGTATGATCATTGAAGTTTATTAAAATACATAATTTTATTCATTCACTAGACATCCTATGTACTTATGTGCCTTATTATAAATTTCTATTTTAGTTACGTCCTCCCCAACCTGCTGTATATTTATATCTATTAGATGTGTCTTTCAATGCTATTAGTACAGGTAATCATTTTTACTACAAAAATCCATTACTGCTAAAAACATAAATACACAATTGCAGGATACTGGTTTCCTGATATCAACTCATGTTAATAATATTCATTTGTTTGAGTAAGAAACTACCAGTATGTTGTAAGTAACTAAGAAGGGAGATAGGAATCATTTGAAAGTTAATCTCTAACACATGCTATGCTGCAGGTATACACTGGCCAAGAAATTGGGGATTAATGAATCTATTTGAAATAAACTTATGATATGGTAATGTCTTATTGTTGAAACTCTCATGAACCCCTCTGAAAATATCTTTACTTTTACATTATGTCTATATTTGTATTTATTGGTATATTTCAGGTTATTTAAATCTGTTCTGTCAGACATTATTAGATGAATTAGATAAAATACCTGGTGATTCTAGAACTCAGATTGGATTTTTATGTTATGATAGATCATTATATTTCTTTAATTTATCTGAAGGATTATCACAACCTCAAATGTTAATAGTTCCAGATTTAGATGGTAAGTATAGTATATAGTATTATATAACTTGAAGATTTCCTGTCAAATTTAGTCAAGTTCAGTAGAAATCTGCTAGCATGTCAGATAACATCAAGACATTATGGATTTCTATAAAAGAAGCAAGAATTGTATTAATATGTAATGAATTATATTACAGATGTTTTCCTACCCCTCCCTGATGAATTATTAGTGAATCTACATGAAAGTAAAGAGTTAATTAGTGATTTATTAAACAATTTACCATCCTTATTCGAGGGTAACATGGAAACTGGAAGTGCCTTAGGGGCTGCATTACAAGCTGCATATAAACTTATGGTAAGTCAAGATTTGGATGCATTGACAATTGTTTTAGAATCAACTTTAACTTATTTACCATTGCCTCAGTTACTCTTATTCTTTATTTGATTTTAAAGGACATATGTCTTTGTTCAATAAGATCATACTTTGATTTCCGATTCCATTTCAGCATCCAACTGGTGGTCGAATCACAGTCATGCAGACAGTTTTACCTACAGTAGGTCAAGGTGCACTACAACTTCGTGAGTCATCTTCTCAAACTTCTGCTAAGGTGAGCTAGTCATAATTTTATATTTTTTTAGGTGGTATCCCTAAAGCTTTCTTTAAAACAAAGTAATAAGAGTGATTCATGTCAGAAGTCAAATGTTAGGGTCCCGCTTAACAGAGTTTATGAAATATAGATTATATGGATTTGCAGTTTTCTAAATTTTCTTTTATTTTTCTGCAGAATATCCCACACCTTGGTCCAGCTACAGATTTTTATAAAAAATTAGCATTAGATTGTTCAGCACAGCAGATAGCTGTAGATTTATTTATGTTAAATGGCCAGTATGCTGATATAGCTTCATTATGTAAGTATTGAGCTCAAAGTTTAAGAGACAATATAAGAAAAGACATAGAGTCTAGTATGTGTTACTACTGTATGTATGGGGTTGTAATTTGTATAGATTCTTTCTCTGTCTGGGGTGTTATTATCATGTTTAACTATACAGCATTTACAATAGTGATGTTTATCAGGATGTGTTAGTCTTTTAGCAGGATGCAGGTGGGTAGTATTATGATAATTATTAATTGTAATCATTGAAAGTTATATAAATAATTTCCGTAATTTCAGCCTGTATTTCAAAATATTCAGCTGGTTGTATTTACTATTACCCATCATTCCATACTATAAAGAATATCCCAGTAACAGAGAAATATGAAGCTGATTTACGGCGTTATTTAACCAGAAAGATAGGGTTTGAATCTGTGATGAGAATAAGATGTACAAGAGGTATGTTTTGATTATCTATCTTATTATCAATATTGCTTCAATTCTTTTTTTTTACCCTAAGGAAGCACTTAAATTCAGCTTATTTAAACAGTGGCAAAATGAGTTGGCCTAAAAGATGTATGGAATTTTCTGTATAACTGGTTTATGATAAGAGATTATCTAAAAGTCCTAAGCTTATAAGTTTATCTTGTTCTTGTCATGAAATTTTGTTCACAACAATATCTCTGAAATCTCTTGTTTATATTTTCAGGACTAAGTATCCATACCTTTCATGGTAACTTCTTCGTTAGATCAACAGATTTATTATCATTGCCTAACATTAATCCTGATGCAGGATTTGGGATGCAAATGTCTATAGAGGATACACTAGCTGAAGCATCAACTGTCTGTTTTCAAGCTGCCTTACTTTATACTTCTAGTAAAGGTATGTAAACTCTCTTGAACTGTATTATAGGAAATGTTGTTTTGATTGTGTTTATTGTCCCAGTTTGTTTTCGAATTTTCAATTCTTTTTTTTTTTTCAAAATTAACACACCTACCTGTGCTTAGACTGCAAGAAAGTAGAAAATTGGCTTTTTGGGTCGATTTTCTTTGGGTTTTCATTTTTGGAATGTACATGTAATATCTAATATGATAGCACTTGAAGAGATTCGAAATTGGAAAATTTGTCGCACACCTTTTTTCTGCCTCAAAAGCAAAGTTCCACTCTGTGACACATGTGGCTCTAGTCATTAAATTGTTATTTTACTGTATGTTTGAATGATGAATAAAAAAATCAAAGAAGGTTAGGATTGGATATATCATGACTGTAGATATATAACATACATAATAATATGTTGTTAATTGTTTGTTGTTTCTCCTGATAGGTGAGCGTAGAATCCGAGTTCACACCCTGTGTTTACCAGTGACTAACCATATATCAGAGGTCTATTCATCAGCAGATCAACAGGCTATAATATCTTTACTGGCCAAGATGGGTATGTAGAATTTATCTTCACTTTGATTTGCATGTTAAAGTGGTGTCAGAAGCTCCTAACCATGCAAGTTATGTACAATACAAATATCTAAATAGTAAGAGAAAACCAACTATCTTTAAGCTAAATTAGTTATAACAAAGTAGTCAGCAGATATTTTATTACTATATGACTACTGTTTTTGGCTGCTAAAAAAGGCGTATCCAAGCTTATACTAATACACATGAGCAAATTGTTTGACCAGCTTTCATTTCAATTATATTACAGCTGTAGATCGATCATTAACGTCCAGTATGGGTGATGCTAGGGATGCCTTGATGAATGCTGCTATAGATTGTATAGGATCCTATTCTACTCAACTCAACTCTTCACAGAAAATGGGAGCTGTAGTTCTCCCTCACTCTTTAAGAATAGTACCTTTGTTTATACTGGGATTGTTAAAAAGTGTAAGTCTTGTTTTATTTTGATTCTGTTATCATAAATGATAAAGCTACCTTAATTTTGACCTTTTCCCGGGTTTTTCAATGTTCTCTTGTGCTTGCAGCAAAAGAAAGTAATTCAATTCATCGTGTTCATTTGGAAAGATGTGATGCCACTGATAAGTCCAATTTTAGACTTGTAGAAATTTTTTATTTAAATCTATTTATGATTTGGTCTATGTTTTTCATTGTTATAGTTTGTTTAATTACAGACTGGTTTTAAAGGAAATACCAATACCAAAACAGATGATAGAGTATTTGCTTTACAACAGTTTAAAGTTTTACCTATATCATACCTCTTACAGTCTATATATCCTTCACTCTATCCTGTACATAATATAACAGAACAGGTTTGTACTATCTTGATAAATCTATATCTAACTTATTTGTTGTGGTGGGAAACATTTTCTGTTTTCCAGGTTCAGTTGAGCTTTTATCTGTGTATGCATGGTTTGAATTCCTCATGATGTCAGAAAATTCAGGGTGCCATTAGGACCAGGACAATTGATACAACTGTTGCAGACAGTATTGAAGTCTGTTAAAATAATACTGTTGTTTTGGGATTTTCCAAATCAAATAACTAAAAACATATATATCATCATAACTATTGTTTACTGTAATCAACAACGTTTCTATTACAGTCAGAAGTAGTGAAATCTGGTACGTCTGTAAGAATGCCACCATTAATTCAACTGTCGTCTGCTAACATAGATCGTCATGGTGTTTATGTAATGGATACAGGGGAGAGTGTTTATATGATAGTGGGAGGTTCCGTTAGTGATACATTCTGTCAAAATGTTCTAGATAAACCTAATTTTATGTCTATTCCAGACACTATGGTGAGTTACTAGATTGCCATATCCTGTTCAATGTTTTTAAAAACATCACAACTTCTGTATTCTGGATTTTGGAGTCAGTTTTATGGCTCTAGAGTTGTTATCTCTCGGTATATACAAGTCATGTCTCACTTGAGATGAAGCATTGGACAATGTGTGTTATGAATATCATGTGTTCATGTTTTTGAGTAATCATATATTATTTTACTATTTCAGAGTGATTTACCAGAAATGGAGAATCCATTATCAATAGATTTACGTAATTTTATTAACTATTTATTAGATTGTCGTCCTAATGGCTCAACTTTCTTAGTCATGAGGTAAAGTAATGCATGTCTTTATATCATTGATAAGATTATATGTAAAATTTTCTTACATTTTTACAGTCAAAACAATTGTTTTATTTTACATTTTTTCCATTTTAAGAAAAAGTTTTCTACACTGAAAATATAATTTGAAGATACATTGAATTTTTAGTAAATCTTAGATTGTTTTTTCAAATATTTTAGAATATATTTGTTTTTCTTTCCAGAGATGATAGTAAGGCTCGACATTTATTTTATCAACATATGGTAGAAGACAGGACTGAGTCCAGTATGTCATATTATGAATTTTTACAATATCTTCAACAACAGATTAAATAAGGGGCAATAGATTTATTGTCACTTTCACACTTAACTTATAGCTGGACATGTTAAATTGCGTGTATTTACCAGCCATGGCTTATTGTCCAGCTATAATCTTGAGCCTGTTAAAAATAGAATAAGCAGTTGTGATAGTTATGACAGAAATTTGTATCAAATCAGTGAATATTACAACAGCTTGAGTTATAGACGAGAGAGGGAAAAAAAACAATAGCTACAGGTTGTCCTATTGGTAACAACAATGGTTTAGAGATGCAAAATGACCTGTCACTGGCTCAAGACGTGTAAAAAATATATTCTCTTTATTTGATTGATAAGAGTATAAACTAGAATATGTATTAGATAATCAATCTTCTTAAAATTTATAAGCCAGTATCAGCAAACATCTTGTAACTGAGCTTATATATATATAATTATATAGCTCTCATTAATTTGTCAGTATTGTTCATATATAGCCAGATGTTACAATATGAGATATATAATTAAGATAATCTTTTATAACTAACAATATTGGTGAAAACAAGCCTTTAATGTGAATCATTATTCAATTGAATTATATCTTCTCATACCACAGTATTTACTGTAAACCAAGTAGACTCCAGTCTCCAGTGTCAAATTACTTCATCCAAAGAAAATGTAGAAGTTAAATATGTTATTTTATTGGTGTCTCTAAAATCCTCGAACTTGGCTCCTCTTTCATTTTCAATCAATATTTGATGGCAATATTTATGTTATTCATTTATTTATGCAAATTAGTTACTATTATGTGAAATTTGAATAATTGTAGATTAATGAATATAATTGTTGTTTTGTGTCAAAATATAATGCGTTTATCTTATTTTAAATTTAATGCAACATTTTAAAAGGCATTGGGTATTTAGATCATATGCTTTTGCTCAACAAACTTATGTATTACTTCAGTGTAAGTTTAATATAAATATTGATTGATATCATTGATATTAATTATGCATAATTAAGGCTAAGACATTATGTGCCAAAGAAAGAATTGCTATGAAAAATTTAATGTATGGTTTTAAATCAAAAGAAGGTTTAATAAAAAAAAAATGTATCATACAAAGAAAACATCTAGTTCTTGAATAAAAGCACCAATAAACATATATTATAAGTAATAGATATTTATTTATGTTTTAATTTCATTGTTTGTGTTGTGTACATATTTTGAAAGCCATCTATCACATTTTTCTTTTAAGAAATGGAATGTTTATAATAATTTTCTGAATTAACATTTAGGTTTTTTTCATGTTAATAATTAAGCCCACTTTTGATTGATGTTTACTCCAGTTTGGGTTGTTCTACATAATGTCATTTCTAAGGGCTTGTACCATCAGCCCATCTGTTCCTTATGACACTTACTGATCCTGCTCTAAATACCAGAGCTACTACAAGTAGATAAACTACAGCAAGTAATATTAGTGCTTTGTTTTAAAAAAGTAAATATTTCACAAGGCGATAGAGTTTTTGCTGATTTTTCTTATGTTTGATTTGTATGTGAATATAATTTAGCAAACTTATTTGGATGTTTATCATGAATCTTCTCTTTTGTGATAGCAAAATAAGAGTTGCACAGGTCAGTTTTTAAAATAGAGATGTGGTGCTCTTAGGAAATACTTTGTTTCATCAGATATTTTGTTATTTCAAGACTAATGTGAAATATGTACTTTTTGTAGCCTCAGATAACCTTGAAACTAGCCAGTTGACAAAATAGTGGTTATTAAAAAGACTTGTGTGATAATAACAATGATAATAAAATATATTTACTGTTGAAATAATGCTCAATACGTCAATTGTAGAGTAATATACACATATTAAAACAGCATGAAACTCTTGAGTAACATGTTTCAGTTTCTGGGTTTTTATGAGTATAGTAATGATATAGTCACAGATGCTTATCAGTTTTTTGATCTCATTATGTTCTATTTCAATTCATGCTGACATGACATGCTTCGGTAGGTCTACTTTCACCAACTATGTTAAAAATGTGAATTTTTTTTTTATTCTATTGATTCATATTGTGTATAGGTGTTTGAGTAAATGAAGAATTGAAATAAATTTGACTATTTTACTGTCTTGGTAGATGTCAACTAGATCTAAATAGAATCCACCAATCATTATTGTATTTAAAATGTAAATTTATTCCCTGTGTGCTGTACATAAATGCTTTTATTTGTATCATACACCCTCCTACAATTAATTCATAATTTAAATATTATTCATTTGTTGAATGAATCACTTGTTTTGTTTATTTGTTGTTGGGGGGTGGGTCTCTATGTTGTTGTTAAATGTGTTTTGTCTGTATAAATGTTAATATTTCAATGGAAAAGGAATTGTATAGAATATTTTAATATATTCATGTATTGTGATGATTTAACAGTTAGATTTCTCTATAGTAATATTGCAGGTATAAGCTTATATTACTTTATCCCTGAAATATAAGGGTTAATTTAAGAATTACAACTTCTGGTTTTTGATCAATTTACTAGAATTCATTTTTAAGACACATTGATCTAAAGATTACAAAATCATCCATGGATAGAATAGTTGTATCTAATGTAAAATAGAGTCCTCCCAGATTCAAGTTTTTGTGTAAATTTTCCTGACTTGTCAATAAAATTACATTATTTATCAAGGTTTTGTTTATCAGTGAACAATATACACCTCAAATCTATACATGTACATTAAAGGAACACATTTGACCAATCTTACCTTAGTCTCAGAAACGGTAAATTATCACTGTTTAAATTTTAGCTTTCACATCCACGTGTGTCTGAGTCTGAAAGTTAAAATGACAACTTGTCTTTTCTTGATCTATGATAGAAAGTGAAATTTCTAGTTTGAGGTATTTTTGAAGGATTTATGCAAGGTTAGTACATTTCTAGTACTTCTGAAGAAAATGGCGAACCAGGGCCTTCTTATAAGTGTGTTATCCCATTCTATACAAAGTGTGTCAATATTCTATGTACACATATAACATTGACAGTTCATCAAAACAAAAAAAAATGAAAATTCTGCAAGTATGGCCGTAGTAAAGAAATTTTTAAGCAACGTGGCCATGACAATCAAAATTGCATGTACCAACACAACATAGGCAAAGAGTAAAAAAGTCATACACAGTCTTACAGCCCAACATATCATTAACTTTAGGAACTTTTTCACTCATAATACTAATATCTGATAACTAGAATTCATCTACAGAGAATATATTAACAAAAGAATCAAATTACATATAAGATTTTTTTTTTAAATCTATGAAATATGCTAGATTCAACATAACTTTTTATGATTATTGTTAATGTCTGTGTAGATCTATATAAAATTGTTGTTTCACTCTTTATACAGAGATTTCCATTCAACAGTTTCGATAAAACATGTCTCTTTGTGCATTTTTAACTGTAGAAATTTCCAACTTGACAGGACATTTAAACCAAGCACTTAACAACTCTTCTGTATAACCTAATAGAAAATAAGCCTGATTTGGAGAGAATTTTCGGTTGAGTAAAATGCCTATAGTGATAATGTTAAATCGTCGTTTTATGGTAATTTCAGACACTATGAGATTATGCCATGTTCCAATCATAAATTTCCTAATAAACATGTCATCCAGCAAAATTTCTGATGCTCCTCCTTCATCTTTTAAATTTGCTGAAAACAACAAAAACACTCATTTAAATTTAGCAAGATTAAGTTTCTTTAATATATAACTTTAAAACTCATCTTTAAAGAGAATTATGTCCACAGTGAATTTTTCTTTTATTGTAAATGACTGGTCAAGACACCCATGATATCAACATTCCTGTTTTTAAAATAATACAAGAAAGAGCACAATAACTCACTTGTGTTCCAGGAATTCCATGCCTTTTTCACTCCTATTTCATATGGTGGCAAGCCCTCTTCATAATTCAATGTTTCGATTTTACCTTTAGAAGGTTTAGGTACACCAGCTTTCGTGTTGAGATATGAACAGGCTGAGGTTTGAAAACCTCTACGTAACAGACGTTGTAGCTGTTGTAGTGCCAGAATACTTTTCTGAAATATAAGAGTTAAATACAGGACAATAGTCAAAAGACCGGTCTACTACTGGATGTATTGAATTAAAATGTTGAAGTTTATTTGAAATGCTGAAAGTACGGTACACTAGTACCCCTGTCTTCTTACTCCCCATACATACACTGGTTTTCAACATTCTTCTTATGTAGGAATCCAATATGGCTTCATAAAATGACGATGCAGTGGTTCAATAAACTATACTGACAATCTCACAGAAATTCAACACGAAAGTCAATATTCATTAATATACAGTAATCTAAAAGTAGGACATTATGATTTATGGAGTTGTCGAATAATGTTCGAATTAATTCTTCATCTAGTATAGAACCTTAAATATCTTTTATTCAACTGGACTGTGTATAAGTGTTCATGGCATCAGGATAGTTTATGCACTAAATTTTAATTCTGTGTTGTCTATTTTGAATGCTTTTGATTTTGAAACACTTTAGAGACTACAGTTTAATTTGATAGCAATGAATGACGACATACTTGTGTATATTGCTGTAATATTTTTACTAGTAGATGAAAGATAATATGGTAGATAATATGTCAAAATTGGCTTAGAGTTCAAGAAATCGTGAAAACACAAATAAATCTTAACAATTAGAGCTTAAATCTAAGCATTCCATGTTTCATCGAAATGTGATTAAAACTGACTCACTCGCCAATTTTGGACATATTTAGGGCAAATCAAGGGGAATAACTCAAAAACAGTTCTTCATCGTCTTTGTTACCTTCACAAGCTAATGTGGTCATACAGACCACACTTTCTTCAATCTCCCTGCTTACATTTGTGATTTAGTTTAGCTAAAAAATTTTCAACTTGTGTTCTAATAGAAACATTTTTATGGTTTTCTTAAAATTTTATGTGTATCTGTGACACTGAAAACAAATTTTTTGCACCATTCTAATTTGCAGACATCTCCTTGGTTCCTGCAATTCCACTAAAGCCAAGCATTTAATGCTATTATTAGCAGCTTTTGCAATGGTGACTTCTGACTGAAATTGAAATGGTGCAAATTGATGCTGTCAGTGTTCCCAGTACACATAACGCCTCTTTACAAACTGTTTTAGTGTACATGTTACAAGTAAAAACAGTGAAAATATGGATTTCAAAACATAAATTTTTTGCAATTGGTATCAATAATTTAACAATATTTGAATTCATTAACACAGAAAAACAAACAATCTACATATCCGGTAATGATCACAATTATACCCTTAAACAAAATTTGAATTTCCAGCAACAATCCAGATTTTAAATAATATAGGGCCTATATATTAGAAATGTACATGTCATGATATTGATTTAACTTAAACTGTGTTTCTGCTGAGGGAAATAGCTGGCTGTAAGCTAGCTTTCGTGTGTTTCCACTGGGCAAACTGCCGAACCGTTACACTGACATTTACATTAATACAATTCTGAGTGGAAACGTGGTTTTTGTGATCAGATAAAGAAAATGCTAAAATTATTAAGTATAGGCTTTGTGAATAGGCTACCTGATTTTGAGAATCAAAATAATATTATAAAATCATATATGTTCAACATTAAAAGTATCAGCTATTTGTTTCTAACATTAAATAATTTTATTTAAAGTACCTCTATCGTAAAAATTCTTGGAAGTAGAAATTTTGAAATAATCAAATTTTGGTAGAAAATAGTAAATTTTCACTCCATAATACCATCTGATTGAGCTTAATTTTGGCTATCCACAGCACTTTTCAAAATTAACATGTCTACGGATAACAAAAATTTGTTTTCATTTCATTGTAGATGAAATAGAAATATAATATTCATTCTGAAAAGTGATAAAGATACCTTAAATCAAGTTATATCAGCTAATCACATTAGAGGGGTATTCTGCTTTATATGCTATATATATCAATCTATCTCCTTTTTTAAACTGAATTTGTTTTAAAAGGATAATTCACAAGTGGTTGTCTAGCAAGATACGCTGATAAAGTTTTGGTGTATCAAGGGAAGTCACCAATCTAATCATTAAATTTTACTAAACCAAAATCTTATCAATTTTAATTATCACAACAATAATTCGGACTTGACCAAGATCTCATTGTTTTAAATGATCACACAGAATTTCATTAAAATCAGATCAAAACTGTACCTTCTATTGTGTTCACAAACAAATTTTGACTCGTTTTTACTTAGTCAAGGGCAAAACTCAAAACCGTTCATCAAAAATCGTCCAAATTCAAACTTGACCAAGATCTCATCAATATTAATAATCACACCATATTTCATTATTGCCTTTACTAGGTCAAGAGCCATAACTCAAAAACCGTTCATCGAAAAATCAGTAAATTCAAACTTGACCTAGATCTCTTCAGTATAAATGATTACACAAAATTTCATTAAAATCAGATAAGAACTGCAGGCTCTATCGTGTTCACAAGCCAATTGTGTACGACTGACAGGGGTGAGGACAATATGTATACGACCACATTATAAATTAGAACGGAGAATACTAATTGTTAATTAGGCAGTTGACCGTGTTTGGTGTTAGGCTTTATAGTGGCTTGATATTATTACTTGAAACCTTATTATTACTAGACACATTTCTCTACAATTAGGCATTTATTCTACTTAAATCCATACAGTTGCTTTCAAAATCACAACACGAACTTAAATGTTTAATAGTTTTGGTGTTGAAAAATTGACAGTTTGATTTTTTGTTAAGTTATAACTTTCAGATACGTTTAGGGACATAAATTTGCACAAAAGGATTTTTTCGACCTACAAAAAAAGCAGAATCCCCCTTTAAAAGTTATAATTGTATACCCTTAGATAATGCTCAAACTTGACTTGAATTGCCTAATTCAACCATGCATAGAAATATTGAAGTCATTACAAAATGTACCGGTAATTAAAATTTAGTAAAAAAAATTTTATTCTGAGATTGGTTTTTTTTTTATCAATTTATAAAGATTTTTTACAAATTTTGTTTATGATTGATATGATCTTGGTTAAATAAAACCATAATTATTTATTTGAGCACCATCATTAAAGGTTAACATGCATTCTGTTGATCTGTTTACGACTACCAGAACATCGGGATGAAACTGTGATCTGGGTAGTAACACCATCTGCATTCCATTCAGCACCATCTTTATGATTGGTAGTGATTGTCAAGCGGAACTCTGGTTTGTGTTTCTTGGACTTTGAACATTTTCCTGGTGACTTGGAATGTTTTGGACTCTGGTCAGGGGTATCTTTAAAAATGTCTGAGATGCTACCAATACTCTTCTCTGAATCAGGGGCACCAAGACTATAGCTTCCTGGATCACTGGTTTCATCATGAAGAATTTCTTGTGACTCTTCATTTTGGTTTACCATCTCTTCAGACTGCATCAATTCCGTTATCTTGGTGATTGGTTCCTCGAGGATCTGCAAAGGTTGATAAGTGTTGACATTGTTGGTGGTTGAAATTTCATCATCAGAAATAATTCTAATATCTTGAATTTCTGTACAGCTGCTATTAGTTTCAAGAAATTCTTCGATATCATCATCAGAAATAATTCTAATATCTTGAATTTCTGTACAGCTGCTATTAGTTTCAAGAAATTCTTCGATAGCATCTGACAGGACAGCGTTAATGGCACCATTTTGAATGTCAATTGAGGCATTCAGAGCAGAAGGCACTGATTTACCATTACTTGCATTAATCGGGCTGGAAAATTGATCAATGGAACCACCTTTACAGCTACCTTCCTGGCATTCCTTTTTCATCTCTGAAACAACCTGAGAATTATCAGGAGTATCATAAGCATTGTTTGAAAGGTCAACTAAACAGTCTTTCTCTGAAGTCACTTTCTGGAAACTCTTGAAATAAGGGTTAACAAATGTTTCTCGGTTTATGATTTTCTCATTTTCATGCTGCATGTGAACTCCATAATCTGTTGTTTCAGTTTTAGGACCAGTATTTGATGCATGGTTGTAGAATGGATTAGGTGATTGCTGGTTATAATCAGCAGTTACTATAGTAACAGTTGGGTTACTAGCACAACTTTCTTGCTTGCAGTCTTCAGGCTCTTTTGCTTCAAGATGAACCATATTAAATGTGGAATTTTTGTTTAAGATACTGTCAATATGTTTACTATTGTTATTTTCATCTGTAATCTTGTTGAAAGTTGAACTGGCAACAGGGATTGGACTGCTGAAATCAGCAATATCTGCTCCACAAATACTGTATGTGCTATTTTTGATGTTTTTGTCTCCAAGATCAAGATTATATGTTGAATCTGCTATGTCTTGAACATCATCCATTGTGTCGTCTCCAAATTTTTCCAAATTATCTACTTGTTCAAAATCTGAAACTTGTTTATTAGATCCATCCATTTGGTTGATGTCATCATTATTATATGTCTGTGATTTGCTGTTATCAACTAAATCATTTGAATCGCTTCTAGAATTTTCTGACCTTGACTGATCTATAAAACTTGATCCTTCTTCTTCAGAGGAAGACTGATTGAGGATATCTTCATTTGTTTTGGATTTGTTCAGATAATACCTTGTACTTGATTCATTTAATTCACTAGCATGATCATGTAATCCATTGGGTTCTTCAGAATTATCAAGATTTTCCTCAAAAGATTGATAGTCTTCATTAAATTGTTTGTCATCCAAAGAGACTGTTTGACTGTGATCAGTGGCAGTTTGATATACTTCTCCAGTGTCATCCACAGATTCTTCATCAATAGTATTCTGAACAAGCTGATTAAGTTCTTCAGGAACATCGCCATCTGTATAAGATATAAGCTCATCCTTCAACCCATCCTGAGTGATATCTGCATTAGTGGCTACATTAGGCATATCAGAACTGTTAGTATTTCCTTTTTCAAAAGATAGATTATCTTCAGATAACTGTTCTTCATTTAGCAAATATCTAGTGTTATATTCAACAAAGCAATTTTCAGAGACTTCACTGCATCCATCAGATATGCCATTGGATTTATGCAAGGTGTTATCTTTGGTTTCTGGATTCTGATCCAGAAGAATTTGTTCATCTTCATTATTGAAGAGCTTTACATTCTCTTCAGAAGTGGATTCATCTTCCGCAGTTTTAATATACTCTTCTTCTGAACTGATATTAGATTCTAGTTGAAGCGGATGAGCAAGATCCTCAAATGATTCCTCTGGGAAACTGACTTCAGAGCCACTCCAGCATTCCTGTTCTGGGTTTTCAGGATCAGAATCTTCTAGAACCAATGATGGTACATGTTCAAACGTTACTTCCAATTCAGAAGTTTCAGTCTGTTGAATTTGTTCTATTCTTATATCAGACCAAGATTCACTAAGCTCTGGCTCTACAGACTCTGTTGTATTAGGTAGCTCACTATTTGCTGAACTATTTGAGCTGTGCACAGGATCAGATGCAGTAGTTGATAGAAATTTTCTAAATTTAGCCAATTCTTTGTATTCTTGTTGAGTTCTTCTGGAACGAACTGAATGGTTTCCATCTTCTGTTTTGGTTGCAGTCCATGTTTCATCGTCAATGGGATTCAAATTTACAGTAACTCCACTTGGACCATGAGGACTCGAAAATGATGTACCAGTAGTATCTTTGAATTTCCCTTCATTAATTTTAGAGAAAGGGTTACAGCTTTGGATCTGCTCAGCCTTTCCTTCATTGAGAAACGTAATCTTTCTTTGACTTATCTTCTGCAAAGCTTCATCAATGGCTTCAAATTGCCAACTCCAAGAAATGTCATAGAGAATTTGGCGATGATCAAACCTGTTGTCATCTGGACTATAAGTTTCAGCATAGTACGATGGAGTGACAACTGTCATCTTGTGTCTATTAATGGAGTAAGACCGAAAGAAAAACTTCACCTTGGATGCAACTTCTGCTGGTGAAAATTGGGTCTGCCACATGTGTATTAATTTACAAAACATACTATATGGTCCACAAAATTTTTGCTTTCTGAGTTTCCCATAAACAGAGAGTTCATCATATGACATTCCCATATCTTGTTCATCTGTCTGAGCAATCTTTCCATCAGCAAGTGGCTCCAACTCAGCAGTTGGTGGTGCAGCATAAATATCTTTAAGAGAACAATAACCAAACCTCTTGGTACAGTACAAGATGAAGGACTTAAGATCAGTCTTGCTGATTCCACCAATAGGATTGATATCAGCACTGGAACAGTCATATTTAGTCATATATCCTCGTAGACATTCATCAACATTGGAAGATCCAAGAACCAACAACCCACCAGGCCGACCTCTGGACCACAAAGTCAGTTGAGCAAACAGGTAGGCTATCACCATCCTGACTCTAGCTTGAAGATTTTGTAGTGCCAAATTTTCTCGGATACTTCCTCCTTGAACTTTAAACTTCGGTATCAGTGATGTTACCGCTGTAAAGATACTCATTATAGCAGTACATGCAACATCTATAGATACATTCATATGAAAGCTACCAATGTCTTCTGCCAATTCTTTTGATCTTTTCTTTGTTTCACTGGAACTGTTCTCCGACCCCATATAACACGTGGTGAATATCCGTCCACAAAGCTCTTTTGGATCTGTAGGAAAGTAGTCTCCTTCCCCAACAATTCTTCTACAATCTGACAAAACCTGGGCATTTCCTTTATAGACAGCATCACAGACTAGATGACACATGGATGAGACCAGGCAAGCTGTACTAGAACTGTCAATTCCTCCACTTAATGGCAAGAAGAATCCACCTTGAGCGCTTCTTCTAAGGTAGTCCCACATCCAACATGCAGGTCCATAAGCAATTTCTTCTTCAACAATGGGATTATAAAGTTCGATAGCAGGAGACGACTGACTTAATTCAAATTCAGATTCTGTCAAGACAAAATCAACATCAACTCTTGGAAAGCTTGGTAGGGTTGTAGAAAGCTCTGATGAAGTTCGAGAATAATTTCTATAACTTCTAACATCTTCAAGGTCAATTGTTGCTGTAGTTACAATTACTTCCTGTAGAGAGAACTGAGGTCCTTGAGCGATGAAATCTCCATTGATAGAAATCATGGCATTCCCATCATAATAACATCTACCACCATCACAACCAATACAGTTGTTGAACAGATACACTCCTCCACATTTAAAGGTAGCAGACTTGACCAGTTCTCCTCTAGTATAACCTTTCTTTAACTGATGATGACTTCCACTGCCATTGGTGATAATTTCGACTCCATCTAAGAACATATCCATGTGACAACTTTTGGAAGCCCATAATTCTTCACATATTTCAACACCTATGCAGGTATCTTGAGTTGAAATTACCCCGTCTCCAATCCAGACCTTTTGTTGCCCTGTGATGACTTGAATAATTCTTGGTAAGAAATAATCTTCCAATTGTCGATGTTTCCTCCATGGTTTAAAATATCTTTCCTCGCGATAATTTCCAGAATTGCACATTAACATCTTTGGTCTAATTAGCAAAATTTTTCCATTCAAGAAGATAACTCGACAATTATATGCTACGTCCCTGTGCATCACTGGCATTCCAACATCACACAAGATGTCATTGAATTCATCACATTTCAAAAGTTCCGCAAAAACTTCCCATGAATGAAGAAATGTGTCATTTTCATGAAAGTGATCCTCACAGCCGTAACCAGGTATTTCCAATTCAGGACCACTTCGATATCTGGCTCCTTTTTCTTTTGCTTCGATGATACTGTGTTTGATGCGTTGAAAATTTCCAGCGAAATCCATAGCCCATTGGTTCAGGGTGCAGGCTGCTATTGTCGCTTTTCTTCCCATTTTAAAAGAATAACTAGATTGCTTTGGCAAACTTTGTTGAGGTAGAAAGTTTTTCTTTGGTATAATATTGAACTGCCACTGCCACTACCTTACTCAGTTGTATACTTCACCACCACTAAGACTCTTTTTGAGTTCTTCTCAACTTGAATCAGTAGATCAGTCTTTGAAACCTATATATTCATCTAACAATGCTTCACGAAAAGTTGATAGCGTGAAGATAAGGATTGTGTCAAATGTCTACTTGTTTTTGGTGTTGATTTTTACAAAAGTTACAGATTCAGTTTTGGTTTCATTCAAACATGACTTTCCAGAGATAGTGTCTTTCCACCTTATTGGCTTGATTGAAGAGTATGTAAAGGGAGACAACTCGATAAAAAAATATAAGTTGATTCGATTCTAAACGATTCGGTTTATCGTAGTTTAAGCCTAATCAATTTCCTATTCTTCCTATTTCAATTATTCAATTGTATAAATTGACAAACAATATTGACGAAAATAATATGTATAATAGCTTAAAGATAAAGGGAAAAAATGAAAGTAGACATTTATTTCTGTTACAATACTGGAGTGGATTTCATCAGATTTTTCAAACCCTGTGAGTGTGACGTTGCAAAAGCTTCTTGTGTATGCCATGAAATCAATCGATGAGTCGGTTTTTAGAAACTGCAATATTTTGAGGCAAGAAATATAAGTAAACTTGAGAAATTATACGCTTTTACCTTAGGTGTCAAAAAAGCCATGCTAAAATCGGAATAAAAATAACTATGGCCTATAGAGTGTTGTACACTAGATAGTTATTGGTTGATAAAAATAAATCAACTAATCAGAATCAGGAAAACAAACACACACATTGACTACGTCATCAGCGGCCATCTTAACTTAGTACACGTATTGAGAGAAGACAATTTACGTTTTGACGTATTTGAGAAAATAATTAACACATTTAAGATTGTAACTCTAATTTCTGTACAAAGTAAGTATTGTGGTGTTATATTTTTCATTCCCATAGTATCCTGGGTACTCCTGAAAGCCAAAAGGTTCAAAAACACCAGATTCTCTGTTAATAAACGAGTTTTGTGATCCAGACATGATCAGTGAGGATAGAGATGAGAGTCGAGTCACAGAGTGAATCAGTGAGGCACAAACAGTGTTTGTCGAAAGTAAAAACAGAAAATTAACCTTTTACAAATCTATTGATCTTTCGTCATTCATTTAGCATAGGCCTATTTTCCAAACATGTCTGTGGAAAGTAATGGCAGAATTAGAACAAACATTGAGTAAGCTTGTGCCGTGGTATCATATTTAGCTTTCGGCCTATGGTATCATATTTATTATTTTGCCATTTTGTGATTTGGTCAAGTTAGGCTAATTAATGATTTTTAGTCGTCCCTGCAATTCCACCAAAACGTCACTAATCACAAAGTACGTTATGTGATACAAATATATTTGTGATTAGTGACAGGCTTTATTGGAATTGCAAGAACTTCAAGATGTCTAAAGGTGCATATTGATTCTATCAGTTACCCTGATACACACACAATTTTAGAAAACCATTTTACAACCCCTTTATACTGATTTCACAAGTTATGCATCACAGAAAGGTTTAAAATGTGTCACAATGAAAATAGAGATAATCTGAATACCTGTAGTAGCACTTAAACAATGTACTTTTTTGTTTAGTTTATTACCAGTATTTGATTTTATTGTAGAAGTGGACAATGTTTTTATGGGATTGGTTTTCAGGAGTGTTAAACTTTCTTGGTAAGTTGAAGATTTTTTAAAGATATGACCCAAAAATAGTTTTACTAGTTCAGGAAAGCTATTCAGCTGATCAATGCAAGTATGCACTAAATGGATTAAGCCATGTAGAGCACCCAATTTGTTGTACAAGTAGTGGATTAGTGGAACAATTATCAAAAATAAGCTTACTCATATAAATATAACCAGTTTATATAATATGTCTGACACATCTATAGGTTTATTTAAAAAGAATGGAAAATTAATATTTCTGGGATTAGACAATGCTGGGAAAACAACATTACTTAGTGTTTTAAAGGAAGGGCATTTAACTCAGCCTGTTCCAACTCTTCATCCTAGTAAGTCTAAGACTGTAGCATGCTGGCATTTCATTCTCAAACTCAGATAGATGGTTTTTTGAATTAATATCATTTCAGACAATGTCTTTGTACTTCATCCTTGATCCTCAACAATTTGATTTAGTTTATTTATTAATGAAATATCTCATGCACCTGAATCTCTTGTTATATTTGTTTATTATTAAGAGAGGTGGGCTCTTCAATAATAGTAATTTTCCTTGATATAATCTAGCCATGTGAACACTGGCACCATGTATCAATGTTTATCCCATTACAGTACTACCAGTAATATTTTTACTTTAATGCCTATTTTTCACAAGATTCAAGTCTCCCCCCCCCTCCCCAACCAAAAGTTTGGATCTAAAACCATCTATTTAGTTTCATGTGTGGATATTGTTATAGTTTGCCTGACTAATGAGTTGTCTGATGATATGGGATTGTCCTATTCATAGCATGGATCAATTTATCAGACAAAATCTTAAATTATATTACTATTGAACTAGATTATTTCATCCATATTAAAGTTAATACATACATAAAACAATGATATTAATTCAAGATAAATATAGTACGGTACTAGATAATATTTTGAGTTCAATACAGTATGGTTTGGATACTAGATCCCCAAATTTTTGTTTCATATACACATTTACCCTTTTAAAAACAAGAGCATCCATCATAGTAGAAATTGTCAACTAATATATAATATAGTTAATAGAGTAACAGATGGTTATAGAATGATTATAAGTAAAGTCTATTAGTATACTAATATACCAGTAATTAGTTACTATAGCAGGTAGACCATCTGTGGTACCTTACTATACCATCAAGTTCATACATGATGAGATGTCCAGGATGAAAATTGACCCATTTATAAATGATATGAATATACAAAATCTAAAACCCAAAGAAGTATGAAAAAGTAAAAAAAGATTAAAAAATAAAACTTGCTGGAACAGGGCACTAAGGTAGACAATAAGCCAATCTAAAGGGTGTAAACGAGTAATTGTATTGGTTTATAAAGAAAATACAACTGTAAGCTTATAAATATGTCATCAGTGATGTAGAAAAAGGGAATACCAAACCGGGAAGGTTTTTAAACAAAACAGATAATTGTAAAGATTATAGTAGAAAGCCAGCATGTTTGAATTGAAAACATTTACATCTATTATTGTTTTTTTTTTTTTTAAATCTGTACCATATAACCCATCAATATTTTTAAGCTTGCCTGTAATAAATCTAACTACCATACCAGCATGAAGAATGATTGTTATATTAATATCATTTTAGGTCTATGGAAGAAATCGGGTAAATTAGTGTTTTTAGGTTTAGATAATGCCGGTAAAACGACACTATTACACATGTTAAAAGATGATCGTATGGCACAGCATGTTCCAACCCTCCATCCAAGTAAGATAACTCTCATTTTCATTTCCTTTCAATCTTGAATTTTCTTACAAATGGACAATAATTTCTTCCATAAACCACTTCAGAAATACACGGTGTTCATATGTATTGAAGGTTGTAAATAATTTGACTCCTAGTCAACTCTAGAACTAGAAGTTTTCTAAATTTATATACCAGTACAGTAATTGAATCATTGATAAAAAGGGAAGAGAAATTGAAAAAATCAATGATTAAGTAATGAGTATGAAATATATGATTGATATACTATTTACAACCTCAATATATTTTAACATCGAGACATTTTAGAGGGTGAAACCTTTGAAATTAAATAACCCAACTATTATGCTTGGCTTGCTTGTTTTGATAGATAAGGCTGGATAGACAGACATTTAGGAATTTTTTTTTCTCGAATAGGTTTTCAAAAGGTTCAATCTTATTAAAATAACCATTTATTTTCTCCAGCTTTTTCTGTTGTTAACAAAGATTTCTTGTATTTGAAAGAATTTACAATAATATAGTATATAAAGTAAATAGTTGAGCGATCTCTAACCATGTTTTTGTGCATTTTTATTCTAATTAGAATGAGTAAAATTTTTCAGAAGAGATATTTTTATTGATTATTATGATTATTTTAAGATAAATATGTGTGATAAATAGGTCTATTTAATGTATTAGAAAATGGTGGAAATATGAATATAAGATATAATATTTCATTTTTAGCATCAGAAGATTTATCTATGGGTGGTATGAGGTTTACAACATTTGATCTTGGAGGTCACAGACAAGGTAAGGCATGCAGCAAAAGAAAACAACTCCTATTATTCAAGAACACCAGAATTTTGATGGATTACATTTACTGATTTTTCTTTCCCAATGATTGTTGCTTATTTGATACAAATTTTTGGTCTACAAATTGAATTCCAAACTTCAATGCGGTTAAAAAAAATATAAGCTATAACTTGCCTGTTGAAACATATAATAGTCTATATTGTTCTACAATTTGTGTATTTGTACTATTTGAATGTGAAAATACTTTATTATTGTATTATATCAATTGTAATGATATATTTTCAGCACGAAGAGTATGGAAAGATTATTTCCCAGCAGTGGATGGTATTGTATTTTTAATTGATGCTTGTGATAGAGAAAGATTTGTGGAAGCAAAAGCAGAATTAGACGTGAGTAGACTTGATCCTGAAATATGTCTTATTTCTTTCTGTTGCATTTTGATTATATCCTTAAATGTGAAGCATCATGGTATTATTTCATAATTTTAGATAATCAATAAGATATCTTAAATTGATCAAAATAGGCCTGTTATACATTTGTTTCTTGAAAAAATAACAATAATGGTCAGATATTAAAAATGAATGTTGTTAAGCAATTTTCAAATGTAGAAGAATATAGACTGATTTATATTGTATAATTGGACTCTAAGTTATTTCTACATTCCATATAATTTATATTACAGAGTTTATTAACAGATGAACAGGTAGCTAACGCCCCTATATTAGTTTTGGGTAATAAGATAGATAAACCAGGAGCAGCTAGTGAAGATGAAATCAGACATTGGTTTGGTTTAAATGGTCAGACTACAGGCAAGGTAATTAAACTACAGTTTTTTTTTTCAATTATTAGGCTTGGACCACTTTCCCTCCCGATTTCATAGTTATTCTAAGATCTACTTTAGATTTTGTGGTTATGATTATACTATAATTGTATTTACCCCTAAATCCACACCTAACAATAAGTTCTGATAACCCAATAAAAAATGTAGAGTATATGCTTATTCTGAGAGTTCTGACAGAAGAACTAAGAATTAGTTTTGAATAATTTTCAACTTACTTCATTAATTTGTATTTCAGGGTACCGTGTCACGTAGTGAATTACCAGGACGACCCATGGAATTATTTATGTGTACAGTGTTAAAACGTCAAGGTTATGGAGAAGGTTTCCGTTGGTTAGCTCAGTATATAAACTGATATAAATAACAAAAATAATAATAGGACTGAATTTTAGGTATATTTCATCTTAATTATATCATTCATTATTCTTATATTGGACTCTTGGTGATTGTTTTTTCGTAAGACATTTCTCAACTAAGACACTCACGGTTATAGGGATAATGATGTCAAAATTATCAAAAAAATCAGTAATTACAATGGGACATTTTGGTTCTCAAAACCCAACAAATAAGATGAAATTGTGTCACAAGTCCAAGAAGAAAAGAAGAAGAAATGATTTAGTTTTGTCTTATAATCAGTTGTAGAGTCATGGTACATCCATTCTACTAGCTTGGTGAGTTCAATATAAAAATAAATACTAGATGTAATAAAGATGAAATATGTGTGAAAGTTTAAACCATCCCTGTAGCCTATAGATGATATAAATACAACCAATATCATATATCTACTGAACACAGGATGTACGGTGAATGTGTCAAGTTTTATGTGATTCACACCAGTTTTACTATATTTTCTTATCATTTGAACTAATGCATTTGTGGAATGATAGGTTCTCCAAGGTGAAAGAATATCTTTGAATTTTGCATTAAATTTGTGTATAGCATCCTATGATATTTTAATAGTTGTCTAAAATTGCCGGAAATTAGTGATATATTTTAAGTACAGCCTAAAAAAACCATCTTGCAGAGCAACTAGATGTGTTTTACCTGTTAATATGAAATGAAACCTGTTGATTCAAAAGACTAAGAAAATAAAGTAAGACTGAAGAAAATGTTCTGTAAATAATATGAAGTAGAATTTTGATATTAAAATTAATTGTAAAATATAGAGAGAGCATTTTATTGGAATTTCTGCTTCCTGGCTTTTCATTTTAGTATCCATGATTGTGGTTCAGGCTTAAATGACTGGTAACTCAACAGTATATTTTGCTGTACACAGCTCCACTTTTATCAGAACAAGATATCCAAGAAATCCTAGATTTTGGGTGACCTCCAATTCTTAACTAAAATTCAGATCCACAAAAAATATGTTCAATTTTTGTTAGTTGAAGCCTTGTCAGCTTTACATAATATTGAACCATGATCATGAGAATACATCCCTTATATATTATCATTCCTTGTTCGACTTGATTTGGTGAGACAAGAAATATCCATAAGAAAACACAATGTCATAAATGAATATGAATCTGTTGTCCCCATTGGTATTCTTTGCTTAAGATACAACCAAACACTGATTTAAGAAAAATACATGCACTCTGTATCCTTTTGCAGTGCTTTTATCAGCAATTTGTTGCTCACACCCAAATTTTTCAAAATTTGATTAATTTTTCAGGTTAAGTTATAATTTAATTGAATAGAAATCGTATTTGTTGGTTGAGTAATTCCAACATGTATGAAATATTTGGTCAATTATATTTGTACCAAGTTGCAATGTTTTTGTTGTTAAATATTCATGACATATTTCTCTACCATATTTTGGTCATCCAAAGTGTTCATAATAAGTAGTGAGCTGAAACATTATGCCTGAAGATTTTCACAAATTCTTTGAAATCTAATTAAGGATCTTCTCCTTGGAATGTTATATCTATTCTTTCAAGATTTTATGGTCGATGTGTCAAAATATTGTCCTACAATTTTCTATGAATGATTTAGCTCTGATTTGTATGGTTTCTTTTTGACAGTCCAGACCAGATATTGAATTTAAAGACATAATGATGAATGTCAAATGCAACTACATTTTGATTTGTGTTAATTTATGTGAAATTATCTGGCCTTGTCCAAATATATGAAGTTTTATTTTCATTATTGTATTTAAAATTTGTACAAAAAAATCTTGAAAACTCTTTCATGTATGTTAAAAAAAAAAAAATTAATTCCTTCTTTCGAGCTTTTTTTTCAGTCCAAACCAGCTTTACTTTGAAAAAATAATGTTTTAGATTATAAAGCATTCATTGTTTTCTAAATGCCTACATTACTGCTGATAACGTAAAACTAACTAAAAAGTGCAAGCAACAGAATCAGTCACTGTTTGATTTCTAACTGTCAAGGGATCTTGAACACACACAGTCTGTAGCACACAGCCTTGGTTTATTGTCTCATCTGAACGATTGGTTACCTGTTTTACCAACAGAGGGAAACTGGGTTTAAGAATCTGAGGGATTTGATCTTCAAGTTAGTCATCAAAGATCCCCCATGAGATTTGAAGACAAAAAGTATATTTTGATATAAATTTTATTAGAAAAATGATTTTAGTATCGTTACTGTAATATACAATTTGATTATAAAATATAAAAATATATTTTCTATGATACAATTTGATCCCAATTTCTATATACATTAATACATACACGATACCCTTATCTTTAATCTACAAACAGGTCAAACTAACAGAGTACGTTAAGATTGTTTTTTTTTACACTTAATGAAAAAGAAGGTTAAAATTTTATTTGAAAACAGGAGGTATATTTTCAACTTCATTTTTTATGTCAAGATCTGCTCTCAGTTGTAGTTTTTTAGCTGACCATGAAGGTCATGTTAAGTTAACAAAACCTCTCATCAATAATCATGTTTTGGAGAGAGCATGTTATACCTAATCATATATAGAAATTTGACAAATATTTGATCAATGATACAATGAGACAAGATCATTTCTAATATAAAATAAAATTTACTAAATATGATATGAATTAATTCTGGGCTATAGTGGGACAAATAACACAATAAAACTATTGAAATAATAAACAATATACATAAATCATAAACAATATACATCTCTTGATATTATCAACCTTTCTTGGGTTTCTTTAGAACAATATTAAGCAAATAAAAATATTAATTTGAGATTAGTTCTCAAAGATGCATGAAGAAATATGAAACATGAGCATACAATAGGACACATGTTTACATGCTTTCCCATGAGTTGAAATTATTAAGTATTTTACCTAGCCTCTGTAAAGATCCAATATTAAAATTTTTTTAAACTTAAAAAAGAAAATCAGAAGATATTTTAAAAAACAGAACCATAAAAAGAGTCCAATGTAGGTTTTGGAAATTTAAAGAGCAGTTCTAGGGGATTCATTCTCCCTCATAAAAGGTGGTGGGCTTGGTTCACGTGGATCATCAATTATCTCTGTTTCAATCTCCTCTTCTAGGATTGGAGGTGGAGGAGAATGATTGATAGGTGGGTGGTCCTCTATTTCTGTTTCAATAACAGGTTCAGGGGAGTCTTCACGAGGTGGAATATCTTCAGGTTCTGAATTGTCTTCTGGTTCAAATGTGGTAACTATAACAGGTTCATCGATATCCTCTGGATCTGGTTTCTGAACAACTGAATAATCATTGCTGGGTTCTGGTTCTGATAGAGGTGCAGCATGGAAGACTGCTGGATCCTCATCAATTATTTCTGCATGAGGAATTGGTTCTGGTGCTCGCTCTCTTGTATCAGGAACAAAGGCAGCATTGTTATACACAGGATTTACTGTTTTAGTAGGCTCTACTGGCTGGAATGACAAATATCATTGGTAATTTTAAGCAAACTTTATTAGACATGCTGAATGTATGTGATGCTCAGAACATCAACACGAAAAAGATTGAATGTAGCACTCATATTTTCAAGAGATTAGCAGCTGGTCATTAGTCAACCCTTTTCATCGATTTTCTGCCCCCAAATGCAAGGATCTCAGTAAGGAACAAAAAAAATTTGAGGAAATAGAAAATATCAGCTGAGGGTCAAGGGGATGACAGACTCTTATGAGGTGTACGTGAGGGAAGGAGATCTAACCATTTTAATATTCTTTATCATTTCCTATAAAGAAATCTTTAAATCCCTAAAACCATATTTTTAAAGGTTTTATCTATTTATATACCACTGGCCAGAAATATTGAGTAATTCCTCTAAAATGAGGAAGTCTTGCATCCCTGTAAATGACATGAAACTTTACTCTACACTCTACTGAGCTACTGTAAAACAAATTTCTATGAATTCAATTCTAGTGGAATAATCCACTAATAAAAATTAGGTAAAAATATTAAAAGCATGTTACCTGTTGAGCAACTGTTACAACTCGTCCATGTTCAGCATTATATTTCTTTATCTTCTTTCTTTTACTACAATAATAAAAGCCAAGGGTAATGATTGTGAAAATTACGAGGTTGTCTAATGAAAAAAATCAACTTTTCCAAGATCTACCATTTAGATATAAATAATTTGCTATTTTACCTCTTAGAATGATCATTAAATCTAAATTCTCAAACATTGCCTATAAGAGTATTCATTAATGGACTTATTTGGTGTCAGAACTATACAACAGAATTGTATAATCTGATAAATCAAAAATACTACCGGCCAAGTTATTTGCCAAGTTAAGGAATTCAAATTCTATGTTCATTCTGAGGGGTAGAGTACCTTTAAAATCATGGATTTAACACCTGCTAGAATCGTCTTTCATGTTAATAAATGTCAGAAAAAAATGAAAACTTACGCATCTCTGATACAGAAACAAGCGAGACAGAATAGTATTAGAGCTAGAATGATGAGTAGAATAACTATTATTAATACAACTAATACTGGTGTTCTCTCTACTGTCAGGATAGATGATGAAGAGTCCTGAAAAATACAAACATCTTCCATATAAACAAAGTTATTTATAGCAACAGTTGACTGAGCATGAGGTAGAAGATATAGAGTGTTAAGAATAATTTTACTGTTGAATTGCCAGATTTCCAGAAAGTTGAACTGCATGGCTTAAATATTTTATTTACTCAGAACAGTGCACAAAATTAAGTATAAAGTCGAACATTCAGAAAATCACAAACCCATGAAAAACAGTGGGTAAATAGTAAGTAGTCAAATTGTCAACTCCTTGGAGATGGAATTTTGCCCCTTAAGAACCACATCTACCTAATTTTATAGATGATTTACTAGCCTAAAAACCACAGCATTAATAACATAGCAAACATTGCATTCTTGAAATATTTCTGTACTTACTCCAAGTCTATCAATATACAAGGCTTCAAACTCATCTTTCTTCTTACTAGTTTGAGCTGTTTGTAATTTATTCTTTAGATTATCTTGTGGTAGAATAGAGTAGGAATCAGCTGATCCTCCTGGTACAATACCAGTAACATATACATCAGTTCTATAAAATAGGCACACAATATATCTATATCTTTTAAACTGATAGAAATTCCATATTAATGTATTTTTATATAATGTGTATTATCTATTTGCCTCATTGTCAAGTAGAGATGATGTTTAGAGGCTAGAAACATGCAGGATTTTAACATGTCTGTTAGATGAATGGGTATTAAGTTGTAATCTTGATTAGCGTGTGAAAGTCTGTTGACCTTGAATTTCGTGATCTTTCCTAATTTATGTAGTTGACCCAACTGTTAATGGGCACATAAAATGCAGGAAAGATTGATGTCAACATGGACAAGGTAAAAATAGTTGATTCTTTCTCTCTATCTTTCTAATGAATATCAGAGAGTGTTGATTTTCAACTTAAGAAAATAGAGAGAATAAACTCACTGAGATTCTGATAATGTGCCATCTGCTAAAATATGTTCTGTAACTTTCATTACACACACATACTGTATATCATCTACCCCAGATAGGGTTCTGAAATTATAATATTATTATCATTCAACAGAATTTATACCAAATAAAGTTGTCATCATTATGTTCATTAAAAACTGTTTTATTCTGAGCATAATAATAGCAGGGGAGATTATATTAGCCAATTCGATTGGGTCTACAATTAAACAGGCTGAGAATACGCTGATTACTGATCACCATTAAAAACATTAATATTTTACCTTATTAATTGTGGAGTCATCAAGCGAACTTCAGACGGTTTTTGACTGATGACTATTTTCTGTTCATTACTGGGAGATGTTACAAAAATCTGTCAAATAACAATAAAATAGTGCTATTTGAGAAGATAAACAATGAAAATGAAGTAAAATTTCTTTTAAATAAATTAGATAGAATTAATAGTATTAAATTTGGTCTTATTAATCAGTCGAAAATTCTTAAAATGCCTATTTCACAAAACTGAACATCTTGATCGCGGTTCTCATAATATTTACTAACCTTTACTTCTGTCTGTTGAGAATTTTTACCATCAGAGACAATAACAATAAGTTTATAAATTCTGGTGTCATAGTTGTTCAGAAAGTCACGATTTGAAATCATTCCAGTTCTCAGATTAACAGCAAACATCTTATTCAGGTTGGATTCTTCCTGAATAGAGTAGACTAATCCAGCAGGACCAGTTGAATCCATATCGTTGGCTTGTATTTGGATAACACTCTGTCCATATGGAGCGTTAATGGAAATACCTAGAGTAGAATATTGTCTATGGTTATATTGTGAATTAAGTCAGAGTTTTGAATTAAGGTCACACAAAAGGACCCTTTGGAAATCATGTTTTCATATATATATATACAATTATTGGCAATTTATTCATGGCTATCTTGGCTTGAGGCATAAACGATTTCAAGAATCACCTCTATCTCACCAAAAGAATAGTTATTTTAAAAAAAATGAAATAAAAAGTGAATCAAGCTATATATAACACAGCTGTAAAATATATACATATACTTCTAACATCTACACTGTAAATAAATTTTATTAATTCAAGAATAGATCTGCAAAGATTGTGGAGTGAGGAAATTCTATTGTTTGTGTAGTGCTGGTGTGATGGGTATCATGATACAAACTATAAGTCACACTATGTATTTTGATATGAGGTAATATATAAAAAGTAACAATTTTACAAAAATAATATTACTAGTAATTAATAGTCATTGCACAATATATTGATATATAGTTATATAATGCCAGAACTAGTTATAGTGGGATAAAGAAGAACTTACAGCCATGGTATTGATCAGTACCAGTAGGATAGATAAAGGTCGGTGTCTGATCATTATCATCAATAACTTTAATCTGGACTTCAACGTAGCTTGGATCAACCTGTCTTTTATTACGGATTACACTATAATCACTGACATTATTAGTAGCATGAATAAAGAGTTTTAATACATCATCTTCTAGAATATCACGATCTATTGGTTCATTTAAGGTCAAATTACCAGTGTTACTATCCAAATTAAACCAATTCTTCTCATTACCAGCTAGTATAAAAAAATAAAACAAAGTTATCTAAATGCAGAAAGAAAGTAAATTACAATCAGTTTGCTATCAAAAAATCTTTGTTACAAATGTTAAGTTTATGTAGTAGATTTGTATACCACAAAAAAACATCCTTACCAACAATGGTATAATATATTTTAGAGTATTCATCTAAATCTAAATCTGTTGCCTTGACAACACCGATGCTAGTTCCTTTAGTTACTAATCCTTCAGATAGACTGAATTTATAAGGCAATACTACTCCATTCTAAAATACAATACATTACAGAAAATCAACTAACATTGTACAGAAAATACATTAATACTGATTGAGAAGAGCTTATCTCATGCTGCGAAAACATGTTTCAGATATCAAATCCTCACCAGGAAATCATCGTTTTAATTGGGATATTTAAAACACAAGGTTAAAACATGATTACTATTGTTAGAGTAATGACATCTCAAATCAAATACTTTAAGGAATAATTTGGTATTCCGTCAACCAAACATAATTCTTAATATATTCTGAAGCAAACAAGTATGAGCAGCTAAAAAATAATAATAATGTTGGTATACATGTAGGGGACTACTACTTCAGGTCAAGTCGTAGTGATCTAAATGACTATTTGGTTGACTGTAAAACTTATAACATACTAACCGACATTGGAAACATAGGAACATTGTCATTAACATCCAATATTTTAACTGTTAAAAATCTTGTGGATTGAAGAGGAGGATCACCACGATCTCGAGCTACTAGTTGTAACTACAAAAATAATATAAACTATCATTAAATTAGAAATTTAGACAAAAGGTTTAAGATGAAACATAGACATTATATGTGCAGACCCTCCAAATTCAGGTATGTATACCTTATGGCTGCAGCATTGGTCATTCGTTCTATTCACAAGCAGACAATTACCATTTTTCAACTTTTCAAACATTATTCCATCAAAATTTCATTAAGAAAAATCTCTCCTTAAAGGTATTGAGAATGAATTTGTAGTGTGTACTGTGTATGACAGAGGAACACTGATATCTTCTATTGTCCCAATAATACTTTCACTTGGCTTGTATTACTTGCAAAACAGGAATCACAAACCTTGGGTTTGATACAAATGGAAGTTAAAATTGTCCATGTTATACTTATAAAGATGAGATTAATTATTTTGCAATCCATTTACATTTAAAATGAATTAGAAACAACATCTCTATATATTTAAAGATAATATCTATACATACCAGATAAGAATCAACCTGTTCCCTATCATAAACAATTTCTGCTCGAATAACTCCAGTTACAGAATTAATATGGAACTCAGCAGTTTGATTGGTAAATTTACCATCATGTATAAAACCAAAATCTACAATTCCACTCTGACCCTTATCATCATCTATAGCATGACAATCATATACTAACATTCCTAGATATTGACTCTAAAATTAAAAAATATAAACAATTAATTCAATATCTTACAGGAACATTCTGCTTCTTTTGTAGGTCGAAAAATTTGTTGCGAAAATTTGTGAAAAATATACACCGAAATCTATAGAAATGTATCCCATAAAGTATCCAGCTGTAAATTATTCAACGCCAAAACTTTACGTAAAAGGTTATGTAACCTTTAAAAGTTTGCTATGCTTTTTGGAAGCTGTTAAAAAACTCTGCACGGATTTGAGTAAATAAACGCCTAATTGTAGAGAAATATGTCTCCTACGTATTCTTAAGATTTCAACTAAATATAACGAGCCATTATTAAGCCAATCACCGAAACTAGGTCAAACTGCTTAATACTTATAAATTTCTTTATGTCCACTTTTGTTTTTTACTAATGGTGCATGTGATATATCTGCACTGGATTAAATCAATATCGTTTAATTATACCAATCAACTCATCATTATCTTTACGATAATAAATACAGGTATATTCTGTAATTCTACATACCTCCAGAACATCAATAGATCTATTTTCACTTGGTGGTAAAATCCATTTGGGTGGTGAATTGGTAGCTTCTAAAACTTCAATAGTAACAGTTGATATATCACTTAATCCAGATAGATCTCCATTAAGATCTCGTACTGTCACCTCAAACTTATAAATACCAGCTTTACCCAGTAAACTTTTCTTGACTTCAACTTGACCAGATTGACTACCAACATTAAATAGATCTAAAATAAAAAATAGACAAAACTTATTTAACCCAAGAGTCAACAGCCTATTTACATGGACAACCCACTGGAATATAAGTCAGAGTTAGTGATGTCTAGTGTTTACATAATCTGACAATAGTATGGAAAACCCTCTCTTGGAATATATATCGTGATTACTATCTAAACTATCAAATATTTGAGGAAGAAAACTGTAATCAAATCATACCTTCAGGGTCTAAAGTACTTTCTGTTTTGAAATAGGCCAAGACGCTGTTAATGCCCAAATCTCTATCAGAGGCCAGTAAAGGTAAAATGGCTGAACCTATAGGGGTGGTTTCTATTATGGTTGTAAAATAATCTCTCCTTTGAAATTTAGGATTATTGTCATTTGCATCTTCTAACACAAAGTACACCTACAATAATAAACATAAAATTAGTCTTTATGAAGTTGGTCAAAGATCAAAACACTAATAACTGTAGAGATTAATTAAAAAGTAATACAAATTTTGCACATGAAATATTGTTTAATATGAAATCATGATCAGATAATACAAAAAAGGGTTAGATCCAGATTTTACAATTTGTACCAACACATTATTAGCCTTCTAACATGGTTGTGTAAATTTCCTTCTGTTCTAACACAAACAATTTCAATGTTCCAGTCACAATTATTAATCAATTTTAATAGAATGTAATCTATAGAGCACACTATTCTAACATAAATAACAGGTTTAATTTATAAATTTTGAAGAGTAGATTACCAGATCTGGATGACGTCAATTTAATGGGTAGGTCTTATATGTTATCGTCTAATTATAGACAAACTTGATTTCTATTTACATAATTGATTATATATATATAATATATTGATATCTACCATTTCAGCTAAAATCTTAAATATCAGATATTTTACTTACAGGAATAGTGTATTCTCGTCTTGCTTTAGGCGTATTCGGGGAATCATAAGCTGTAACTTGTATTGATACGATGGATTCTGCTTCACGGTCTAATTCTTGTCCAGCTAATAACTTGATTTCACCCTGAAAATAATTTACAATTCTTAATTCATGTTGATAGAAATAAAGAAGATAGCTTGCCAGGCAAGGTAACATACGCCTACTATCAGCTGTCAGAAATGACAACAAAGTCTGTAGTGGTTTAATATGTGAAACCAATCATCCGAATTTTACTAATTTCAAGCTTTACAGAGATCTCATACTAAGTTTCATCAAGATCCTATAAAAAATGTAGTCTCTATCAGGCCTTCAAGCCAAATTGAGGCCTTGAATTAATTCAAGGGCCATAACTCCAAAACCGTTCACCCGATTCTTACCAATTTCAACCTGACTGAGATCTTGTCCATACATACATATGCGTACCAAGTTTCATTGAGATCAGATAAAAACTGCACCCTGTTTCATGACTACAAGTCAAATTTGTAAGTTTTTTACTAAATCAAGGGCAATAACCCTGAAATCATTCATCCAATTATTACTAACTTCAAACTTGACCAAAATCTCATCAATATATACATATATACTAAGTTTCATCAAGATGGGATCAAAATTGTAGCCTTTATCGTACATACAAACCAAATTTAAGCGTTTTTACTAAGTCAAGGGCAATAACTCTGAAACCATTCATCCGATTATTACCAATTTCAAACTTGACCGAGATCTCATCAATATATACATTTATACTAAGTTTCATCAAGATCCGATAATACTTGCAGCCTTTATCGTGCATACAAGCCAAATTTAACACGTTTTTACTAAGTCAAGGGCGATAACTCTGAAACCGTTCATCCTATTATTACCAATTTCAAACTTGACCGAGTTCTCATCAAAATATACATGCATACCAAGTTTCATCAAGATAAGATAAAAACTGTAGCCTCTATCGTGCATGCAACAAATGTGGATGGACGGACGGAGGGACGGAGGCGACGGCAATATACGTCCACATTTCCATTTGGGCATATAAAAACAGAAGTATGTGTAATATCTACCCTGCCTTACATTTAAACAATACCTACAATATATCTACACTATTCATTACTTAATTCTCAACCTGGAGTGTTTTCATCCCCTGTTGGTGTGGGACTAGGGGTCAGGGGTGTGACCAACTGGTGTAGGAGAAGAATTAGTTTTGAATTGAGAGAGCACTTTACATCATCACATGCTGGAAATGTGGATGAAATAAATTTTTGGGGGTGTGAAAGGTCCAGGTGATTGCTCCAGGGGTGTGAAGAAATTGGTTGGGAACCACTGACTTAATTACTAGAGTCAACTTTCAACCTATTCCAGCTTGAAACTAAAAACAGTAAAACAGTAATATAGCTAAGGTGAAATCTGAGAATTATGAGCTTGTAATCTATCTATCTCCCTCATTCTCTCACTCTTTACAGATTATACTTACAGTGATCTTATCAATTGAGAATCTTGTTTCAGTGTCACTGAGTCGATATTCAACCTCACCAAAATCTCCAAAATCAATATCAGTGGCTTCAACTGTCATTAATGTATCACTGGGCCCTCTTCTTTCCACAATACTTACAGAATAAGGATCCTGAAATCATATAAGAAAAGAAAATTAACAACTGCTTGAAAGACATTTGGGTAGATTTTCCCATAGGCCTAATCTGAACTACATACAGTGGCACTATTTTGTGACATTTTAAAGAAATCATTCAAACATTAACACAATGAACAACTGTTAGAAAAAAAAATTTACCTCTAAAAATTTGGGGCTGTTATCATTTATGTTTCTGATAGTAACATAGACAGTAGCTGTACCAGTTAATGAAGGAGATCCATCATCTGTAGCCTCCACTGTAAACTGTGTAAACTGTATCTTCTCATAATCAATACGATTATTAATACTCACCACACCTACAATATACAAACCAGTTAACATTCTTAAACTAACTTTAAAAACATACTGACTTCCACAATATCTTATGTGATAAAATAGCTTTCCAGGCAAGGTAATATACGCCCACTGGCAGCTTTGATTTTGAATTGTGTCTTTAGAGTGTTTACGAGCTATTGTGGACGGACCGACGGACATCGGTGACGGCAATATACGCCCCCATTTCATGTGGATGTATAAAAATACGTCTGAGGATTGTAATGAAACATGAGATCCAGAGGGAAAGGGTTTCAAATATTACAACAACCCCAGGGGAAGTGTATTATCTTACAAACCTTAATATTATCCCTGAAACTAAATCTCATTCTACAAGAAGATAATCCATGTCGCAACTCGCATCACATTTTCACTGGCATTTTATATATAAAGTCTCAGGAACAAACATGAATTAGAGATTATTTATATCAATTTACAGCTGAGTTGACTGGGATATTGAGGAAACTGACTATGAATATTTGATGTTAACATGTAAAAGATCTTAATTACAAGAAAGTTCTGCTGGAACTTCAGAAAATAACATGAATAATTACATGAGATGTCAAAATATTTTACTTTCAATGCATTTAAAGAAATTAGACTTCACCATTGAGCAGTGAAAAACGAAACACCAATGTAACAACTCTACCTGTTTGTTGAGCTAAAGAAAAGAAATTCTGAGGGTTCGAGGTCAGTCTATAAGCTGATATGATGTCATCTTTATCTTTAGCGATTAACGTCATAATAAAGGTTCCGATTGGTAATTCTTCATCTATAGTAATGTTATAAATGTTCTTCTCAAATTCTGGAGGTTCATCATTAACTTCTAGTATAGTGATGATTACAGTTCCTATAATAATAATATAGACATTAATATAAACTTCTAACAAGCTACCTGTCACAGCTTACATAAACTACTAGTTCTAGGTACTACCAATCATGTCATGATACCATGTATATCAAAATATAGGGGCTGCGTGCAATAAATATAGCAATATGGGCTAATAGATAAAACGTACGCTTTATCTTCAAAGTTTGTATCTGTAAATTTTAAGATAACAGAATTATACTACTAGCAATGTTTTGTCGATAGGCTTACTATTGCCATGTTTAGTTCAAAAATTAAAGATTTCATACATTTGGATGTCATTAGTTATTTGTGTATAATAGTCTGTCTAATATGACTATTATCATCAAGTGCAAAATATCGATGCATTGACCCAAGTGAGTTGAAAAACGTAGAAAATATATTTAAAACATTTGTTTACCTGTACCAAGCTGTTGTGAACCAGCCTTGCCAACATCTTCGACTATCATCTGATAGGTAATAACAGAGGCTAGATCTCTGTCTAATCTATTACTATCAGTAAAAATAGCTCCACTTCTCTCATCGATACGGAATAGATTCTACAATAGAAGTAATTATTACTACTACTATTCTTTGCTACAACGAGAGATCAAATTCAGCATGTAAAGACGTTAAGAAGATTTGTCAAGATTATTAAGATGGTGCAATATCAAGAAAATAAAAACTTACTGTGAAGTCATATTCATTTACATTCACTAAAGTACCAGATGGTGTAATGGCTGATTTAGGACCTTCAAATCGATATCGTAAATCACTATCTTGATCAGGATCATAAGCTGACACTCTGTAGATTTCTACACCAGCTGCTACGTCTAAAAATCAAATTCTTTTCTTGAGAATTGAGCATCTTACTCTACCAGTTATTGTGCTAAAGTAATTGCCATGAAGAGAGAAATCGGGACATATTATGTGCTGAACACTGGTCTGCTATTATATATAAATAACCAATTAAAGAAATCCAATTGAAATGTAAATCTGCTATGATGGTTTGACAACAGAGAAATAAATTTCTATAATATAGGACATTGGAAATTTCTTTATGATAAAAGGGGTTTTATTTCTGTATGTATATATGTGGGAATCAGGAAACAACTACATTTCTGTCTGCTCTAACTTTTAGAGCATTTAGGTTCAAATTTAATAGAAACGTAAACATTCTTATGCAAGTAAGAATAGTGAACAATGCAGCTGTACCAGTATATGTTCTTTTTCAATACAAACATACCAAATAGTCTTAAATAAGTCTCTTGGAAGCTAATCTGTACATATCATTCATTTACTTACTCTCCAGAACAGAAGTACGTTGAATTACTGGTAAGAAATATGGTAACCGGTTATTTTTATCTCTTATTAATATATTGACTGTTGCTGTTCCACTTTTCTGGGGGTTACCTCCATCACGACCAACAACCTGAAGAAATATACCTAATCTGTAACCAAATATCATAAAACAACTTTATCAGACCGTCTTGTTTTTTATTCCAATTACTAGTGCCACATTATATTCCTTAATTGGAAATATAAAAACTTTGAAGAATAAAATATCAAGTTTTTGACCACCAAACCTGACTACATAGTGAATTGTTCTGAAGAAAAATAATGAACTATCTCAAAAAAATACAGGCAGTGAAACTTACAATAAGTTTATATACTCTCTGTTTTTCATAATCAAAGGTTGCATCATTAGTAGTAGAAATGGCACCACTATTACGGTCAATAGAAAATTTTCCTTGATGACCTGTCTCTATGACATATTCTATTTTTCCATTATCAGAAGTTGGAGAGTCATTATCTGTAGCTGTTATTGTGAATACACGAGTATCTAAAATATAGAAATACCATATAACATTATCATTATATGGAAGATAATTCAGTTTAACTGTCCTGAACTTAATTTGGTATTAAATTGAAATTCATTTGATATGCATTTTCATCAATTTAGGAAATTATAAGTGATGCCAGTAGATATAACAATGATATTATCTTACTTGGTGGAATATCTTCATCAATAGTTTCTGTATAATTCTTAGGATCAAAGACAGGTGAATAGTTATTACGATCCTAAAAAAATAACCATAAACCTTTATCTATGTGTTATTCTGTTACAAATGTAACTAAATATAAATATATAATTCAAACATGAACAAAAATGTTGAAATTTTCAAACAGCTACCCACTATGAGGACTCTTTAAACTTTAGCCAAATAATACCAGGACATAAACTGAAATGATCAGTTGTTTGTAGATCACATTTAGTTATATTCAGAATAACAATTATTAAATTATTAACAAAATCTTGAAGAAACCTCAGTAGAGTCCATCAGTTAATGAATCATACTTACAAAAACATTTATAGTAACTGTAATTGTTCTTGGAAATGAGTTCACTGGAGCAGTATTTACAGCTTTTGCTTCAAACACAAACCTGAAATAAATATATAATACATTACTGATTTAACAACCTTTTTATTCATAAAATTTATGAAATTAACATTGGATGAAAAAAACTTCGGAAGACAGATTAGCATTGGACTGGTAAATATTAATCAAGGTAATCATGAAATTTGATCTAATCATGAAATTCATAGAATAATGTCTGTTTACTTTATACATACTATATATTGAAATTCAATCTAACAAAAAAAGATTCCAACTCACGATCCATTAAATGAGTCCTCATAACGTATATTTCGAATAGCTGAGATGACATTATTACTATTAATTTGCCACAGGTCACTTTGACCACCAACAAGAGAATATATGGTCGGCCCACCAACTGTATCTACATCTGTTGACTAAAAAAGGAATAGTAACACGTGGCACTTGTTAAGTAATGTCGAAACTTTAAGTACTCCGACACTGTCGCTAATCGGACATTATTTTCCCAGTGTATGTCAGATTACGCAGAGTATATTAAAAAAATTATCTAATTTGGATACTATAATAATACAGCATAAACATCTCTTGGCCTTTTTCAAATCTTACACAATACAATTTGTCAAATAGCAAGATCAATTGTTGAATTTGTTATCAATTCATTCTCAGTTGAGCAATGAACTTATCTTACCTCAATTTTCAGTTCATCAATGGTATTGGACTCGCCTTCATTGATGTATGCAGTATACTGCGTAGTAATAAATACTGGTGGGTTATCATTTACATCTTGTATTTGAACAGTAAGTTTACCAGTATTGGCCCGTCCTTGTCCTTTCTGATCACGTGCCATGACAGTTAACTGATACTCTTTACGTTGTTCATAATCTATACACTTGCCTTCACCTGGAGTGTCACACTGACTAACTGTAATCACGCCTGATGTTTCCCCAATTGTAAATCTAAAAATGTTATCAAACACAACATGATAGTTTCCTACTTTATATACAAGTAATTGTAAGGAATAGTAAGTAATGATTTACACAGCAATCTCGAGATTCTACTATTAATATCATTAAAACTTACTTGTCAGCTCCATTTCCAACCAGACTAAAATAGATATCTGGAACACTACCAGAGTTGTTTTTATAATCAGCATCAGTTGCCTAGAAATAAAAACATTTAATTATAATCAGCATCAGTTGCCTAGAAATAAAAACATTTAATTATAATCAGCATCGGTTGTCAAGAAATAAAAACATTTAATTATAATCAGCATCAGTTGCCTAGAAATAAAAACATTTAATTATAATCAGCATCAGTTGTCAAGAAATAAAAACATTTAATTATAATCAGCATAAGTTGCCTAGAAATAGAAACATTTAGTTATAATCAGCATAAGTTGACTAGAAATAAAAACATTTAATTATAATTAGCATCAGTTGCCTACAAACAGAAACATTTAATTATAATTAGCATCAATTGTCAAGAAATAAAAACATTTAATTATAATCAGCGTCAGTTGCCTAGAAATAGAAACATTTAATTATAATCAACATCTGTTGCCTAGAAATAAAATCATTTAATTATAATCAACATCAGTTGACTATAAATAAAAACATTTAATTATAATCAGCATCAGTTGCCTAGAAATAGAAACATTTAATTATAATCAGCATCAGTTGCCTAGAAATAGAAACATGTAATTATAATTAGCATCAGTTGTCAAGAAATATAATAATTTAATTATAATTAGCATAAGTTGACTATATATAAAAACATTTAATTATAATCAACATCAGTTGCCTAGAAATAGAAACATTTATTTATAATCAACATCAGTTGCCTAGAAATAGAAACATTTAATTATAATCAACATCAGTTGACTATAAATAAAAACATTTAATTATAATCAGCATCAGTTGCCTAGAAATAGAAACATTTAATTATAATCAGCATCAGTTGCCTAGAAATAGAAACATCTAATTATAATCAACATAAGTTGACTATAAATAAAAACATTTAATTATAATCAACATCAGTTGCCTAGAAATAGAAACATTTATTTATAATCAGCATCAGTTGCCTAGATATAGAAACATTTAATTATAATCAACATCAGTTGCCTAGAATAGAAACATTTAATTATAATCAGCATCAGTTGCCTAGAAATAGAAACATCTAATTATAATCAACATCTGTTGCCTAGATATAGAAACATCTAATTATAATCAACATAAGTTGACTATAAATAAAAACATTTAATTATAATCAACATCAGTTGCCTAGAAATAGAAACATTTAATTATAATCAACATCTGTTGCCTAGAAATAGAAACATTTAATTATAATCAACATCTGTTGCCTAGAATAGAAACATTTAATTATAATCAGCATAAGTTGCCTAGAAATAAAAACATTTAATTATAATCAGCATCAGTTACCTAGAAATAGAAACATTTAATTATAATCAACATCAGTTGCCTAGAAATAAAAACATTTAATTATAATCAGCATCAGTTGCCTAGAAATAGAAACATTTAATCATAATTAGCATCAGTTGACTATAAATAAAATCATATAATTATAATCAACATCAGTTGCCTAGAATAGAAACATTTAATTATAATTAGCATCAGTTGCCTAGAAATAGAAACATTTAATTATAATTAGCATCAGTTGACTATAAATAAAAACATTTAATTATAATCAACATCAGTTGCCTAGAAATAGAAACATTTAATTATAATTAGCATCAGTTGACTATAAATAAAATCATTTAATTATAATCAACATCAGTTGACTAGAAATAGAAACATTTAATTATAATCAGCATCAGCTGCCTAGAAATAGAAACATTTAATTATAATCAACATCAGTTGCCTAGAAATAAAAACATTTAATTATAATCAGCATCAGTTGCCTAGAAATAGAAACATTTAATTATAATCAACATCAGTTGCCTAGAAATAAAAACATTTAATTATAATCAGCATCAGTTGCCTAGAAATAGAAACATTTAATTATAATCAGCATCAGTTGCCTAGAAATAGAAACATTTAATTATAATTAGCATCAGTTGTCAAGAAATATAAACATTAAATTATAATCAGGAATATAATATAAATCTCATCAGCTTTCCTCAAAATCTGTTGTCAAATACTTACTGTAACTGTAACAACTGGAGATCCACCTTGAGCATTTTCCAATATAGATTCATAATAATCTGGTGGGTTAAAGATTGGGACGTTATCATTGACATCCAAAATATTAACTATTACAGTACTGGTTCCAATTAATCTGTTAGAAGTTCTTGATTCTACAGCTTGTACCTTGAAAGTAAGGAATTTATTATTGAATCAGGAGTAAATCCACATATAAAAATATAAGAACATAAGTAGATTCATAGTTGGTTTTTGACTAATTAATATTTATAGAGAAATGAATTGAAATTAAAATGTGTTTTAGTCTATGTTTAAGTTTTTTTTATAGCTGATTGTGCTTATGTGGAAACAATATTATTATTTTGGAATTTGCTTTAAATCACCCCTGGATGGCTCCCAAGGAATAATACAGAGCAGTCTAACCTGCCACAATTTGTATGTAAGTAGCTAGCTAAATTTCATTTTTAATACATGCTGTCTTGGTGGACGTTAACAATAATATGAGAAATTTCAGTAAATTGTTTCAATAACCTAACCCTGTGTCTGTGCTTTCATAATATTTCATTTTCAATGCAATCTTACTACCATTACTCCCTAAAACTGCCTGTATTCTATCTTTTTCAAGGTCAATAACTCCATACACTTACCAGTAGTCGATAAACTCTAGGGCCTTTATCATAATCTATTTTATTTGTATCTATAACTTTGATACTGGCTGTTGCTGTACCTTTACCTTCATCAGGGAAAATAGCAAATATGTCAGTATGGTTTAACAACTTAAAATCATAAAAACTGGCTGTGCCCTGAAATTAAAAATTCATAAAAAATCTTCACATACTGGTACATCAAAACAATATCCTTGTTTACATTTTACATAAGAAAAACAGGAATTGAATTGTCTGAGGGCCGCTGTTTATTCATGTGACAACAATGTTACTTCGAGATATAATTTCTGCTATCATGACACTATCTGTGACCTAGGCCAGTGCTTTCATTGAGACTTGTCTCAATACACCCTAACACTACCTAATTGCTTTCTGAAAATACTTTTAGAGTTTTACCTGATCCCTATCTGTTACTGTCATGATTAATTTGGGTAATCCAGATCCATTGGGGATATTTTCTAGAATACTGACTTCGTAAAAATTTCTGTCAAATGTTGGAGCATTATCATTGTCATCTTGTATATTGATAGTCACATTAGCTTTAGCTGTTGTTTGAGGGTCCTGTCCAATCGTTTCTGGCTGAGTTGTATTATCGATCAACTCATGAGCCTTAAAGGAAATGAGAAAATGAGATGATGTTTTAAAAGAATCTATTAAAGTTTGAGTTGAAGATATGTGATTAATAGATTATGATGTAGGTATTGAGATATATATCATCATGATATTAAAATATTTCTTACAATAAACTTCTTTATTTTTACAGATAGGAGATATAATTCAATTAAATATTTCCGTATTTGAAATCTGAAGGTCAATATAAACTAAGCACACTTACTGTAATACACAAAACAACAAAACCTCTTTGTAGAGATGCTTCCTCTCGGTCTAATTTCTTTATATTTCTTATATATCCAGTTTTATAATCCACTTCAAAATAGCCACCTTCATCTATAAAGTAAACCCAAAAGGTGTTTTATGTCTTATGTTATTTACTGGACCAATGATGAAGGGCATTGTCATGTAGTTTGAAATAAAAACAAATTGCAAAGGCAGTAGCATCCAGTTTTTCTCAATTTCTATTTGAGCAGAACATTTCAGACTATCACACCTGCAACACTAACAATGGAGAAGCAAGTTGGTAAGTTAAAGAAACTCAGTTCCTGCACATTTCCATCCTCCAAAAATTTGAGCGGTTTAAGCAAATACTGGATAATTGAAACATGCCATTCCATAACTTGAGTTATAGATATGATAGACGTGTGTACTTTTAGGGTCAATACGTAGTAAAGAAACCCCGATTGTTTATAATTTTTCATTTATTATAAATTACTTGTGAAAAATAAATTGGTTTCCTTAGAATTCACTAATTTATAAAAACAAATTTCTGTGCTGTTCCACTAATGTTAGATTTGTTCCGTAGCCATAATGAAATTCAGGTATGATAGCTTGATTATTTAATCCCATAATAACTATATATTGAACACTGATCAAGCGACATCATAAGTACCGCCAATTCGGAACAAGAACTCACCATGACATGCTACTAGATTATGAATACTAATTACCATATAATTTTGAAAATTGGTTGCCAATCACAGCCATCCAGAAACGGAAACCAGATCGGGTAATTTTACATAAATACATAAAATATGTCGGGATTTCTAGATTACCAGCAAGTGGTTAAACTCATCTTATATGTATATAAATGGAGAAATAAAAAGGAGAAAGAGCAATCACTTGCTTTGAACAAACATTGGAAGATGAACAGAACGAAATCAGTCTGTAACAGGGATATGAGACCTTAAGTTTTAAAACTGTATCATAGATTTGGGCTGATGAGTTTTATGTAAGTAAAGTTTGTTCAATATTAAAGTATACTTACTACAACCATTCATAGTGTATCGTATATCTCTACGATTAGTTTTATCTCCATCAACAGCAACTACATTATTGACTGAAGAATTCTGAAGGAAAAACCATTATTATTTCTTTTATAAATACAATTCTTTACAATTCAACCCATATCTTCCACTATTTATATAAACTAGTGTCCAAAAGAAACGATACCACCTGTTTGCAACGACATAAAAGAAAAACTAAACAATGCAGAAGTTTAGGATTGGTGTTATGCTTTTGAGAAATCCTTTCACAACATCTGTACAAAAATTTCATTTCAATAAAATCTGTACAACCAATATGACAAGCCTTTAAAGATGGGTGGGGTCGAAAAAAGAACATTTCGTTAGAGCACTGATCACAGAAACAACGGGAAATGTCACACCACACGTCACAAAGTCAAGTCAATAGCGGGTATGTCCACCGTGAGCATCAATACATGCCAGAACACGCCTACGGACTGATGCCGTCAAACGTCTGATGACGTTGGGAGGGATTCGTTGCCATTCCTCGAGGAGACATCGTTCCAAGTCCTGGACGTTGACTGGAGGCACACGGCAAAGTCGGATTTGCCGATCGAGGTGGTCCCATAAGTGCTCGAGGGGATTCATGTCCGGTGAACATGCGGGCCATGGCAAAACCTGTACGTTGGCGTTGGCAAGGAAGTTCTGTGTCAATCTTGCTGTGTGTGGCCTTGCATTGTCATGTTGGAAAAGGAGTCCATGAGGCTGTTGCTGAATAAAGGGCACCACAACAGGCCGTAGGATGTCATCATCATAACGCTGTGCATTCAGGTTTCCACGAATTACGACAAGCCTCGTTTTGACGTCACCACATACGAACGACCGGACCTGTTGGATAAAGTTAGGCGCCAAACGTTCACCAAATCGTCAGTATACAAGCTACCGTCCATCGTTTTTGAAGATGAGGAATCTGCTCTCATCAGAGAACATAACACGTGCCCATTTCCCCGTTGCCAACGTCGAACTCGCCTGGTCCAGATCAGTCTGTTGTTCCGGTGTCGAGGCGTCAGGAGCGGTCCGCGGTAGGGATGACGTGGCCGGATACCATACTGCCGTAGTCTCCTGTAGACGGTCTGTCGACTGATCCTGTGTCCCAGTGCTGTAGCTGCCGTGGACGTTGCTGTTACGGTGCGGTTCCTCAGGTGTAATACCCGGATGTACCGATCTTCATGGGGCGTGGTTACTCGTGGTCTTCCACTCCTGGGCCTGTCTGACGTCTGACCTGTCTGACATAACCGCTGCATCAACCTGGTGATAGTGATGCGTGCGCAGCCCAACCTTCTGGCGACGTCGACGTGTGTCGCTCCTTGTTGGACCATTCCAACGGCTCTCTCTCTGTCGATGGCTGTCAAAAGTGGCATATCTTGTGTTCTTTTTGTTGCTGTGATATCAACGTGTCTGATCAGCCGTTTTATACAGTTTTTATGCACGTGCAGAACATGCTAGACAGGGAAATGTCACTTTCACGAAATTTACTTTTTTTCCCGGAAGTGATCACGTGTTCCCGGTATTTTTATCGACTATGTTGTGTTTGGGATGTGCAATACGAATATGTTTTCATATTAGACAATTCACTTAGTAAAAAACAATTTTGAAAATAAGTTGGTATCGTTTCTTTTGGACACTAGTTTATATATCTTATATTCTTATATAGTCAAAAAAAGATACTTAAAGCAGATCATAAATATCATTCAAAATATAATAGTCTATGCTTCTATACTGTCTAGATAATCGTTGAATGAAAAAGGGGTTATCCTTTTTTCTTGTCAAGCCAATATAGTAAACCTTTCTCAAACTCTAGCTTATATACAACTATACAAGTTAGGCCTAGGTCTTGACCCAGACACTGGGGTCTGAAGTCTGTTTATCCCTTTGATCTCAACATTAATCAAAGTTTTTGTATCAGAATAACTGGAGACCATAGCTGTATAACATGTCATCGATAATTCAAAGTTTTTCTCTAATAGTGTCCCTGATTCTTGCAAAGATTAGAAAACCCTTTTTAAATCTCATAAATACTGAACTACACTTACTATAGGAATAGACTCATTAACAGTTGCTTCTACTTGTTTGATAAAATAAGGTGGAGCATCATTTACATCTAAAATCTCAACTTCTAAACTCTGTACATAATTATTTGAGCCATCCTATAAAAATACAAATATAATTAAAAACATAGTTGAACAAAGTGAAAAGGATAGATTATTCCAAAAAGTAGTCTATAGCATGCACTTTTTTACAATTGCAAAATTGTTTTATGAACCCCTAACTTAATGAGGAGTACCATACAACCTATACTCCAAAAATACAAATCATGCAATTAATTTAGTTAGCTATTTGTGAGTAGATTAAAACACAGACAAGATGATACATGAATACTTTGGCATTAATAAAGTTATTTAGTACTTTTTAGAAAGAAATTCAGGGTGCCATTTATACCAATATACACCGTCACAAATAGAGAACATTCAAATTTCAAGTGGTTAAATCAAAATAACTATCATACTTACAAATGTTTTTAATGATAACTGTAGAGTAGGTCTTGATTCATAATCTAGAGGTCTATTTAATGTAATATTACCAGTCCATGTTCGAGTGGAATAGGCACCACGATTAAGATTAAATATATTACAGGAATCTTTGTACTAAAAACAATGATTATAATAATTAAGATAATATTCTACTGAAATAATAGTTAAATGATAAAACAGTCTTTAGTGACTAATGTACGAATTTTCTCATATTAAAATTTTTTTATTAGTTTGAATTCAATGATGTATATATTTACTGCCAGTTATTCATGCTGAGATATTCCACAAAATTTTAAAAAATCAATATCAATATCCCAAATAGATCAAGTTATTAAATCACACAACTCTAATATCAAGGGTAAAAAAAACTGGTTAGAGTGAAATCATTGAAAATTCAAACTTGACCAAGATCTCATCAATACAGATAAAAAGACGTAGAACTCAATTCATTTCATTCATCAATGTAAATCATCACACCACATTTCATAAAAATATCTATTGAGCTCATGAAGTCAAGGGCTATAACTCAAAAACCATTCATCGAAAAATCAAGTTCGAACTTGTCCAAGATCTCATCAATATAAATGATCACACCAAATTTCATTAAAATCAGTTGAAAACTGTTGTCTCTTTTGTGTTCGCAAACAAATTTTGATGCGTTTTTCCTTAGTCTTGGCAATAACTCAAAAACCCTTCATTGAAAAATCATCAAATTCGAACTTGTCCAAGATCTCATCAATATAAATGATCACACCAAATTTCATTAAAATCAGTTGAAAACTGTAGTTTCTATTATGCTCACAAACAAATTATGATGCGTTTTGCTAAGTCAAGGGCAATAACTCAAAAAGCTTTCATCGAAAAATCATCAAATTCGAACTTGACCAAGATCTCATCAATATACATTAAGTTTCATTAAGATCAGATAAAAACTGTAGTCTCTATGGTGTTCACAAGAAATGTTGACGGACCAACGGACAGGGGAGACAGCCATATACATCCACATTTCCATGTGGGCATTTAAGAAACTAGTAAAGAAAATTCAAAAACATTAAAAGTAAAAGGTAAATATCAATAAACTATCAAAAGAGATCAAAGTGCTTAACATTTTCTATATGCCATATTTTCTTATTACTCTTTATGAACCTTAATGCTTTTATCAGAATAATAAGGCGTAAATGTATTAAAACCAAATGATATCTTGATAACAAGTTTTTAACTTACAACAATATCCACACGTGAGTCATCACATGTTACTTGAATACCTCCATTTCTTGTATAATCTACATCTCGTACTGAGAGGTTATCAAAAATCACAGTACCAATAGGTGTATCCTGTATAATAAAATAGAGAGAAGAATGATATCTAGTTCTAACAACCTATAACTCTTAGGGTCTTGATCATTAATCCCACATCAAAAAGAAACTAGAGCCACACGTGGCACAGAGTGGGACTTTGCAAATGTAGTAATTTGCTAAAGAACCCCAAAAAAATCATCCATCGACGATAATTAGGTCAAGTTCAAGAACAGTCTAATGTTGAGAAATTATTATTTTTTAGAAGATTCTAATACCAGAAGTAGACGCCAGACCTCACAAATAAAAGTATCATCAGATAGCCAAGGTCAATGACCTTTGATCTTGTAAAGGAGAAGGTCTAAAAAGGTCAAGATCAAGAGATATACGTCATCAAAATTTCAAATTGCACACGGCTATAAAACCGGAAGTTTGACATAGGACAGCAAATATAAAAGTATAAATAGCCAATGCCAATGACGTTTGATCCTACGAAGGTCAAGGTCAACAAAGGTCAAGGTCAAAAATTGAAAATTTTGAATATCTAAAACCTGTTCCTTTTTATGAACTATGAAGTGGAAACAACCGAAATTCTAAGACAAAGTGGCTCAAAATATGAGGTAATTGTATGCAAAGTTCCATTTTGAACAAATGTATACTTTGCGAGTTATGTCCCTGGCCAAAAATGTCAATAATGAGTAATTTAACCCGGATGTGCTGCGCCCACCTCAATTTCTCTTGCATAGGTTAATTGATATTCAAAATGTTACATTATGTTCCAAATGTCAAGCTCCTACATATTACAAGTCAAAAGGATGAGGTAATTGTGTGCAAAGGCCCTTTTTGAACAAACGCATCCTATGCGAGTTATGCCCCTGCCTCTAAATGTAAACAATTAGTAATTTTTTTGTCATAGGTGAATTCATATTCAAAGTGTCTAGTTGTATTCCAAATATCAAGGTTCTACATCAAATAGATCATAAGATATACATACACTAAGCTCAAAAAGACCGAATATTGTAAAAAAACTCAAATTTGAAATAATCACGAATTTCAATTTTGCTTTAAAAAAACGATTATTCTATATCGGTGTAAAGTGCATGAGAAGCACATTAGGAAATCGAAAAAATTAACTCTCCAGGTTAATTAGGTCACGTGCTAGAGCAGTCCAAAGTTGCGAATTTGGCTTTTTACGGATAGCTATAAAACCGGAAGTACATGTCGAAGGTCAAAGGTCAAAGTATCAAATGATAGCCAAGGTCAATGACCTTTGACCTTATAAAGATCAAGGTCATCAAATGTCAAGGTCACGTGGTATGTGCGTTTAAAGTTTTAAAAAAATTCAACCGGAAGTTGCAAAAAAGCAAAATCGAAATTCAAAATTCGGCTCGCAACGTTTTTTGCGCAATCGATTGCTGAATACATACACATCAAATTAGAGCATATCAATATTTACCCTGAGGCCCCATTTTGTGTGTTTTTTCAATATGGCGGCAGAAGTATCACTTCCGGTCTGGATTTTATTTGCTAAAGATCAGCTAAATTTTGTTGAAGTACATAAATAACACCGAAAGTTATTCAACCGGAAGTAGATTTGAAATTCAGTCCCTTTCCTGTTTAAAACCGGAAATGACGTACAAAATTTGACTTTACCATATTATCTACATTAGTGAAGTCTCTTTGCATTTAAAATTTCAGATCAATCGATGCAAAAGCAAAAAAGTTGCAAAAAAATTGAAAAATTTGATCGAAAAGAGTGAGCTACGAATTTTCGAATTTCGTAATTTTTGAAGTGCTATCAGGTCAGAAATTACAGGTAGATTGTAAAAATGAAAACCTGATGAAAATCGAGGCAAAATTGCGCCTTCTAGAGCCGATTTTCGACTTTTTGCACATGTTGAACTGTGGCACTTCCGGTTGTGCAAAAATGTTTCAATTTATATTCATTTTGTACGTTGCCACTACAGAAGGTCTACCCATGTAGAAACGTTGATGCAGCCGACGAAGCCTAGACTGTGTGCCCTGTGGAAAAATCGAAAAAAAAAAAAAAAAAAAAAGAATTGACATTTTCTCATTTAACAAATTTCAAGAATTGATTAGTAATCATGATAATGATTGCAACAAAATTACCAGAACTCCTTGAGCATCTTACAAAATGATCTGACTTGATATAATTCTCCAAAAAATGCGTTTAACACCAGATGGTTCCAAAATTAGAACCCAATGGAATCAACAAATGAGGCAAAGATACATGAATAGGATATAAAAGACTTAATTTCTCTTATAAATTACCTCTGAAATTCTAGCTTTATAAGTTGTCTTGGTAAACTTGGCAGGATTGTCATTGGCATCAAATACTACCACTGTTATATCAACTGCTGACTGTAAAATATATCTTTATCATCCACTCTAGCAAACCACAGCAATATGTATTTCTTAATTTCACTATCAGACACGTTACTATACTTTGTATTCTCATTGTCAATTCAGGTTGATACTTTTGGGGAATTTTCTGTGATAAGTACATTTATGTAGACATCAACTACTTTATGTTTTATCAATGCAAAGTCTATCTGTACTGTATTGAAACATTAAATTTTTGTAAATTTCTTAAAGATTAAATTCACTTATGTTTTAGTCAAAGAAATAACTTTAAAAGTTTTACAGAAAGTAACATACTTTCAACTTTCAGAATGATTATCTGACTTACATATAAATCAAAAGACCACTGAAGGGACAGTTTTTACCAATAAAGTCATAATATCAATATAATATTATGTCTGGCAATTGGAAACTTGTGCTATTACTATTTCAAACATTAAATCTTAGCCATTTTCTGTGTGTAATACTTACTTCTAATCCATTGGCATCTTGAGCAGTAACTCGAATATCTAAATTTTTCTCCCCAACATCATAGTCTACTGTACGTGTAAGTGAAACATCACCATTATTTTGGTTTACAGCAAACATATCAGCTACAATTCCATATGTTACTTTGGTTCCACCTACTCTATCAACAGCTTTTAACTGAAACACTGATGACCCTGCACAAAACATAAAACATTTACATAGTTTATTCTAGAATAATTGAAAAACGAAGCATATTTAAAACATAGAAATCATACATAAAAGATTTCATAGAAATAGGGTCTGCATCTACCCGATAAAGAAGATGATGGGACTCAGCCATATAAAAATTAAAAATTTTTGATATCACGCTCTACAATTGATGTATTGAGGAGTATTTCAACTGTGAGTATGACTAACAATATGCATAACAAACCTATTGGTTGATCTTCACTAATTGTAAACTTCGAAAAATCGCTCTCAAACGTTGGCGGTGCACAAAAAACTTTAACTGCAAATAATAGAAAAGCTATTTTATAGTGTTGGCAAAAGGGTTTTTGTTATTAAAAGGAGGCAGATAAATACACTTCAAGAGACTTCATCTATGCACATCAAGGTTCATATATATCCTACTGTTCTGACCTGTCTTACTCCATACAGAAGTTGACCTGACCTGTCTTACTACATACAGAAGTTGACTTGACCTGTCTTACTCCATACAGAAGTTGACCTGACCTGTCTTACTCCATACAGAAGTTGACGTCAAATTTGACCATGATCAACTGATATAATATGATAAATTTTAGAACCACACAGTAGCAAAAAGGTTTATCTTACTGGAAAGATTATTGTGTTCTGAATGTGGTTACATAAGCTTATGTGTGTTATGTATTATGCAGAGCCATTATGATGTGATATTACCTTTTGCACTACAAATTAACCACATTTACAAAATATTTGTAAATCCCTGAAGCTTCTAGTGTGACACATAGAGCCATTTGGTTTAACAAATACATGACCTGCCATGCTAGTGAAATTATGCTACGAATTATGCTTGATAAATTCAAGCATTTATATAATTACTAACCAAAGTTAAGCAGGAGACAAAGCACCACAAATAACAGAATTTTGGTCCCCATCTTGGTTTGTTACCAAGGTGAATCCACTCTTCTGCTTAAATTTTTCTTCCTGAAACAAATAAAAAAATCAATAAAAAATTCATGAGGATTGGTTTAAAATAAATAAATAGATCTAAATTACAAAACAACATTTCAGATAAATATAAACTATTTATATTTAATATCACTAGAATAAAGCAACTTTACCAGATTGCTAGAAAGAAGTAAATGTTGTACAACTTTTTAAAAAAGGCTGTAAGAAGAAAGCTTCTAACTACTAAGTATTGGACTACCTGACTAATGCCATTGACGAGAATAACCCTATTGACATGGTCTATTTTGATTTTCAAAAAGCATTCGACAAAGATCCTCACCAAGGTATTGAAGGGCACATACTGAAGTGGATTGAAGAATTTCTAACTGGATGGAAACAAAGAGTCATTCTTAACTCAACTTATTCACCATGGACAAGGGTACAGGGTGGTGTCTTGGGACTTTCCTTCCACTCTACAAATCATTTATTAGACCAAACATGGAATATGTAGTCGCAGTTTGGCATCCTACCCTGAAGAAAGACATCCAACTCAGAATTATAAACGACATAATGAGACAGATGACACATCATTCTAACAATATCAAGAAACCAGAACCAGAGGACATCAAAAGAAATTTGTTAAACCACAATATAGACTATTTTTCTGTGCATGTCATCAATGATTGGAATTCCATCCCAGGCTATGTAATCAACTCTTAGTCTTAAACGATTCAAATCTAATCTTACTACAGTTTGGAAGAACATCGATATCAAATTCAGACCCAGCATTATGGAAATCTAACGAACTACAAAAAATTCTCCATAACAAGTTGTATGCGCACAAAAACAAGAAACAAAATTATTTATTTCTTAACTTCAATTTGAAAGTCTTATCAGAAATTCACGGTCAAGAAGTTGTAGTGCTTACTAACAGACCGAAGAACAGGTATATAACAGGTATATTTCCATCCTAATGGAATATAACCTTCTCACTGACTAAATTGGCACAGTACATAAATGTTAAATTGTAGGGGAACTAGAATAAAAAAAAATGCTAGCATCATATTTATGATCAACACATGACCATAAGAGTTAATCAAAACTTATTCATAGATGCTTTAAAATTCATTTCTGTTCAGCTTTTTTTAACAGACAAAATAAAACTGTCATTTACATCTAACACCATGTAAAACTAATTGTTCTAGTACCAATACCAAAAAAAAAAGGTCAGAAGCTTAGAAAAATTTTGAACATTCTCAACACTGATAAAAAATTACCTTTTAAGAATTTTAATTAAAAGTTAGAACTTTCAAAGTCAGTACATGTATGTTCATTTGTGTTATCAAATGTTAGTAATCAATGGTCACAAAGACATTTTAAGACAATTGCTAGAGAATTGAAGATTAAAATTCTGAATACTTTTGAAAGAACAGAAGCAAACGGCAATGATGCCAGTCACACTGACGACTGTTGAAAGACATCACAAAATATAAATTTATACCAAATAATATATTGACCAAATTCAAAGTTCTGCTTAAAATTGCTAGTTATCTACAAAACAATATATACCCTAAACCATAATTGTTCCCTGGAGACAAACTCCTTCCCCCTACCCCATTCTTCCTTCCTTACCTCCACCTCACTGGGATGCAGGTATGGATTTCCAAAATATCACAAATTATCCACCCTTATTCACACCCTAATAGAGGATCGACGGGTTCAATTGAAGGCATGCCAGTTCTTACCTTCTTACAAAATCTAAACATAGCAATCGCCTTTGAAGAAAACCGGTTTGGCAAGTTTTTACTGATCATTATTAAAATCATTCATCCAGTTCTTGTTTACATTTGCCACCATTGAAATCTGGATTGCTCAAAGTTGAGCACGAAAATTTCACTATAATGAACCGCAATATGAATATTTTTCAAAGTTTTGTTTTTCAAACTCACTTATTTCTTCATTCAAATATGGAAATTACAAAATATAATTTTTTTGTACAGGACTTTTAAATTAAACTGATAACTCACACTTAATATTCATATATTTAATATTTCGTTTTACTTTATATGTTGGTTATGGAAATAAATGAAGTGGGGGGAGCCCAGATGGAAGGGGGCGGAGTCAAGTTTATCTCAATATTAATAATGGGTTTATTTTTAAACTTGTCAAACCGGTCTTTGAAAATAACACAATATAAACCTAAATTTCTGTATCAAGGGTGTGCAAGGGAGAGGTGGAATATTTAGGGCCACTTATATGGAGTTATGAAATAAATACAAATGTGAGTGAATTGTTAATTTCTGAACATTTTTGGGGGATTTGTGAATCCTTGGTGAAATGAGGATCTGTTGTAAAGTAAAGGGATATCAATTCTTAAACTAACTTGAAAATTACTTGTAGCAATGCATAATTGTTGCCCATGTAAAATTTATTTTCTATTCACATGGACATTGGCAATAATCAATTATGGGTTCAAGCTTCAAGTCTATGTGTCATTATAGAATAGAAATTGATTAATTAATCCACTTTTTTCTGTAGTGTAAAATATATTAATTCATTTAAATGAATGGTATAGAAATCTGTACAAGTTATATTTTCCCAAATTCAAATTATTTTTTTTTCTATATTTTTTGATGATTATATGTGCTGTATATAGACAATGGCCTGAAACAAATAATGTTATTTTTTTTAAGGCAATCATTATTGAATTGGTCTTTTCAATTTCAACTGGATATTAACTAATGTATTGGATTATTAAAATTTGTTTTAATTGTTAAATGTGTCTCATAATAAGTTTTAAAATTTTTCTGTATATATTTATATTTTAATAATTTGTGACACTTATTTAAAAAGATAACTAGTTAAATAAAATGTTCTGTTATCATATACTCACAGATTTAGACAGTTAGCTAGTATTCATTTACTAATACAGGAATTGTAGCCCATTAGGTTTTTTAACAGGAGCCTGCTCATTATAGTCCCTTGAATTACCATTGTCTCCTGATTATTCCTGACATTTCAACCTGCTTGCCATTGAAATGATACATACTAAAGATAATTTTTCCCTCATTGTACTTGGTATCATTTCTTGATCCATTGCCATTTCCTTTTTTTTTTCAGATTATATAAAGGGTAGGCTATCAAAATGCTTAGTTTTAAAGGAATATTGGTTTCAATATTCTTAATTTTAGGTAAGATTTTAGAATTAATAGTTAATTGGGTCTTTTGTACAGCACAACCAGCCATTTCTGAGCTCCTATCAGACATTAGTAGCACCAGACCTCCTCTATACATCTCATTTTAATCTTAAAATAGTAGTGTCTCTCGAAGCTTAAATCAAATTTAATACATATTCTGTTTATATTGATCAAGTATTAGATATTAGGATTGAGATTGTTTCGTCTAAAGATATTCTACAATTTAATGTAATGTGTAATTTAATTTAATTAAATTGGTTTGAATTTCAATTCTCTTATTTCAGAATTATGTTCACAGTCTGAGGCAAACAGTAAGTATATTATCATTGTTCAAATTTAATTTGTCTAACAATATTTTAGCATAAAACAGTTGAAATGAACGTATGTGTAATGGAGTGTAATATATTATCATGTACCAGTAGACATCATTTTAAATAGCTATCATGATGATAGATATGATATCAGAAACATGTTGGGGACATCAAGGAGAATTGATACAAAAATTCTTTGAAAATGAAAAAGATAATCTGATTTGAAATTCATAATTGCGATCATTTACATAATCAATTCAAATATTTGGTGAATATTTTGTTATTTATATTCCAGCTCGACCAAGATTTAAAACACAAAATGCATCAGGAGCATTTGTTGATGGTAATTTGTATAACCGTTTGACAGTGGAGGGAATTCTTGAGTCCATGGAGTTAAGTAAGTATTATTCCTGTCATTTTATTTTTGATTATGGAATATTAAAGCTATCTGTAACTCTTTTCAGAACTGAAATATGACTTTCAGTTTTCGTACAATTCAACAAAAGCAAATCTTGGTAGTATAATCCAATGTGGGTATTGATAATCTACTATATATATTGATGAGATCTGAAATGAGTTTAGACTACCATCTAACTGACATGACAAAACAAAGAACAAGATGCTATGTTGACAACTTGGTCACACTTATTTGTGCTATATTGACACTCTCAACAAAAGATATTCTCATGAAGCTAGAATTTAAAAAAAGAACCTCTCATATCTGATTCTCTATTGCCAGTTTTGTATTCTGATTTAAGATGCTGATATTGGCCAGCTAAAATGTGAAGATGCTGAAGATGATGATGCAAAGCTGGTGTACACTGGTAATGGACAAACAGTTACAGTTGAATCTGATGGCTTTGTTGTTTTAAATCGTAAACTTGATAAAGAGGTAATAATTATTGAGACTACTATATTGGCTTGAATAATATTTACACTGGTGACTTCATAATCTGCCTCAGTTTTTTTCTGGAATTACTCCATGACAAGAATACTTTCTTTGAATTTAACTATAACTATAAATGTACTTTAAATGTTATAATTTTTTCTACTGAAGGATAAATTGGGGTAACAAGAGAATAATCATCTTGTTATTGTTGATATATGATAAATATGATAATATTTCTTTGTCAGAATTCACCTGTTGCAGTAACTGATTTTTCCTCTCCATTACGACAAACATTTAGATGTACAGATTCAGGAGGATTATTTGTAAGTATCAGGATTAATATGTAGATATTTTAGCTGTCTGAGAAGGGATATTAATGGCACTGTCCTGATAAAATTATCCTCCTTGCATACTGATGTCATTAAGATGAACTTTCAAATTGGAACAGCAAAGTGCAACTATTACAGTTTTAATTTTGGAATGAAAGTTGCAAAGACAAAGTTTCTATGGCAATAAATGAAATGAATTTGAATGGAGTTTTACGGCCTACTATTTCTGCACCTAATTCTGAAGATGGTCTGTGGCAACAAGATATATATTGTAAACATTATAGAAGTTACCAGATATATTAACTACAAGAGATTTTAGAAAGTATATTTATGTCTAAATCAATATTCCTACTTGATCTTTTCATTGTTTGATATCAAATTAAAAATATTTAAACAATTCCTAGATTTATAGGTACCGGTACTCAACCTTCTTTGTCTGTAATATTGAGACAACTGGACTAAGAATGATATGATTTATATTATAGGCTGAATATACATTGACAATAACTATCACAGATACCAATGATAATGCACCTGTTTTTAGTGGTGCTGCTGCCTTCTCTGACAGGATAAGAGAGGTATGTATTCTGTTTGTGGAACACCTTCGTCAATCTTGATCATTGCCTTCAGACTTTTGCAGTGTTTGCTAAGTTGTAGTAATGTTGTTAACCTGTTATGTAATTGTGGTCTGAAAAGAGTATGCAAGGGGAGAATAAGAGTTTTTTTTGATTGGTGGGGTTTGTTATGTATTATTATTATAGGCTAATTGGGTAAGAGACATTTGCTTATCTTAACACAATCAATGTTGAAAGAACAAGTTTCTGTTTTCCAGGATTCTCCTATTGGTACACAACTTAGTTTAGCTATCAATGTAACAGATAGAGATCAGGGAGCTAATGCTGAAGTTGATGTGACATGTTATATAGGTGATCCTGTTGAAGCATTGGTAAGTCAGAACAGAACATATCTTGTTATTAGTTAACAAAGTTATAGTACAGTCAAGTAACCTAATTTCGTGGAAACCTATTTTTCGTTCACCCCCGGAAATGATTAATAATTTACATGTGCGACCTTGTTTGACCTCGGCATTTGCTTGTTTTGATAAACATGGGTTATCTCTACAATTTCAGCTAGTAGAATGAATCCAGTAGTTTCAAGCAAGGAAAATGTATTAATGTATACTTTGATATAAACAAAATGGCGGATTTCACTTATTACCAAATATCACATTTTTTATCGGCCGAATTTCCTTATAATCCCAAACTGTTATTGGAATTCCAAGTGTCGTCTGCAAGAATATATTCTAGCGAACGACGTCACGTGACAAACTAGCAGATTCCATGTCAGCAGAAAAATTCACAATGTGGGCCATATTCTTATGTTGTTTCAATGACTTTTAGCAATAAATCACACTACGTATCTTATAAAGTGTTTTTCTCGACTTATTTATAGATCAAACATTGTACACCAAAATAGGTGACGCATTTTGTCGGTTGCTCATGAAATATGGGTCAAAGTGAGGAATTCATAAAGAAAATTAAAACCAATTTTAATTATTTTAAAGAATATCTGAAGAAATCTCTAAGACATAAAAAAAAATGGAAATGTGGACGTATATTGCCGTCGCCTCTGTCCGTTGGTTCGTCAACATTTCTTGTGAACACAATAGAGACTACAGTTTTCAACTGATTTTAATGAAATTTGGTGTGATCATCTATATTGATGAGATATTGGTCAAATACTAATTTGACGATCTTTCGATGAACAGTTTTTGAGTTATTGCCGTTGACTTAGGAAAAACGCGTCAAAATTTGTTTGTAAACACAAAAGAGACTACAGTTTTTAACTGATTTTAGTAAAATTTGGTGTGATCATTTGATTTATACAGGCGCAATTTTCCATACTTTTATAAAATATTTTGAAATAAGTAATTCATTTAAACGAAATAACGTCATACATTTTTTATTTCATTTTAACGAAATAATTATTATTAGTTTAATTCATTTACTTATTTCGTTAAAAGAATTAATTATTTCATTTAAACAAATTAATTATTTCGTTTAAACAAATTAATTATTTTAAACGAAATACATTTTTTATTTTGTTTAAACAAAATATATGACGTTATTTCGTTTGAACGAATTCGTTTAATCGAATAACTTACTTCGTTTAAACGAATTATTTTATAAAAGTATGGAAAATTGCGTCTAAGGGGCTCCGTAGATTTATTTGGGTTATAGATACTGATTTTTTAAAATTTTGTGGTATTTCTCAGCATAAATAACTGGCAGTAAATATATCATTGTATTCAAACTATTAAAATTTCTTTAATATGAGAAAATTCATACTTTACTCACTAAAGACTGTTTTATCATTTCTGACAGCTGCCAGTGAGCATTTGTTACCTTGTCTGACAAGCTATCTTATATTAAGAAAATTGACGATGGGATAAGTTTGTTAGTCCTTTTTTTTCTTAATTTAATTTGGATTTTTCATCAGGAAAGATGATAAAAAATGTCCTATATATAATGAAATAGATGTTCAGGAAGAATAAGCTTCCCTTTACGTCGGCCTTTCCCTTTTCCTTCCCCTTCATTTTCAACTGTATTGTATTTCAGAGTGTGAAGGCATGTGAATATTTTGGTGTAAGAACTGTACAGAATGGTCAAGGTCGCTATGAGTCCAAAATCTATTTAAAGAAAAAAGTTGATTATGAACAAGATCGTTCTTATCTCATGACACTACTAGCCAAGGTATGTTTTTCATATAGTTGACTAAAAAAATATCAGAACGATCGAAAAATATTTAATATGTTGCCCATGTTCTTGAAAACGCGTAAAATTTTTAGCTCCTAAGGCACAGTTCTTAACGGATTTTGACACCAAAGAATAGAATCAGAAGAATCAAAAAAGATTAAAAATTAGTTTTGCCCTTGTTCTTGAAAAGTCAATCAATAGTAAACACTCTAGAAAGCAAAATTCCAAATGGATTTTGATGAAACTTGGTGCAAGTGTTTTTTTATTTGGAAAACATATAATTTTGAATTTCTGTTTCATGCTTATGTGTTTCAATTTTTTTTAGAATTAATAAGATTCATTATAAATTTTTAAAAAAATCCTTTGAAATGAATCCTGATGACATAACTCTATAACTAGTTAGGATATCAAGTTAATGTTGATTTAACTTCATGGTATGATGTCAAGGGCTTAAAGGGACAGTTGTGCCATTTTGGGGGTTGATTTGAGTCTTGAATATATGTAAATAGTCTTCAGAACTACTAGCAATGTATGAAAAATACACAATTTCTAGGAATTTCTTTTCCAATTTCTATAGATGTCTTTTCTATATATGGTAGTGTCCCAAGAAAGGACGACTCATCTTTATAACTTTCAAATACATACAATTGTGGACACACATGGATTTGAAGGCTCAAATTTCAACAGTGAGCTGTGAAATATATCTGATTGGCTTATCTAAAGAATTCCTGTTTTTGAGACTTATACCCCTTTTACACTAGGCCCGATAAAGAGAACCTGTTTACACTGGCGTTCTGTGATCACTTTAAACGGAAATAAGCGTGCGCTCTCTAATTAAAAAGATTACAAAAGGTTCACATTTGTAGATTTATAATGGCCGCCGATACAGAAGTTGTAAACCCTGCAAACGTGTAGAAGAATTTTTAAACAGAGCCAGGCACGCATTCGTTTTACACTAGTAAAATTGAAGTGGGCCAGGCACCGATCCGGACCTGTCCCACCTCTTATTGCGGTGCCAGGCCCGATTAAATTGGCTTATTTCCGTTTACACTAGTAAAATTGAAGTAGGCCAGGCACCAATCAGGGTCTGGTCCACTTTATCGGAGCCGAGTGTAAAAGGGGTATAAGGTATGATTGTTTAAAAAAAAAAATGGCCTTGTTTAAAAAAAAAATGTCCCTTTAAACATTTATTTGACTGTGTTTGTCATACATATTGAAATGTGAAAGAAGACAATCTTCAGAAAACCATGGCTGTGGTATTGAAATTTTTAGTATTATACAGGGATGAATTATTGTATAATTTCAGGATCGTGGAGTACGTGTTAATGGTAACCTTACGCAGAATAACTCAACAGCTAATATTATTATTGAAGTACTGGATGCTCAAGACTCTCCACCAGAGTTTATTAACATACCAGTCACAGTTTATGTACAAGAGAACACTCCAATAGTAAGTTTCTCATAGGTCAAGTATTACTGGGAAAGAGAACATATGCCCAAATATCAAGCACAATGATAACTTATTTTTGATACTAAATTGTGGTGGATTTGTTTGATCTAGAGGATTATCAAAATCACTATTAGCAATAGGTTACTTTAATTTTGTCTTTTTACTTGTAATCTGAAATAATCTTTTTGCTAACATCCTTTAGTTTTTAATTGATTTTTAGAATACTCCATTAACAACATTGATAAGTGCTCAGGATCAAGATGATGGCTCACCCCGTCCAGTCAAGATAAAACTTCTCTCAGGTATGTCTATTCCCTGAAATTGAATTATTAACAACAGGAGACTTCAATAAAATTTCAATTTCTGCCTCACAATTTTTTTTAAATATTAAGTATCAAACAAGGGAACAGAAGGGAAGATTACGAAAGCCTTTGAGGCACACCTAAAAAAATATAATTGTATTCTTATTTTTCTGAATATAGTTTGAACAACTCGAAATTTTGGACTCCTCAAGTCAAATTTTGGACTCCAAAAGTTGAAATTTTGGACTCCACTTGTTTGGAAAAAGTTTCTATTTTCTATGCTTAGACTAGATTGAAAGTGGACGCTGCTTCGATGAATGGTGGTTAGGGATGGGGTTTGCGAGGGGAGTTTATCCGCGGACATTTTTAAGAATAACCAGTTGTAAACACTATTTCCAGCAATCTGAGATAACAATTTTTGATGAGATATCGTGATTTTTTTTTTTTTTTTTAGATCCACTTGGTTTATTTAGTATTGGTGAAACTGCTCAACGATCTGGTCAGGTGTTTTATTCTGCTCCAGTTTTAGTTAAATCTCAAATAGATCGTGAAGTGTTGAATAATATTTATACTTTCACTGTTGAGGTAAGTAAAAAATGACCTCATCTTAGAACATCATTCTGCTGTTTGCTGCTGAAAACATCATAATTCTCTTAGAATATCTGATTGGCTGATATGCTAAATATAACAATATTGACCAATTGAAGTTCTTGAAATCATTTAGTTAGGAAATTCTAAAGAACTCAGTTAAACAGCTTAGCTTTACCAATCAAACTTTTGTCCATGTCAATACCCTTCTGCATCCTTGCACTGTTGGTGAGGGCTGACACCGGGTAGACTCCTGGAAGCACTGGCATAGGCATCAAACATTTTTTTTTATCTTGAGGAGGATTTTTATCCTGGGCTTCTAATTGCCTAGCAGATGACAATCCCATTTGTATTGATGAAATTCTTTGTAAAAATTTCATGATAGAGTAAGAATCAATAGTGTAGAATCTTGTTTTCTAGGCAGTTGAAATGGAAGGGAATGTTGAAACCAATGCTAAAGTTAATACTACAGTAACAGTCAACATACAAGATGTTAATGATAACAAACCAGTCTTTACTCCTTCACAATTCAACGTTAATTTAACAGAAGTTGAAGCTGACTCGTCTGCCCAGAATTCTCAGGTTCCTGGTCTAAATATACAGGTTACGGATGCAGATGAAGTGAGTATTAGTTATAACTAGTCAATGATTATAGACCAGGAGCCTTAGATTAAGAATCACTGATTATTCATTCACAAAAATTTCTCACTTATAACTTTCAACACATACTGTGAAAACCTTAGTGACCTTAGTCATAATTTTGCTTAAGACTCTTCAGATATTATCATTATATGGTTTTACATCAAGTTGACTCAAACATTTTCATTTAGAAATATTTTTAGAGAGACTATGTTTAGTGATTTAAGTTGTTGTTCTCAGAGATCTAGAGTTTAAACGAGAACAGTCGGCATTTTCGGGGATTGATTTCAGCCATGCTTTATTCAATCTCCAAGCTCTTACATCATGCCTTCAACTCACAAAAATACATATTCTGTCACATGACAATCTACCTTTAGAGCAGACAACTCTGTTTTACTGAGAAGGAAAATATGGGAGATAACTCTTACTTAACAATTAGTTTTAAGACAACAATATGACCTAATAATATCAGTATGACAATATGGTATAATCTCACTAAAATTCGAGTTGAATTTATAACTTTCAAACGAGTATGATTATGGATACACATGAATTTGAAGGCTCAAATTTCGACGTTGAGCTGTGAACACTATTATTGATTATGTAAGATAAAAAATTCCTTTTTCTGAAACTAAGGTATGATTGGTGCTCCTTTAATCCTAGTATAAGGTTAGGTCTTCAAAATGTGTTCCAAATTTGCGTTGGAAGACTTTTTTAAAGCTAAGGATCTTGAAGGAAGGTTGTCATTCTTTTAAATGATCTAATTTAAATTAAAATGTCAGTTTCCATGTTAGTGATACATCATGTCAGAGGATATGTGATCCTTAAAATGAAATGGAATTATACAGTTTTTATAGCACAATAAGTGGTAAATATCTTTTGTATTTCATATGTATTGACGTAGACATATTTTACTCTCTGAATTGTTGTGAAAGTTTCAAAGATGCAGGATTAACAGAAAGTCTAAAATGGTTGCTAAATGATATTCTGTTTTACTTTCAGGCCAGCAATGCAGAATATGATGTGAGAATTTCATCCCAGACATTTCCCAATACATTCAGAGTGTTTCCAGAAGGCAGACTTATAGGAAGTACTACTCTAAATTTAGTAATTGAAAACTCCAGATATTTAGATTATGATCAGCCTAATAATAGAATACATATTATAAAAGTAAGTATTGTTGTTACAATAGATATGGAACAGACTCTTTATATTATAAAGACAGGACATAGAAATACTTTACAAGAGTAAATTTTAAATCTATAGTTTAGTGAACTACAAAGCATCTTTGAAAAATGATATTCAACTTTAGTCAACTGATTAATCACAAACTTATACAAACAATACAATATGTAAATTTTATCTACAAAGAACATGATCTGCTTGTGATATTTTCAATCTAAACTGAACATGATATTGAGTAAAAAGACTCAGATATTTCCCCTTGAAATATGATTACTACTTGAATGTCTGTCAGACATAGGTATGTAAAAATATATGTTGAATATTTCAGATTGAAGCTACAGAAGTTTCAGGTGGTAAAGAAACCTCCACAGCAACTGTGACCATTAACCTGCTAGACTTGAATGATAACTTCCCAGTATTTGATAATAAGATGTATAATGTGTCTGTAAGAGAAGACAAACCAGTAGGAAGCTTTCTGATCAAAATAACAGTAAGTTAGTTATCCACATCTTTCTTGTGTTTGATATCTTCCTTTGAGGGTTGCTCAGTGAGTTTGTTTTTGCCAACTAGGAGTCTGGCTGGTTTATCTCAGAATAGATTAAGATAGTGCCTTCAGATATTTTAACCCTGTTTTCTTCATCAATGCTGCAGGTCAGAGGGACAATCAAAACAAAAAGGAGAGTAAATCTCCATTTCATTTCAATTTTACTTATGATATATTGAAATAGCTATCAAATATGAAAGGATAGAGTACACATGAAGTAAAACAATAAAGATATTACAGGAACAGGATTTGTACCATTTATACAACTCCTCAAACTCCTTGAATATGATATTCTGAATGAAAGAAATAATGATATATTTCAGGCTACAGATGGTGACCAAGGTAGTAATGGTAATATATCTTATTCATTACGTGGTACTGACCTTGACATGTAAGTGTTTTGCTTAAATCACCATTTAAACTATGACACAACTCTGGTTTATGTTTCAGAGGATAGTCCACTGTTTTATAACCTTCAGTACATGTGGTTCTAGAGCACTTAAAATAAATATACCACATAATGCTGGTTTATATTCTTGAGCATAAACCTCACACAACCTATACATCACATCATACTAGTTTATATTGATAGACCACACACAACCCATATATCACATCATACTGGTTTATATTCTAGACAACACACAACCCATATATCACATCATACTGGTTTATATTGATAGACCACACACAACCCATATATCACATCATACTGGTTTATATTCTAGACCACACACAACCCATATATCACACCATACTGGTTTATATTATAGACAACACAACCAATATTTTACACCATATTCGTTTATATTAAGGACCATATACAACCCATATATCACATCATACTCGTTTATATTCTAGACCACACACAACCAATATTTAACATCATGCTGGTTTATATTATAGACCACACACAACCCATATATCACATTAGACTGGTTTATATTATAGACCACACAACCAATATTTCAAATCATACTCTTTTATATTAAGGACCACACACAACCAGTATCTAACATCATGCTGGTTTATATTATAGACCACACACAACCCGTATATCACATCATACTGGTTTATATTATAGACCACACAACCAATATTTCACATCATACTGGTTTATATTCTAGACCACACAAAACCCATATATAACATCATACTAGTTTATATGATAGACCACACACAACCCATATATCACATCATACTGGTTTATATGATAGACCACAAACAACCCATATATCTCATCATACTGGTTTATATTATAGGCCACACAACCAATATTTCACACCATACTCGTTTATATTAGAGACCACACACAACCCATATTTCACACCATACTGGTTTATATTATGGACCACACACAACCAATATCTAACATCATGCCGGTTTATATTCTAGACCACATACAACCCATATATCACATCATACTGGTTTATATTCTAGACCACATACAACTCATATATCACATCATACTGGGTTTGTTTTCTAGACCACATACAACCCTTTATCACACCATACTGGTTTATATTCTAGACCACATACAACTCATATATCACATCATGCTGGTTTATATTATAGACCACACAACCAATATTTCACACCATACTCGTTTATATTAAGGACCACACACAACCCATATATCACATCATACTAGTTTATATGATAGACCACACACAACCCATATATCACATCATACTGGTTTATATGATAGACCACAAACAACCCATATATCTCATCATACTGGTTTATATTATAGGCCACACAACCAATATTTCACACCATACTGGTTTATATTATGGACCACACACAACCAGTATCTAACATCATGTTGGTTTATATTCTAGACCACATACAACCCATATATCACATCATACTGGTTTATATTCGAGACCACATACAACTCATATATCACATCATACTGGTTTTGTTTTCTAGACCACATACAACCCTTTATCACACCATACTGGTTTATATTCTAGACCACATACAACTCATATATCACATCAGGCTGGTTTATATTCTAGACCACATACAACCCATATATCACATCAAACTAGTTTAATTTCTAGACCACACTCAACCCACCTATCACATCATACTGGTTTATATTCTAATTTGATAAAAAGTAAAATGAAATGCTAATAAACTGTTTAGCCTTCAATTGTATATGATTTGTTATATATATTATATTATTTATGTAATATAATTGTACATATATTATATTGTCATATGTAATATGGGCTGGAGGTCTGCTACTGAGATTTGTAAATAAAAAAAAAAAATATTCTAGACCACACACAGCCAATATATCACATCATACTCGTTTATATTAAAGACCACACTCAACCCATATATCACATCATACTGTTTATATTCTAGACCACATACAACCCATATATCACATCATACTGTTTATATTCTAGACCACATACAACCCATATATCACATAATCGTGGGTTCTATTCTAGAAAACACAACACATGTCCCATATATCACACAACCTTAGATTATATTCTAGAGCGCAAAGAAACTCAATTATCACACTGATTTATATTCTAGACTGGGAGTGATTTATATTTTAGTTCATTTGTATTTAATATTTCAAAGATTTATTACTCTGTATTTCACATTTCGTATTTTTTCATTCCATGCTTTACTTTATTGTCTGTTATATTTACAGGTTTCGAATAGATTCAACAACTGGAGACGTGTATTTAGAAAAAGCTTTAGATTTTGAAGAACAGACGGAATACCCAATAATTTTTGTGGCTTCTGACAATGGAAAGCCGTCAAGAGAGAGTACTACTCAGCTGTCTATTAGTGTAACAGATGTGAATGATGTCCCGCCACGCTTTCTACAAAAATCTTATTCAACCTATGTTTTCGAGAGAAGTACATCACTTCAACCTCCTGTCATAGTTCAAGTAAGTGTTCACAATTTTGATAATCATTCAGTTTGTGTGTAGCAGTTTTTAAACACCATCTACCTGGTTTAATGGTTATATCTACCTCTAGTCTCCTTCTGTAATGTAACAATTACATGTAACTGGCGTCTTTCAATGGAAAGAGGAGAAGCCATTTTGAAATAATGTAACTTAAATTTTTTCCAATAATTGAAACTAAATCATGTGAAAAAAAAATTGATTCAAAGTAGTTAATCAAGGAGAGAAAATTTCATTTGAAATTCTTTCTAGAAATTCCATCAAAAATATGTTTCATTTTACTTGGAACCTGGAAACATGATTTCCAAGCATCAAACAGATTAAGTATAATATTAAATTTTACCTGTTGGATTGTATGCTGTTAAAAATCTTATGACAGTTAGAGGTGCCTGTAAATCAATAAAAAGCTGATATGGAATGATTTGAAATCAGAAACATGATGGATGAAAATTGAATCATAATATAAGTTATGTACCACAATGAATATTTCTCTTCAACTGATTAAGGATGCTAATAAATTTTTTCGGTTTCCGACAAGATCAGATATTAAAGGAAGAATTTCTCAAATTTTGTCCTGATCTTTTAGACTTAAATTAATCATTGTATTTACCAGGCAACTGATCCTGAAAACCCAGCTGGTAGAATCACCTACAGAATTGTTGATGGTAATATTGGTAATGCCTTTAGAGTTGACCCAAATGAAGGCAACATAACTCTTACACGTCTGATAGACTATGATGAGACAGTAAACAGAAGTGGAATGTAAGTAAACTTAAACTAATTTTTAACCTTTGGCTCTCTAAGAAATTATCACTGTGACATATCTGTACACACTTACAAGGTAACTAATAACAAGTAGTTATATGGTTCTATCAGTTCTGACATATGATGTATCATAGTATCCAACATGCAACATTCAACTCTTTCCTCATCTGTATCTCTATTCTCATAAGTTAATTTAACTCTTTCCTCATCTGTAATCTCTATTCTCATATGTTGATATAACTCTTTTCTCATCTGTATCTCTATTCTCATATTTCAATTTAACTCTTTCCTCATCTGTTAATTCTATTTTCATATGTTGAATATATATATATACCTCAAGATATTTTCTTGTGTGACATCTATTCTGATCTGTTATATATTTACTACTATTTTCATATATTACATCTATTCTGATCTGTCATATATTTACCACTATTTTCATGTATTACATCTATTCTGATCTGTCATATATTTACCACTATTTTCATGTATTACATCTATTCTGATCTGTCATATATTTACCACTATTTTCATGTATTACATCTATTCTGATTTGTCATATATTTACTACTATTTTCATGTATTACATCTATTCTGATTTGTCATATATTTACCACTATTTTCATGTATTACATCTATTCTGATCTATCATATATTTACTACTATTTTCATGTATTACATCTATTCTGATCTCTCATATATTTACCACTATTTTCATGTATTACATCTATTCTGATCTATCATATATTTACTACTATTTTCACGTGTTACATCTATTCTGACCTCTCATATATTTACCACGATTTTCGTGTATTACATCTATTCTGACCTCTGATATATTTACCACTATTTTCATGTATTACATCTATTCTGATCTCTCATATATTTACCACTATTTTCATGTATTACATCTATTCTGACCTCTCATATATTTACCACTATATTCATGTATTACATCTATTCTGATCTCTCATATATTTACCACTATTTTCAAGTATTACATCTATTCTGATCTCTCATATATTTACCACTATTTTCATGTATTACATCTATTCTGATCTCTCATATATTTACTACTATTTTCATGTGTTACATCTATTCTGATCTCTCATATATTTACCACTATTTTCATGTATTACATCTATTCTGATCTCTCATATATTTACCACTATTTTCATGTGTTACATCTATTCTGACCTCTCATAAATTTACCAGTATTTCATGTGTTAAATCTATTCTGATCTCTCATATATTTACTACTATTTTCATGTGTTACATCTATTCTGATCTCTCATATATTTACCACTATTTTCATGTATTACATCTATTCTGATCTCTCATATATTTACCACTATTTTCATGTGTTACATCTATTCTGACCTCTCATAAATTTACCAGTATTTCATGTGTTAAATCTATTCTAACCTCTCATATATTTACCACTTGCCATATATTTACCGCTTTTTCATGTGTTGTGTCTCTACTCATAGCATGATATATATTTTAGAGTGAGACTGGTAGTTCAAGCCTCAGATATTGGTGTTAATGGACAATCTGGTCTCAGCACTAATATAACTGTTACTGTTAACGTACAGGTATGATTGATATGTTATTGCTGCTTCTTGTCAAAACATGTTCACCCCTCTAGAACACCTGATGCCACTTAGAATGGGTTTTTCTAATTGCTCTACATTAATTACATTACTTATGCTAAAAGATGTCTAGTTAACTGATTATATAATTAAGACTTAACTCTATGGGTGACATGAAAAATTAGTATACATGGAAAAAAGTGTGGTCGAGCATATACATGACAAAATTGTAGGACTCAAAGACATTAAGTTCAATGCCCTTTATTAGGTGCAGATGAAAAATCCATGTTCATGAGTCCTGATAAGGTTCAAACTAGCACAGTGTAAAATCAATGCTAATCCATGTCAGTTATCAATATATTTATAGGATGAAAATAACCATATACCAAGATTTAATCCACTAAGTTATAATGAAACTATCTCAGAGATTGAATCTATTGGTAAGTTCTGTATAATTTTTTAAAATCAATCCAGTTGATATTTTCACAAGCACAATGGAACATGAATTCAAATTTACCTTAAAAATACATGCCTGACTCATTGGTTTTCACAAAATAATTTGTCACAATGTTCTCCTGATAGTTTGTAGAACTGCTCCTTAAATACATTCCTTCTTTCTATTACAGGACGATCAATTGTTCAAGTTATTGCCACAGATTCTGATTTGGGTTCCAACGGAGAAATTCGTTATTCTATAGATCGTGGAGGTTTAGATAATTTTGAGATTAATCCAATCAGTGGTGTCATCACAGTTAGTTCAAGAGCCAACTTTGATTATGATGCTGCCAAGGGGTATTCAGTTGTGGTGAGTTTTTATTTCTGGAATCAGACGTAACAATCACATTCCAATCTAGAGTCTGGTAAAATTTTCCTTGACTTTTTCTAAGTTTTTATCAAATTAACGATAAGAAAAGATATTTCTTTACTTCTACAGGCATTAGCCTTTCAGCCAAATTAAAAAAGGTTTGACTGCTTTATTATTGATATCAAATGGCATAAAAAGGTTTCAAAGCATTTGAATTATCAAATATAAACTGAGAGAGAAATACAACATCTTGCTCATTTGTGTGCTTTTCCACTGTCCGACTTTCAAAGCAAAAATATAAACTGTAGTAGTTATATTTCTATATCACTCTACAATTAAGCACTATTTTAACAGTGAAAATATTTTATTATTATAATCAAACCATATTTAGTATTCAATAATTAAACCATTAGTTTGAGTTTGTGTTGTGATTTTCAGATCTATGCTACTGATAGAGGAAGTCCTCCTCAGACAGGCACAGCTACGGTATTTATAACTTTGACAGATGCCAATAATAAACCTCCTGTCATAAAGGAGGAGAATTATAACAGAAATGTTCCCGACAGTGAGATTTCTTTATATTCTTATATAATTTAAGATTTATTATTATTAATAATGATTATTATTAATGATAAGATCTTTTAATCATACATGTGTCAAACTTGTTCAGATATACTGCACAATGAAGAGTATGAAAAATTGAAAAGAGGTGAAGTTTTCTTTCTTCAGTTCATCAACTTATTCCAGAGGGGAATGATATTCAAAATATATAAGACTCTATGATATTTAATTTCAGATGCTCCCATTGGAACATTAGTCATTAAAATCAATGCAACTGATACTGACAGTACTAGTTTAATACGGTATTCTCTTCCTACATCTCTAGTAAGGGCTAAAGATAAAGGTGGTAATGACATATATAGTTATTCACCTTTTGACTATCGGGTAAGTAACCTTGGTAACTATTTCCACCCCTGTTTCCTCAGTACAGACGAATAGACGTTGAGCTATGATAGTGAATAGCATGTAAAACCCTAGGCTAAAATATCTGTCTCTATTCCAGCCTCTGATAGCTATTAGGACAGATTTCAGCTGGTGTAGAGCTAGAAAAAATAAGCCCTCTAAAATGGGGTCATTCCGCATCGCCGCAGATACAGGGGTTTTAAACCTATTTAGATACCTCATATCTGCAAAACCCAGGTATACTTGGAAAGATGAATATTTGTGTAGTTCAGTCATACCATCATTTTCTCCCTTTCATTTATGTCGTCTTAAAAGTATATCTTTTCTACTTTCACTGAATTTCTGCTTCTTATTTGCAAAGCTTTATCTTTTGATTTCAGTATGCATTTATAGTAGATGAAGTAACAGGTGAAGTGACAACTAATTTAGAACTGAGTCGAGATTCTGCAGCTGAAATAACATTTACCATTCGTGCTAATGATACTAGATCTGAAAGTGGAGTACAAACAGCTAATAGTAAATATCGTTTCTTTTTTACGCAATGAAGTCTCATGTTTTTGGGTCAATGATACAAGATGTTTTCAGAATAAAGTTCATATGCTTTATTGCTTGTATAGCAACAATTGACAATTTATATATTCCAGTTTCCTAAAAAAAAAACAGTCTTATTGCCTTACATAGCCAATTATTTGGAAGCGACATATGGAAATATATGATGTATAGACCATTGCCAGACTTCAATTAATTATGGTCCAAATCTATGAACATACCAAGGATGGTCTAGACATTCTGATAGTTTTTTTTTTCAACTATGGAAGTTGTAACACAATTTCTCATTTCAGACGTCATAGGATACTTGGAAACATTTCATATCATTTGATATAGTCTTTACTAAAATATCCTCTGTACATACGTGAAGCTCATAATTTTTATCTTTCTCTGTTCAGCCGAAGTTACTGTAACAGTTCTGGGAACAGATATATCAGACATTGAATTCAACCCTCCATGGACCAAAGCACTACCACAATATAACTTCAACATTTTGGAAAGTCGTGAACCTGGTACAATCATGACATTAACGGCACGTGACCCAGCATGTGGAAATTGTATTCTTAGGAACTATGTTAAAATAGATGAATTTAACAACAATCAAATGAAAACAAATTATTTCACTGTAAATAGAACAACCGGTGAGTTGATAAAGCTTCATTCTTCACATTCTTCATTTTAATAAAACCACAAGTAACAATCACAAGTCTAGTAGTTATAATGCCTTTATTCTTATCATCGAATTAAGAATGAGTGTAGCGACATCTACGTGATGCACAACAGGGGAGATAACTAGTCCCGACTTGTGATTGTTCAGACTACATATCTTTGTGTTATTCATTGTTGATTTTCACTCAAAACTCCAAAACCCAAACACAAAGAATTGTTTAAGCAGCAATTCAGATCAGGTAATGATTAGAATTTTAGGGTGAGCATCAAGTACCTTTGTGGGACAACTTATGTTAGTTGTCAGTACTTACCACCCAGCTTGGATGTTCGAATGATACCAGAAAAAAAACATAACATTAACAAAATATTAAGTTAAATGTTTATTTTGTCTGCAGGTGAAGTTCGACTCAATGATTCTACTGAACTAGATTATGAAATTGTCAATGAGCGTATGTTTAGAATCGTAGTAGAGGGTAGAAGTAATAATACCCGTGTTGCTACGGCAACTGTAGTTGTTGAAGTTAATGATGACAATGATAATATACCAGAATTTCTACCATTTGTAAGTTTTTATGAATATCATTTATATAATTTTATGAAATGCAAAAATATGTAATGTGGGCTTTCGCATACTGTCAACTAAGGAAGCAGTTTTGATCAAATATTTATGTAGCTTGGTTAACAATCAACAAATACATCAATATTAGCTATGAGTACAATACAGGCCAGAATTTTTATTGTATTTTAATGATTAAACCTGGTATTGTACTGTTTTCACCACTACTTGCTACAGTTTTTTAGCTATTGCCCTTGACTTATTTTAAGTATGTGGCAGCTTCCGTTATAGGGTGATGTTTTTTAAGAGGTTGCAGAATGTCATGGCTAAAACATGATATTATAAATAATATTCATATTGGTGATCAAGAACTTTCAATGTGATGTATTTTTGCAACCACCTATTATATTTGTTATATCTGATATTTTCAGGGTGTGTTTACAGTTGGTGAAACAGAAGCCTACCCTAAAACAGTTGGAACACTTAAGGCTACAGATAAGGACAGTGGTAGTTTTGGTCTGATAGAATATTCACTTGCTGGACAGAGAGCTTCTGATTTTTTCATCTTTAAAGATTCTGTAAGATTATTTAATATCTTTATCGGACATCGCAATTTACAATCAAAAATAAGAGACAATTTAATCTGCATGATATAGAGATTTGTGTTCAAGTTGATAAAGAGCTTTTCTAGTTTTCATTATGAAATCTTCCTTGTGTATGTTCTTTTGGATTTCGAGTTTCAAGTCCATTTTGAATCGTTTGTACAATGTACTTAGTTTATTTATTCAGCTCCAAATGACAAATGACAAATGTGGATATTGTCTGCAAGGATGTTCCGTTGGAAAATATGCTCATATAAAAGATGAGTCTTATCCATATTTGGCAAATACCGGCATCATTTTTACTAGAATGCAGCTGTTAAGAATAAGAAGTTATACTGAAAAAGACTTTACCATTTTATACATCCAAGTTTTCTGTTTCAGGGTTTAATTATTGTGGCTCAGAATACAACTCTAGATTTTGAGACAAAAAGTGAATACAATCTACAAGCTATCGCAACAGACAACCCACAATATAGATTTACTACATCTGAGATTAGGAAACAGACTTCGGTTCCGGTATGTTTTTTTCACTGGGACAAATTTAAAATCAATTGTTCCAACAATATGTTCTATGTACATGTTTTGCTACCTGTAAATGATTAAGAACAATTATAATTTATCAGCTTTATAAGATAAGCTGTATGGGTGTAAATTGATAGGAGGTTTATATTTATTACTTAATCTTTAAACTGACTTCCATGTTTTGTATTATTTGGTGATGTTTTCTTATGCAGTTGAAAATTCAAATCCTAGACCAAAACGATAATGAGCCAGTTTTCCCTGAAATAATGGTGAAAGAATTTTATACAGTGGAGAGTTATCCAGTAGGATCAGAAGTAGGTCAGGTGAATGCTGAGGATAGAGATGGGGGAACTAATGGAGTAGTTAATTACTTCCTTACGGCATCAAATACTGCAGGTTTGTATATTTCAAGCCATTCAAGGTTGAGAGTTGTTGTTGCACCATCTTTTTAATGACAGTTTCTCACTAAATACTTCTAATAACGTATGACTTTGTGCCCAGAGACCTTTGATTTCATATTCTTTTATCTAAACATTTAACCTGATAGGATATGATGTTGCACTATTACTATGATAGTTTGGAAAACTGACTAATAATGTCAATTTGTTCAAAAAGATTGTGATTTTTTTATGCGCAAGGATTCTTACATTTCCTACCTTGGCAAGTTAGGTCTAAGTAAGTTCAATCATAATGTTAAGCGTGGTTCAATAAAATCATAATTTAAGTCTGGGTTAAAAAAGTTAAAAAGTGAACTTAAATCTGGGTCAGATATATCATTAGATTTAATCTGGGTCAGATATATCATTAGATTTAATCTTGGTCAGTTTAATCGTGAATTTGAATTTTAGTCAGTGAATGAAATCATGAAGTTAAATCTGAGCCTGTCAAATCAAAACTTTCCCCACCATGCACAAAGTTATTAGATGTATTTAATGGTATTGTTCCTATTTCAAAATATTTTAAAGTAACCATTTTTACCTACTTTCATGTTTTCATTTTAAAAAAATATTGACACACTTTAAGATATGTAGATAGAACCACTATTAATAGAATACTACTTGTAGACTTTATCTTTCATTACTTTTCAAATGGTCACATTTATTTAATGAATAGTAAAGATGATGACAATATTGTGTTTAATACCATGATCTGTTATTGCTCACTACCTGTCACTTCAAATACCTAACATTATATATGTTGCTTTTCACCTTCAAAACCATGGTCAATATATTTGATTTTTAATTTGCTTTTGGTATTTATGCATTGGTTTAAAGCCAGAACAAGAATTTACTAAAATTTTACAAATATTAAGACCTAAATTAAAAGCTTATTTTGTTTTATTAACAATTCCTCTACATTACAATTACCTATATTTGTATCATCTTATATTTCTTCCTATTTTCAAAATTTTAACATTTTAACCTCTTTTTATTTCATCTATTATCTATTTTTAACAACCAATTAAAAAACAGCATCACCACAGTATAACGGTATGTATAGCCAATCAAATACCTTGCTTTTAAACCACCTGATTATTTCATTGAAACATTTACTCTCAATATTGGGCATTTCATCATATTTTAGTCTTCTAGTATTTCAAGTTCGAGACAGTAATGATTTGAACTATATTAGTATCTAATGTAGGCCTATGGTTTGTTTCTACACAGCTTCAATGAGTATGAAATTATAAGTAATTGAGGAAATTACTTTCACTGATTTTTATACTACTATGTATACTTCTGGTGAATTTGAATTAACTTAAGTTTTATGAAATGATTTTCAGCTGCCTCATTATTCCGTGTCAATCATATAACTGGTATAATAACAACCAGAGGATCATTACGAGGAGAATCTGTTCGCAGTCCATTTCAACTGAGTATTATAGCAAGAGATCTGGGAAATCCACAGTTATCTTCGATGGTTAATGTATTGATACATGTCAGTAGTGGACAGCTTAATGATGGTAGTCCCTTTTTCTCCAGTCCACTTGTTGATCAAATTGTTCCTGTTTCTGAAGTGAGTGATTGTTTCGAAAAAACATTTTGCTTGACATGAAATAAATTTTTATGCCTTGCCTTTTTGCTCTAATGAAGTCTGACAAGAACATTAGCAAAAGCATACATATTGTTTGTCAGAATAACTAGCGCTCTTCTTCCTGCATCTGTGAAGTCAAAATGAAATTTCTGCATTTATTTCTGATTTATTGCTGAATTATTATATATGTCACAGTGTTGCATTCAGACCTTGTATGAAAAGTATAAAGAACAAAGTAAATTTTTAATTTGGTAGATTTATTAAAAGTAATGACTGATATTTTGTAGAATGCAGCACCAGACACAGATGTGATTAAAGTTATAGCCAGAGCCAGAACAAATGGAGCAAGTATTGAATACAGTTTCCTAACCAACTCTAACCCAGATTACCAGAAGTTTGATATAGATCCCTTTACAGGCAAAATAACAGTTACTGGTGATATAGATCATGAACTTACACCAACACTCACAGTAAGTAATTAAACACTTTGTAACACTGGTACAACATTTTCAGATATATTAAGTGGCTTAACTACCACAGGGACTGGTTCAACCAAGTCCCCTACCCCTAAGGGGTCCTCATCCCCAGAAAAGAGCATATGCAAAAAGAATTGCAACAGAAACAGTTAGAAATAGTATTGGTATGTAGCCAATCTAAATAAGCCCACATGGTGCAGAAAAGTAAGATGTAAAACGCCATTCATTCATTTCATTTGATAGTTAATTGTACGAGCTACAGATAATGTAACTAGAAATGAAAGTTATCGTCTGGTCAATATCAAAGTTACAGATGAAAACGATAATGAACCATCTTTTAAACCTGATCAAAGATACAAAGCCTGCTTAAACAAACAGGTTAGTAACCACCTAATACCTTTTAATGTCACTTGTAGATAAAGAAAGTTCCAAAAGACACTCAACTTCATTACAGAGATAGTCCATTGATGTACTGTTGCTTAGGTACCCCTGTACTAGATTTAGATTGGAGCTGAGATTAAAACATCAATATTATGATCTAAGATGAGGAAGATTGAGATCCTAATGCAGATAATTACATGAAATCTTCTATAATAAATGATCAATGCATGAAGATTTCTCTTTGATTTTTCTAGTTACCAGTTCCAGTTGAAATTGAACTTCAAGAACAGTTAGCTAATGAAACATTTGTATATAGAGTTGTAGCCTGTGATCCTGATGCATATCCTAGCAATAGAATGGAATATTTTCCAGAAATGTCTGACAATAATACACAATGTAAGAAAATAAAATTGTCATCTCTCACGGTTAAATTAGAACTAATGTACAATTTGTATATTTGTATCTACACCATGGGAAAACTGGTGAACTTAAATAAATCATCTCTCTTATTTTAGAAGAGCCAAATTAGTAGTCAAGATGTAATCTAGAAAAGATGCTAGTCCAGAGGATGGGCTGGGGGAATCCTTATCATATAATATTTGTTTCTTTCTTAGGACTATCTGAATCAAATATAGAAATTAAAATACACATCGTTTCACATCACGACAGACATAGTCATTTAACTTTTTCATTTGAATTTAATAGGTAAAACAGAAATGGAGAAGAATGACTTTATAGTAGCTAGAAATGGAAGTATTTATACTAATAAAGTTCTAGATCGTGAAATACAGGAAGTGTATTTAGTATGTGTAAGAGTACAAGAAGTCAATACATCATCTGGCCGTAAAAAACGTGAAGTGTTTAACTATGATATTATGCCTAACACCACAAAAGTTGCATATGTTGAAGTTAAGTTAACTGATTTGAATGACAACAGACCAATCTTTCCTTTTAGACAATTACAACATGGTAGGTTAATTTGACTCAAAGGGTATTTTTGGGGATATCTTCTGGCTCAAATGTAATTTTTTGGGATATCTTTTGGCTCAAATGTAATTTTTTGGGATATCTTCACAGACAAATTTATTTTTTTGGGATATCTTCAAATTCAAATGTAATTTTTGGGGATATCTTCAGACTCAAATGTAAAATCTGAATCACAGTGGTCATTGTTTTTCTATCTTTATCTGTCAGATATCTGTCCAACATAATGAATTATACTTTTATCCAGTGTATCATATTTTATTTTTAGTTCTGTTGTCTGTACCAGTGTCAGAATCTGTACGACAAGTGACAGCTATTGATAAGGATGCAGCACCATTCAACAGAGTTCGCTACTCTATTATTGATATACGCTATTTTGATAAAGATGAAAACTTTGCTCTGCCTGGTTCTTTCTTAATCAATCCTGACACTGGTATGATTTCTGTTGGATTTCCATCATACACAGACTTCTCTGGACGATATTTTAAAATTAATATATTAGCTGAAGACTTTTATGATTCAAGATTGAATGACACTGCTGTTATTTATGTAAGTATTCTGTTTGAAGTTTGAATTCATAAAGCAGCTGTGTACAATATTGGTAAAAATTTAAATTTAGAAGGACAACAGACAATGCTTTATAAAATATATCTGTGATCAATTGCCTATGGGTTAATAGTCGATTGTATTATGCCTAAAAAACCTGTTAAGGTGTATCCTATGTGTGCATACGCTATGAAAAATATTGTTTCTCATGCATCTTAATTAGCTGTTAGCTCACAAAGGAATGTAACAGCAATCTCCAATGAAGATATTTTACCTTCACTTTCTTCATACATCTGTTCCAGAACCTTAATCTGGATTTAATATTTCAGGTTTACATCTTTGATAAAACAAAGAGTTTGAAATTTGTCTTGGATGAAACACCAGATACTGGTATAAACAAAGCTTCCAGCATTATTGAGTAAGTTAGGACCAGTATGACACATGATTGTTGTTAGAATGTTGTTAATGTAAGGCATGGGATTGCTATTGTGCAGTTATGCATGATGAATATAACTTTCTTATTAAATTCAATCTGATAATATAGCTAGGATATTAGTTAGGAAAAGTTTTAATATCATTTGACATGATTTTAAAAGTTCTGTAATGGGTTACTTTGGTATTATTTGTATTTGTAACTCACAATTTTTTTTTTCAACTTTGCAAACCTATTTCAATATTATTATGATAATTCAATGATGTAATGATAATGATTGTTTTTTTCAGTGAACTAAATAAATATTCCAGTACTTCTGGTAATGAATTTAAACTACAACAAATATCTTACCATACTGTTTCTAACGGCAACACAGATGTCACCAAGTAAGAGAGATTTTTCAAACATCCATTGAAAGTTTAGTATCAATATTAAAAGACATGGTTAAAAAATGTCAAAATATCCAGTATATTCTACTGTTCAGTTACTGCTGATTATAAAACATTATATTCTACCTGGGACAAGGTTGATAACCTGGAATTAACATGTACTATCATGTTGAATGGTAATATTCAATCAGATGACTTGACTTTCAAGACATGCTTCATTGTACTGACATTTTTATCACTGTAGTAATGTGATTTCAGCATATGTCTCTATTTACAGATATATAAATGACATAGCATTGTTAGTGTATATATTTGATAGTGTATATATTTAATAGTGTATATATGTAATAGTTTAATATTGATTATAGAACTGATGTATGTTTTGTGATGGTACGAGATCAGTCCATATTAACAGTTCAACAAGGTGAAGAACAAGTTCAATCTCTTGTAGATTACCAAAGTGTTTTGAAGAAATATAATGTAATGGATACAGGGGTAAGTTGTAAGAATTTTAGGTCTCTGTTTGTTATTGTTCTACAGGCAACACCATACAGTAGAGGAAAATTATTTTTGCCACGATCATTGTCTTACTCTTTGTCTATATGCATCAAACAAGGGTTCATCATCATCATGTCTTCCATAGATGTTATGCTCTGAACATATTAAAATAATATTTTTGGGTATAAATTTATGAAAAAATCCAATTGTATTTATAAAAGCCAACCTTTGTATAAAAATTACAGCTAGACAATTTGGAACTCTGGTTAACTATGACTTCAGATACCAAATAAGGAGTAGACCTTTAATACATATTTCAACAAGATTAAAGAATAGTTTTGCTGGTTGACAATGTAAAGAAGAAATATTTAAGTATCCTTACAATGTTTGACAAGTGAGAGTCTTTCCATCATTAAGTTCAGGCTTAGTTCTGTTATCTTTTTTTTCTTTGCTTTCCAGAGTTGTTACTTAGCAAGTCGCTCTGAAGATCGTATCAATTGGAGAGACCTCTGGTGGGTGCTGGTTGCCGTGGCCATCTTTATTTTTATATGCTGTATAATTTTAATCATTGCTATCATCATATTACACAGAAAGTAAGTATAATTTCTTCATTGTATTCTATATTACTATTTTCCTTTTAATTGAAACTTATGGTTATATACAATACTGACAATAAAATGATATTGAATAGGATAAAATACCACATAAATGTAACTCATTACCTAAATGAAGTTAGTAAACCCTGTTTCAGTCTCCAAATGAAAACAGAGGAAATATAGTAAGGAAATATGAACAGTTGATATTACACCATAGTTGTTTAACTATATAACATTGTTATTTTTTAGTTATAAAAGATATATGAATACCAGAAAAACATGTAAGTATAGAATTCTGTTTTATACCTGTCATATCTACATCTTGTATTGAGTTGGATAGAGGTAGATATCAGTCTGAGATTCACTTTCTTGTCAAAATGTGTAATAGTTTACATCTAAAGGAGCCCATCGATGTGATTCTGTAGGTTAGACTAATCGATATTCATAAACTTAATCTTTTCTTGTTTGAATTTCAGATATGGTTCCACAATAAAAGATCATCTGTTAGTTTGTCTCAATAACACTATTTTCTTTTATAAAGTGCTTTATCTTTGGTGATAATAGTAGGACAACAATCTTTCTTATAAAAATAGCAAAAATGCTTTCTGAAAGAATAGGAAAGTATTTCTTGTTAATTGAATTTGATTGTTATTCTATTGTTCATCTCTTATTTGCTCATTTCCAAGATCTTTCTGTTAAAGAATAGAAGATAGTAATCCAGGTTCAACATTTTTTTTTTGTAAACAATATTTTATTAATAAGAGAAATGGATTAGGAAACAGGCTCTCGCCTATATTGGTTAGTTAATTGTAAATAAGATTTAGAATATAAAATTTGTATATTGTATATATTATAAAATTTGTATAATAGAGTTTTAACATTTATAAAGTTAAATTTGTATATCTATCTGTAACTTACATTAAAACTTTTAAGTAATGGAGGCAGCAAATCTCTAAAATGTACATGTTAACGATGGCAATCACAAAAACATTCCGTCTGACAATTCAGATCATTTGACTTCTTCATTTTAAGGGCTTCTAAGATTTTAGATATCTCGAATTTTCACAAGCTAGATGATGTACTAATTCATGTACATGTATTAGTACAATTCAACATGATTCAAATTCTCTTTTAATATTTCAATTCATTTTATAAATAAGTTTTGATATCATATATTTTTATACTAAAATAAAACATAAACATCATTTCTCTCATTTATTTTGTTTCTTGTCTGAGAATCACACTTTAAAAAGTGATTGTTGTAAAAAACACCAAGCTGTATCTTATAATTCTATCATTCTGTTCAGTTTTTGTTGTAATGTTGAGTTTTTGAACCAAACAACTTGTTGCATTGCTTAAATTCTGGATTTTCGCTTAGTGACTCAGCCTGTAGACCCAAATATCAAAATCATTTATCTTTAAAGAAAAATCTTCTCAATTTAGCTCTTGTCAATTAAATATTCTCATCACTGTCAAAGTTTCCTTAATAGGCCTGGAACATGACTATAGAATCAATATAACAACAAAGTTAATTGTGAGATTTTCTGAACATGTATAAAACTGTAGATTCATGAAAGTGCACAGTAGTAATCACAGATATTTGATGCTGTGACAGTAAGTATTAGAGACAAGATGTACTCATGTTCCTTAGATTGTCTAATCTACCATTACTAGGGTAGCATTGGTAACTATGAAGGGCAGATTCAGTTGGTAAGATTACTATCTTATAAGAAACTTTTCAGTTTGTATACAATATATTTATTTTGTTTTGAGTGTATCAAGTTATATACAATCTTCTATAGACATGTAAAATACAATAATAAACAAATCAATAAATGCATTAACATAACAACTATAGTGGTAACAATCTAGATCTTCAAATTATAAAATTGAAAATGAAATGAGGCAAATTTTTGCATTTTAAATTAGAAAGGAAATGCCTCCAAAAAATATAAAAGAACATTAATAAAGCTCTCAATCTACCAAATGCTTCAATATGCTGTTGGTTCCAACCAATACAATACACCTTAATATGTAGTAGAATTCTTTTTAGGGGTTCCAGTAATCTTAACAATAATATTATTGATAATCAGACGTCTTGAAAGTGAAAAAGCCTTTAGAAGGTGAAGCATCAATAAGTGATAAAAACTAGCAAATGAAACATTGAGTTAAGAAGGCAATTTAAATTGGTCAAGGCGAATTTGTGATGAAAGCAAAGCAATAAGTGGAATGAAAATGAATTAATTGCACAAATTTAAATTAGATAAAAAAAAATAACAATCATTTATAATGAGAGTATAAGAAAGTGGACTAATTTTACAAACTAACAACTTATAAAATCAATGACATCTCTTTTGTGGATGTATCCCAGCCATAAGTCAGCTTGGTATATTATAATTATGACAGTTTCCAATTCAGTTTTTGTGTCTGGTTTGTTAGTCTGTAAAAGCAATCCAACCCAATAATATAGTACTATAAACATTGGTGAGATAAAAAATAAAGATATTTATGGAGGCCAAAGTAGGACTTATGGGCGGAATGTTAAAAAGGCAAGTTCATTTCAAGTCAAAAAACATTAGGATGGATTGATTCAATAAAAGGCAAATTTTTACCCAAACTTCATCTAAAGTAGTATAGGCCTACAACTTGAAATTAAAAAAAAATATTGAAATCTGTTTCATGGATATTGTAGAGAGAGGTAATAAAGTAATATATATATGATGAAGTAATAATTTAGATGGAAGAATAAACAATGGGACTATTGTTAATAAATATTTAAAATTATAAATATATACATGTCTAATTTATGATATGAGATTAAAAGCACTTTGGTCCAAATTCAAATTAACACAATCTTATGATAAATAAAAACAGCTGTAGCAATACACCATGGTGTACTATTCCTTAACATTATTCATCTTATAATGAAAATCTAATACCAATCCACATTTTTATAACATTGTCTAAAACAAATCAAGAACACCATTGTGTCATAGGATGTGTTATATTCAGTACTACAATATTTATATAATAACATGGATGGATTGACTGTACATGATGATAGTTTAATTATAATAAATGTTTCAAAAGTCTTGGATATTTTTTCAAATATTTTTCATCCCATAATAACTCCAAAATTATCATTCTACATAGAAAATATAAAAAGAATAAGTGAACTTAACAAAATAATGATTTTTTGCCTTATACATTCATTGTGAAGATAAACTATCAAAAATAAGTGGGACTTTCTACCAAATGTCATCATTTATTTTACAACCAAAGGCCTACAAATATATTGATTTCTTTAATTGACATTTCTTAATCTGAACAATGAAAAGCCAGGAGTCTTTGCAACTCTCATGTCCAGCATGGAGTGTTGATTCAAAGGAGGAGGGGGGAAAGTTTTAGTAACCGGTATTATTCAACACTAATAAAGGCATCGCAAGTTATGTACACATATAATTGTTTTGTTATACAAAGTTTAACAATGTGTTTTTCTACCATATATCCTTGTGTACTAACTGCATGTGGAAAAGATATACATAATTTAGCTGAAAACTAAGTTGCTCTATAAGTTAAGGCTACTAGGAATCAAAATCTGAAATCTGAGAAATTGTACACAGACACACTAAGATTTATCATCACTTCACTTTTGATGTTTAAAACAAGAAAGACATTAAAAATCACAAAAACAAGGAAATATTAAATTTCTGTAGTCTGTAGGCCATCAATATTTCGCGTTGTACTGAGTTCATTCTCATCCACTGGTGAAGTCGTTTGTCCATTCCGTATTTTTAACTTTCCATTTGGAATACTTTTATTAATTTCATTATTTTTCAAATTTTTAGAAGTTTCATGTTCCTTTAAAGCTGCTTTTAGATAAACATCTGTGGTCCCCTCCACATTCCCAGGATCACGATCTTCGGGGTAAATGTTCATTGTCACTTCCTGTTCATCATAATTTGGGTTCGTTTCTATTGCATTTTCATCTAATGAATTTTGACTGAAATGTAAAATAGACTTATATTAGATTAGTTTAAAATAACCAATATTTTTTTACAATTTATTTCATTTTTAGAGGAAAAGAAAAGAAAATCATGAAAGATTTCAAGGATTTAAAGAGCTTTGATTAAGGACAATATTTATAGTATATGCTCTAAAAAAAAATTATGTAAAAGAATTTCATGATGATCTCTTAACAGAAATGGATTACCAGTCCACATTACAATATTCTTAGGACTTTGTTATTGGGCCAAACTTGACATAAAAACTGGTGCAAGAAAGAAGTTTAATTTAGATTTAATAGTGCATAAAACATCATAATAATTATCTACTTTACTAAAAGCAAAAGGGTGGAATTAGTATATTCCAGAGGTCAGCTACAAAAGTTAAAAATTATTCATAGAAATATGAATTCCAGAGAAACTTCAACACATAGTTCCCTGATCAAATCATACTTCATTGAAAAAACATAAACAGGACAATAAAGACTAAAAACTGTCTATCAACTACTAAATTAACAAAAATTGCCCCATTTCTCCAAGAAACACAGTTATCTGATTTGTTAATTAAAATTATTCTACATAAGATTAACCTATCATTAATTGAGAACTTGAACTATATTTTGTTTAAATTTCAAAATTACAGAAAGGACTATGAGAAAATTTGCAATAAGGGACAATAAGTAGGGACAATAAGCTTTTATCACCCAGAAAATTATTTGAATTAAAATGTTGGCTGAATTTGGTACCATATCCAAGGTTTAATTTAAAAATAGAATGTATAATCTTGTCTGATTTCCTTCTCAATATATATTTTCATGTCTGAAGTAATTTTTAATCATTTTAAAATTCAATATTTGAGAATAATGGCTTTCACAAATTCCTTTTGTTCCTTATGTCAAGGAAATTCAAGGTTTTAAAATCAAACGTGTACAAGGTAAACTAGAAACAGAATAAATTGAACATCATTAAAAACAGTAAAATTTTCAAATTATTGGACAAAACCGAAACAGGAAAAAAATCTTCTAAAAGCGAAGAATCAAAAACACAGAAAGATTTTGAAATGATAAAAAATCACAAGAAGACATAACAATATAAAGGTTTAATCAAACAATATTAAAAGCCAAAGAACTGTGCCAGGATTTGCTTACTCTTACCTTTAATAATTATTCTAAGCATTGGCGCTATTACTTTTCCTAAAATTAATGGGTATATAAAGCCTTTAAAAACCGTATCACAGGCTATTTAACACTATCAAGAAATAATGGTATTGCTTTGATAGTTTTCAATTCAGAAATGATCTTTCATTAATAAATGTACAAATATATACAATTTCTTGTAAATTTTTTCTATATCTAGCTAGCAGTGACATGGTGTTATATTTATTGTATCTTGTTATTAACAGTCAATACATTCTAATACTAATAGTACTAGGGTTGGGTTAAATTACTTCTAATCATTAGTATTTTCTTAATTCAACATCTACAACATAGAGAGAATTTACCATGTTTCTAGAAAAAAACTAAAAAATATACCTACCCATCTTCTTCTCCCTCAGCCAGAAGAATTTTTTCTAAATAAATAGGATTGGCACTGGAAATAATAAAATAAATATTTGAAAATGAAATTTTCAGACGTGCTTTGTGCAGAAAAGTACCATAGAAAATATTATTCTGGCAATGTTCATGTCCAAAATGTATGATTTATATATCTATAACTAAAATGCCTTAAAATGCTCAGCCCATACCTCATTCTATTGCATTAAATTTTATAACACTATTTAATCAACCAATACTTTTCCTTAGCCCCTGTATCATCATGCTACAAGAAGGACATTCTGTATTTACAATATTATAACATTCTACAAGATTCTAATTTCATGCAAAAGTGACTACAATTATTCCAGTCATACCAGTATATGGACAGAGTACATATTTCTTTGTGCGCTTAATTTGGAAGGATGTGCGGGCATGCAGATTATCTTTCAGACACATTTGGACATCATTCATGCAATACAATTTTCGATTCAAAAGTAATTTAGTAATAGACTAAAACCCTTCTAATTCTTATCAAAATATTATTATCATGACCAAATACACCAAGCGCTAAAACAACATAGTTCCCTTTCCCACATTAATAATAATAGTTTTTTTTATGAAATACTGGAAAATAATATACGGTAATTCCTTTTAGAAATTTTACATGGTCCATGTTGTCTGTATGACATCTGTTTTGACAGTTACTCTATCTAAAATAGTAGATCTACAACTATTCTACAAAATGTCTTTTTTTTCTCTGGATTTGCTTTGAGACACATTATTTCATGTTTTCATCGGCAGAATCATCTCTTAAACATGCAAAGCAGTCTGCAGATTATTTACATTCACAGAATAATGTAATATTAAGAATGTTTTATATACATAGATAATTGACCTATTGAAGTAATTCCTATTTTCAAAAAAAAAAGTCTGTGATGATGATTGAAAAATGAAAAAGAAAATTTATCATAAAAAAGGAATGAATGAAGCCAAAGCGGAACCTTGCTATCCCATAATATAAAACTCATGCAGTTAATAATTTAAACAAACAATTTCTAGAAAATTAAATAGGTGAAATATGAATTAAAATGATGGAAAATATGAATTAATAAATAAACACAAAAAAGGTTTGGAATTGGAAGATAAAATAAAATAAGCTATGCTATGGAGAGGACATAATGCTCAACATTTCATAGATTACATCCATGAGTCATAAAATAAATTCTCACTGGATCAACATAGTTTGATAATCAAAATAATAATTTTTCAGTGAAAAATAAATTTTCAAAAATTAAACATCAAGACATCTCTATAGAACCATAGCAGAACTTGTTTGACAAATCAACCAATCAGAAGTAGAGAATAAAAAGAGGGTGGGATTTAAATATTTTACCAGTTTTAAAACCGTGTCCGTCCATCATCAAATGATTGAGGAGGCAAGTTGGGGTACGGCCTGGAGGCAGAAAGAATGGATCAGTCAAAATAATTCAGGAATTGGGTGAATATACTTAAAGCATGAAATCCACAGCCTTGAGATAATTTGATACAAAATGACATAAAGTTGTTTGTACTAAATCCTATTAATGAAAACAAAACTATAAGGAACTACCCCACATTTTATTGTATATCATAGCATGCCCCTAATAACGTCAAAAACAAATGCACTTTCCAGACGATTTACCTAAAAATTATTACTTATTAACTATTATAATGTTTGAGAGTTCAACCTCCAACATAGGGTTTTAATTTGACTTTTGAAGATCTAAGATAATGTTTTGGAGAAATACAGTTTCATTCCATTACAGTCATAGGTTCTTACTATTACAAATCAGTAAATAAACAATTTCTAATGATACCCTAAAGTGTATAATGCCTAGTTCTTCACCCTCCCCCCTCCCAACTTAAATTATAAGTTCAGTATTGTTATTAATAAACAAGAGTGCTGTAAGTAATAACTGCTACAAACAATGTTAATCAAATTTGGTACTGGCTTGTTGTTTGTCAATAAAAACAAAATACAAACAAAGTGACTGGTTGTAATCTTTTGATAAAATTTAAATATATAATTCAGAAAATAATTCAACTCAATGATTTTGAAAAAACTAGTGGAAATTCAACCAGCACTTTAAAATCATTAATCAAAAGCTAAAACTTTCAAACAATCTATAATTACTTTTCCTATCTATGATTTCAATCCACGAAAGTCATATAGGTTCTACAATTTAAAAATGGGTATTTAAAAACAAAAAAAATAAAATTCAGGAAAATTCAAAACTAAAATTTAAATTCACAGCCATTACCAAATTGCAAAATGAAAATCTGGCTACAATGTGGGTGTATATTCTACTGTTCAAAATGCACTCTTTGCTATAAATTAGTTGTAAATAAATGATGGTCTTACTTCTCATAGGAATGAATATTCGTTCCTGGCATCTCTAATTTATATAAATCTGAATCTTTGGATCCTGCAAGAGAGAAAATTTAAGAAATATAACATTCTGATCAAGACAGATTTTCAAAGATTAACATTTTCTTTTTAATCTAAATGCATTTGGTCACTTAGAGCTCACTTTGTTATTGTTTTCATGAGTTAAAATATAAGCTCAATTACTAATTTTAAGTAAAGATATGTTTTATGAACCTGAAGACATTCATTGGAATGAAACAATAGTAAAATAACACAAATAACTTTATTCTGATAAAAATTTGAGAAATACCCAAAATATTACTGGCAATTAAGAAATAAATAATTAAGGTGAGATAATTAGAAGATATTAATTCTATATTTAGTGATAGTAGGTGAAATATAGTTATCGTTCACAAGAAAGAGAATTATAAAACTAAATTACTTAGGTTAGTAAATAAAGATATTTAGAGAAAAATATAAATAATAGTGTTAATGTACAGAAGAAATCAGTGATTAGTTCAACACACATAGGACTGGCACATTTGACCAAATCAACAATCCTGAATGAAATAAGGAAATATAAAGAGAGATTGAACTATAATAGTATAGATGTTAATAATTCAAAGTTAAATGAAATAAAAAAAAATGTGATTTATTCAAAAATACTTCATTGTTTACCTAAATTTCCATTAGAATTGGACACTAAATATAAAAATATCAAGATTTAATGTGAAATCCTCAAATAAACAAAAGGTCATAACATCAACTTGGGCTGATTCAGATGACTTAATGACCTAGCTTAGATGACATCAGCTCTCAATGGCAACACCTGATTATATAGGTGTGACATGGCAAACTGCTCTACATCTACTATCTCCCAGATTTAATCTACAATTGAAGGAAATTGCTATGGATTACAAACAGTCTCCTCTATCTTTAAGTCTCTATTAATTCCCACAGTGCCTTGATTGCATGAATTAAATTATTCTTACCATAAGCCATAGCAGTAGCAGCTTTTAGTTTACGTTGATATTTCCTGCGACTGAAATAAAATGCCACTGCCAGGATAATTAATAATGATCCTAGAATTACAGAGACTAAAATTAGAGCCATTCTCAAATTCCTGATAGTATTATCTTCTTTCTCTGCTGGGTCTGTTTCCTGCAATGTTAAATTATAAGTTTTGATATAGTTTAAGTATAGAGCAACTAGGTATGTTCCAAGTTTTAACTCTTAAGATATTAATTAAGCTCGTTCCTCTACAAGGTATCTTTGAATTTGGTGATTAGAAATAATTGCTTATAAATATATGATTTTCTGATACTTACAACAATTTTAACTATATTATATCCATTCAAAATATCTACCATTCTTTCAGCACTGTAATCTATAGCTCTATAATTAGATAGAAACAAATCATTTCATATTTCACAATATCCACAGATTTTATCTTTAATTTGTGGCATAACTTTTAATTATAAGTTTAGTGGTTTTTGATCAGCACAAGCCGAGAAACAAAGAAAATAGTAGCCTATACTTCTTCATTAAAAACCAGTGAGCCTTCGATTGTCATCAACACATTATTTCATGAAATACACAATTAGACGATGAAAATCTTACGTTAGTAAATCTAAAGCAGGTACAACTTCATTAGTCTTTAGATCTTCACCATGTATAAACATATCAGTTCTGAAATATTAATATATTCTTAATATCTCAAGCTAAAATTTATTGAACTGTCTATTCCACTATCTTTAAGACATTTAAGTTTATTCTGTTTAAAAAGTCAAAATTTCATCTGTAAAAATAAATGATGTTAATATAATAATTAATTACTTGTCTAATTCTGGCATGCCTGATGAATTAATATGAGTTCTGATATCATCTACTACAATTCTAAATCCTGTTATATTCTGAAGTTCACTGGAAAACAAATTAATAGGAATTAGAACACTCGAAGCTTGAAACATAAAGTTTTCTGCAATACCTATACCAGTCTGTGATTGAGTTAATCAACTCATGTTTCCTTTGGAAGTGTCCACATAGCTCCTGATATTGTTTATTTGTTATATGTATTAATAGTGCATTAAAAGGTAGAATAAATTATCTTATAATTATGAACTGATTGATTGCCTCTACTAGAGGTAATAAGTGTTAGGGTGTGTTTGAATTTGGTTTATAACTTTGACATTGCAAGAAGATTTAGGTGTTCCTACCTAGCAAATTCATCTTTAAAATTTCCTACCACAGCAACTTTTCTTCTGAAAATGACCTTTAACCTTTGGTTATCATTTATCAATGAAATCTAGAATAGAAATTTTATGGATTAAAAAAATATTATGTAACACATCATCATAAAATCCATTTAAAATAAATTTGAATTACTCCATACTATTTAGCTTACCCTCAATTTTGCTGTGTCATTTTTGCCACCTTTGTCTTGAACCACCATTGAGAGTATAAAATAACCATACATAGTAGATCGAAAGTAGGCGTTAGTTTTAACACTGCCATTAGTGTACAGAAGGAATGGAACCTGTCCAGCAAGTTCATTACGTAATGCTTCTGGTTGGATATCAACATCACCTATTTGTGTAAATTTACTGATTCCAAATTCACTTGAATCCAAATCTTTGACTTCGTTCTGAAAGAAACATTTCAAATCAAAAATCATTTGTATTCTGTATTTACTTCCTAAACAATTAAAATATACTTTTTTTCTATAACATGCCTGAAGTTTTTAAATATGCATACAGGAACTCAATTCCAGATTACAGATTTCTAAATCAAAATGACAAAACTTGAAAGATTGGGAAGTCATTTAATTTGATAAAGAATTGTTAGCCAAGGCCTGACAGTTTATGATAACTGTGTATCAAAGCTCAAAGTCAGCAAGATTAGAAGAGCAACTTACCTTTAGATTATAAATAAAAGTACCAAACTGTATAGTTTTAGTGATACCCAGGAGCAATTCACTCCGTTTAAACTTTGGTTTATTATCATTAATATCTGCTATAGACACATTGACCCAGAGTAGTGTCAAGTCTGTTTCTACATATTCTGGTGGTACTGTAGAATCTCCAGGAATCACTGTTGGGGTGATGGTTTCATAACAATTAGATGAAGCTTTGATGACAAGATAGGTGTAAGGAACTACTTCTCTATCAATTGATTTTTGAACACACAGTTGTCCTGAGGTAGTTAAGGTGAAGGTATCTTCTAATCCAGTACCTGAAAATAAGAGAGATGTTTGTAAGCAATTTTCTGTTAATGATGACTCTGTAAAAGATGTGATATTTCGTAAATGCTGAAAACTTTTATCAAACTATATCATATTGAAGAGTTACTCTTTGTAAAACTTTGAGGTTCAATTACGTTTTCTGTTCAGTTTTCCCTTTCTCTGATAAATATAAATATGTCATATGGTCATTATACTTCTTGTTTGAATTCTTGTTTCAATCAAAATTTAAAAATGTCAATGTACAAGACAACTTACTGACTATATAGTAACAGATCATAGTGAAATTTTCCATGACATCTTTATCATCTGCTAGACCCACACTTCCTACACATTCTGTACTTGATTCTTCTAATACAGCCATTTTATGTGGTGTTTCTAGTTTCTGACGACTGAATTCAGGATCCTGGTCATTAACATCCTTGATCATTATTATGATAGTCATATCTGTTTTATGATTTCTAGGTAATCCATTATCAGAAGCTCTCACACGAATCTACAAAATGACAATCAATATGGAAAATTTTGTCCGAAAATGGAAGATATTATCTGGGGACTCTCGACTCTGTAGTGGAAAGAATATGGGCACATGCCATATCAGTTAATACTCGTAAAGTTTATTCATCTGGATTTAATCTCTATAGAAGAATTTTAGCGCTGTATGAGGTACATGGGTATGCTTGCACTATGCCTCCTATTTCACAAGAATTACTGATATATTTTATAGCTTATTGCCCTACATTACAGATTAAGCATGACACTATCAAGCTATATTTAAATGGAATCAGATTCTTTTATTTAGAGTCAGGTAAAGCAGAGTATTTTGAGGCTCCTGACAGAAATATTCGTATTTTTAGTGTATTACAGGCAGTTAAAAAGGTGCAATGTAATATAACACGGCCACGATTGCCTATAACTTTTGATATTCTTTGTAATCTTTGTTCAGTCTTAAGAACAGGATTTTTCAACAGATATGCTGATTGTTTGTTGTTAGAATGTTCTCAACTGCCTTTTTATGGTTTTTTGAGATGTGGTGAGTTGACTGTTACAGATTCTTATAATAGTCAAAAGCACTTATCTATTTCAGATATATTGTTATATCCAGAATATATAACATTACGTTTAAAGAATTCTAAATCAGACTATTTTCATAAAGGAGTTTATATAACATTGTTCCCTAATAATTCATCAATTTGTCCGGTTTCTCAACTTATTAATCACATTTCTGTCCGTAATGGATATTTCTACAATTTAGATCCATTATTTCTCACTGAGGATGGCAAGGCTGTTACTCGTATTTATTTCATTAATCATTTGCATTCTCTTTTGGAATATTTAGGTTATAATCATTATTTATATAATGGCCATTCTTTTAGAATAGGAGCCGCTACATCTGCCACGTGTAGTCAAGTTCAAGATCATATGATCAAACTTTTAGGAAGATGGTCATCTGATTGTTAAAGACGTTACATTAGACCAGATTTACAATCAGTCAGGAATGCTCTTCATCTCATTTCCTGAATATTCAAATTCAAATCCTACAACCATCCACTTTAACTACTTTGGGAACTACACAAATGCTTACATTTGTTTATTTTGGCCTTTTATAGTATAATTTCATTCTACCCCAAAGTAGTAGGGGTGTAAATTTTAGTTTATTAATGAGATGTTCTTTTCTGCTTAGATCATCTGTTCACAATTTATCAAGGGTTTCACCCTTCCATTATTCATTATTCAATTATGTAATTTTCATATTCACATTGTGTAGTCCCCTAGTGCCAAATAAAGTTTATATATTAGTGTTTTGTTATAAATTGTAGTCAAATCAAGCATGTCAATGGAGAAATATATATGATCTATCTATGAATTTTATATATAACTATTGTGCAAGAATATTCCAGAAGCATAGTCCATTGTTTTGTTTTAATTTAATCACACTACCTTAATTGTATGAGGTAGATATTGATCGGATGTTTTATGCTAAATCAACTCCACTAACCTCATATTTCTCCTGTGTTTCTCGATCAAGGATCTCCTTGTTACTCAGACGACCAGTAAGAGGGTCAAGGTCAAATTTCTTCCAATCCTCATCTGTTGGTGAAGACATGATTGAATATACAACTCGTCCATTTTCACCTTGATCATCATCCTCAGCTACTATATTTATTACAGTTGTATTGATTGGCTGGCCCTGGCGAAGATGGAATGAATCCATATAAAATAAAATGGAACAAATGGTTACATGAGTAAAAATACGAAATAATAATGAATATAAGGTCTATTTGGATCCTGGCTTATAACACTGTTCAGTTTGTATCATTACCGATCTGCCAATAGTTACGTCTGCGGAATGTAACCCTGTTCAATAAATCGTAAAAATTATGGCTGGCTCAGAAAATAATCTCTCACCTCTTCTGTAAGCACAACTGGATTATTTGGATCAGGAATTTTAAAAGATGGTGGATCGTCATTCACATCTGCTATTCGGAAATAGAATGCTGAACTATTTGTAAGAGGAGGGACACCTTTGTCTTGAATTTCAACTGTGACATAACGTAAACCAAGAGCACTACGTAAATCAGCTGCAACAAAGATTTTCCCATTCTGATCAATTCTAAAAATTTGTTCTCCATTGTTGTTTGTAGCATTTGTGTCTACTCCCAGAGAATATTCTACACTTCCATTCTTTCCGAGATCTTTATCTGAGGCCTGCACTGTGAAGACGTTTGTATCTAAAGGAGAAGATTCTGGTATATTTGGTATATCAGAATCACTGTTTAAAAAGACTGGAGAATTATCATTAATATCGTCCAGTCGTATTGTTACTGTTGTGCGATTGGATCGTTGATCTTTTAAATCTGGTTTATTATCAGTTGCTACGACAACCAGACTGTATTCACCTTTCTTTTCTCTGTCTAGAACTTTATCAACAGAAATCACACCCTAACGAAAAAAAAAACAAATAAGGCTTTAATACGAGTCACTTTTTTAAAGAAAGTGTTTTAAGTAATTGCGTCCAGGACAGTTGATACCAATTCTTTATCAATCAAATTATCTAAATGACCATCAGAAATTAAGATATTGTTTAGATAACTTGGTATTATGAAATAGCTAAATCTGCTTACCAAATTTTCATCAATTTTAAAAGTTCCATCACTGTCAATTCCTTCTAATTGATAAAACACCTTCCCAAAATTTCCAGTGTCTGGGTCATCTGCTTGGATCTCACCAACCTCTGTACTGACATCAGCATCTTCTCTGACAGTATAAAACTGAGGATGTTCTCTAAATATTGGTGCATTGTCATTGACATCCAGAACAGTGACAGAAACAGTTGCTGTTGATGACAGTGGTGATACATCATTGTCTTCTGCTACAACTGAGAATGTCAAGGTGGGTTCTTTTTCCCTGTCTAATTTCTGTTTGATCTTAATTATACCTAAAATTTAAAAACACAAATATATATGGAATCTGAATATCATTCAAAAGTGAATTTTCTCATCTTTTGGATTGTTTGACTCTATTTTGTTAGTGATGTTTTAAATTCAGAAGAAATAAAATATAATTGTACACTCAAGTGGCATGATGTGCTCTGAAATGCAGAGCAGTAATTGTGATGTATGATTTTCATGACTTGAAATTCCACGGAAAGAAACCTACTCACCAGTGTCTTCATCAATTTTGAAGTGTTTCTCGCCATCAGATCCAAGAGTAAATTTTACCAGTTGATTTTTATCTGGGTCTGTAGCCTCGACTCGTAGAGCCTCATTATCAATATCTTGGCCTTCTGATATCTTAACAGTATAAGTTGAGCTAGGTTTAAACACAGGAGCATTATCATTGGCATCTGCTAGAACTATGGTCAGAATGGCTGAAATTAAAATTAGATTTATAAAATTAGACTTGTGGTTGATATACTTACTGCGAAAAGTTCATTAGCTACTACCAATGTGTCGTCAAAATGTTGTTTTGGATTTAGGGTTTTACGGTTCGGATCGTTAGTACTTAAAATATATAAAATATACAATATTAGTTATATGGACTTCTCAAAAGAATGTCGAGTGGCATTAGGTGTTCCAGAAAGTATAATAGAAAACATTTATTTAAAGATAGATTTTTGATGAGTGATGAGTATATAGTGATGTCTATTTTATCTTACCACTAGCAGTTTGTTCAGCAGGTCTCCAAGCGTTTAAATCAGTAGCTACTATAGGTAGTTCAATTCTCTCTGCTACTTCTCGATCTAATTTCCCAGAGATAACAACCAATCCACTGTCAGTCACAACAGTGAAATAATCCTGAAAATAAATCATATTCATTTATACGTGTTTCATTTCTGACAGGTCAAAAATATTCAATACATGATGACCTCTATAATATCAAAAATATACTCAAAATTTTGTAGACACAAATCCTTCCCACATTATTTTTATGGATAATTCTCACTTAGTCTTGAATGAGAATTAAAGAAATAATATTTGTAGATGAAGTGTTGGATAAGTTTTTCTTTATTCCAGAAAAATAAGAAAATCTCCTTCTATACTTACAGTTACATTTAACAATTCAGCATCAATAAGTTGATTTCTTTCATTATATGCCTTGATTTGATCTTTCATAATCTCATATTGTAGTTGACTGTTGTCATCATTGTCTTTTGCTGTATAACTCAACAATGCATCACCCACATTGGCACTTTCTATAATACCTACAGTCTGACTGGCAGGTTTAAAAACTGGCATTTCATCATTAACATCAGTGAGAGTAACTGTTACAGTACAACGTCCAGTTTGTGGTGGGGTGCCTTTATCAATGGCCGATACATTCATAACAAATACATCCTTCTCTTCTCGATTCAGTCTAGCTCCTGTTTCTACCAACAGTTGACCAGTCTCAAAATTAATTCTGAATTTATCCAAGGCACCACTCTCAATTCTATAAATTATCTCATTGTTGGGGTTTGTTCCATCTGAATCTGAAGCTTTGACTTCCAGTAATACAGTTCCTGTAAATAGATTGGAATGAGTCATAAACAGTAAAATTATAGAATTGCCATAAAAGTAATTTTTTTTATAACGCTAAGGTACATGTATATAAATAAGAGAAATTAGTTTGAAGACTAAAGGGAGATAATCTGAAAGCATTTGACAGAGTTAATACCCTTTAGTCTCCAACTATAATAATATCAACTTGCCTTCAGTAGAGTTTTCAGGAATTGTAGCTGTATAGGCATTCTTTTCAAATTTAGGAACGTTGTCATTTCGATCCTAAAGAAAAGAACATAATATATACTGTGTCATCGCTTCAGGCAGAGGATTGGGATAATTACAAATGACTGTTTGGCTCAATATTTACTTACAATCTATTATTCTTATCATCATTTAGAAAATTAAACACACTCTACTAAAAACAATCAAGAAAAGTGACTCTCTGATGGAAGGATTATATTTCCTCTAGTTTTAATGAAGTATGGTTACAGAAAGAAAAGCCTAGTGCAAGTTATAATTATTTTTTTCAGTCTAGACTATTTCAAACATTATGATGTAGCAAACCTCCACAATTATTGGCATAATGATATTTCATGGCTCATAATAAAAATAAAATCAAACATACCTCAACTGTAATAGTAACATTAATAACTGTAGATAAAGAATCAACAGCCAGATCATAAGCTTCTACTTTTAGATTAATAATACCATCTAATACTGGATCTAATTCCTCATAATCTATTGTATCTATAACTTGTATTCGGCCTGTATCGGGATTTATAGTAAAATTAGACTCTAAGTTAGCTGGTGTTTCTACTATACGATATTTTACTATACTATTATTAGTCCCAACTTGATCTTCATCTGTTGCCTACAATTACAAAGCTTTATTATTATTACATTAAAGACAATGTCAAAGCTTGCTTACATATGAATAAGCAATAAGAGCACAAAGGCTTATCTACTGTTTTTTCACACGCTCAAACTGTACCAGTAGTGTTATCAATAGAATAATAGAATGGAAATAACATGCTAAAAGTTGGCACATAACTAACTACACAGTATTAGATATTGATTGGTTTAGGGCCATATTCTTATGCTAAGTTAACATGATAAATGATTGGGTATCAAAGATACAGAGAAAATTTGGAAACGTTTGTGATTCAGATTATTTTTTTAATTATTCCCATACCTCAACAAATAAAGGTCGGAGAAAATCTGAATCACTTTCTCTGAGAATGGCTTCGTAACTTTCTCGTCTAAACTCTGGAGCATTATCATTAACATCTAGTATTATGATCCTGACTTCAACTGGTGTTCGTGATCCTCCACCATCTCTAGCTTCTCCTGTTAGATAATATTCATCTGCCTCTTCTCTATCAATATCATTAGCAATATACACCTGACCACTGGCTGGCTGGATTCCAAATCTATATATAGATACTTGTCTTAAAATCATGTTTCAGTCAGGCGAGAGAAATGTCCAAAATTAAATTAGATAAATGTCCTTAAAAATTTGACATCTGGACAGTTTTTTTCAGGACTGTAATATTGCTGAAATTTTCTCAAACTGTACAGGGATTAGACTTACAAAACAGATGTATGTGAGTCAACCAAAGATGAAAAGATTCATTGACATGAAAGATATTGATACTTACTTATTGTTAGCCCCTCGTATTGAATAAACAATTGTTCCATATAGTCCATCATCAGCATCAGTAGCCTACAACAGTTACCATAGAGACAAATAATACAACTGTTAAACCATAAGCCAATGATATATACACACAGCCTTATGAAACAACAGTCACTGGTAACAGTTTTATGCAATGCTTCTATGTGCCCTCTGATCATCCTCTAGTACATGTAACTTTTGATTTTTGTTCCATTTTTATGTCCAACAATGTTTGATTTAGATCATATTTCGAGGTGACAATCTTTTGTTTAAGTATTGTATTAAACAGACAGATGGTTCCAAAAATAAATTGAGAAGATACCAAATCTTTGTTATTTAGATGTCACAATCTACTTGTGAACTAGGCCAGTGCTTCTATAAGAGAGTTTCTCTTATACTAAATATGATTTACTTATTACTCTAAACTCATTTATTACTAACTGAACACAACTTCACTGGAGAAATTAGACTGAACCTTACCTCTAAAAGGATCACTTCTGTACGAACTGGAGTATTTTCATTGATTTTAACAAGATATGTATCATTAGGAAAGACAGGAGGGTTATCATTCATATCATTAACTTGAAGAGTCACAGTAGCAGTACTAGATCTTCTTTCTACTGTATCAACTTCTCTAGCTACAACCTATATTACAAAATATAATAATCAATATAACACATATAGTCTTTAGATTGTAACACATAGTGAGATGCTCTGTAAGTATCTTGGCATTAAATGACAGGGTTTCAATGTTTAAATCACTGTATTCTTAATCAACTTTTCCAATATTCAATTTTAACAATAGGATTATAAATCTGTACAATAACAGTTTCCTAATTACATTCTTTAATTTACAACAAACCTCAAATATTATCTCTTTATTTTTCTCATAATCTAGATTCTCCGAATTATTGACTCGTATTAAGATGGTAGATTCAGAATAAACTTCTGCAGGTAGGGGAGAAAAATCATAATATGGTTGACCATTCTGCTCTAGAGACAACACAAAATGACTGTTGGTGCCCTGGAATTAAAATCAATAACATGGCAACATATTACAAATATTAAAACAGAACCTAAAACATGTTGTTACTCCATGACTGAAATGATGAAGTTTGCTAAATACCTCAGTTTAGCTAAATCAAATTGCTGTGTGAGTGTTCTACATAAAACAAATGTGTCAACCAGGAATTCTAGAATTGGCATTGGCCTTTTTTTTTATCTGTACACAGTTATATCCCAATATACAGCTAGGTCACAAAGGTCACTGCCAGAACACTCTGAGTTTGGCAGCTTCTTTGGAGAACACCACCAAACTTTTGTCATTTATCCCACTAACCTCATCTACATCTGAACATCTCATAGTACCAGTTTGAAACTCTATAGGAACACCATTCTGCATGTTCTCTAGAATAGAAGCCTGGTAGTTGCTGGAATCAAAGGCTGGTTGATTATCATTTATATCTTGTACTGTTACAGTAACTAATGTGGTAGCTACAGTATCACCATTATTGACTTGATCTATTGGTACTATTTCACTTGCCTGTAATATAGAAATAGATAGGGTATCCAGGCAAAATATAACGGTTAAATTTAGTCTGTTAATTACACTTTGGTGGGAAATAGAATACTGGGAGCTAACTTGCAATTATTTATTCCATAGCTCTAATATTTATTGAAAAATGCTGTCATGTCACAAACTAAATTATTGTGATTTTTGCGATGAACTGTATGAATAGTAATGGAGTTTCAACAGGGGAAGGGCAATTGTGAGACAATTCATTGACTTCTACTCACATCTTGATTCATTGAAAGGCAACTGACCAAATGAAATGAAATGAATAGAGTTTTACGTCCTCCTTTTATGCACCATGTGGGCGGTTGAAGACGGGCAACGCAATGCAGGGTGCGATGAGAAGAAATTTTGCCAGGACAGCGGCATTAGCCTGCTCTTTTTCGATTTCCAACAGTCGAGGGATCATTAACGTGCACAGCCTGTGGCACACAGAGCCTTGGTTTATTGTCCCATCCAAACGACTAAACACTTTTTCCATGTCAGCCCCTCTTACCTGCATCACCGACAGTGGCCACTGACCAGAGGGATCAACAAGATGCTCTGTACCTACCTCAACATACATAGCGTATACTCCACCAGTATTTCTTACATCTGGTGTATCACGATCTAGAGACGTATTTACTGTTATAACACCAGTTCTCTGATCTATATTAAACTTCTCAAAATCTCCTAAAATATTTTAATGTAATTCTCATCTTATATACAATCTATAATATACATTCTTTAACTTGTCAAAGTATTGGATATTTTTTAATATGAAACCAAGAAATGAGACCATTCATTTTAGGAATAAAAGTTAAAAAATTTCTTCACTTATGCTGTAGTAATGATTTGGCATTAATTATAACTTTGTCTTTTTTTAAAAGTTCAATTGTTTAATTATATCAAACATATTTTTATAACAAAAACTTATTTCCAACTAAATACTAACTGAAAACTTATTCCATCTAAATTATATATTAATTCTCTGAGAAGAGGTGATTATATTAAACTGAAGAAAGAAAGAAGGATATTAATTGTAAGGTTTTCAAAACTGAAAAATTCTATTAAAATAAATGTTAACAATTGATGTCCATATTTGTTTAATTACTAATTTAATTCATATTTTTTATTGGTTACTTTCTATAAATAATTCTTCATTAAATCATTCTCAAAAATTCCAAATTCTTCCATAGACTGGATCAAAAGAATTTTAGGGGACATCAATTCCTAATTATAACAAATCATTGACCAATGAGTTAATATAAATGATGATTTATGTGCATATATTAATGATTATTTCAGGTGTAATTTCACCAAGTACAAACCTCTCCCATAGATATTCTTTTCTGTAAAAAATTTGTGTACATTGAGAAAAAGGTTGTGAAAAGGAAAGATTTGGTGCTCAAAGTGTCAATTTGTTTTCAAAAGACAAACATCAAAAACAGTGTAGATATATTTGGTATTCAACATTTAATCAAAAGTTGTAAAAAAGATCATGAAATACCACAAAAAGAGTTAGAGAAAAACAGACACACAGATTTCAGATGTAATGCCTCTTTTTTGTCTGCACTTTTTCCAAAACATTTAGGCCTACATGCTATAAAACCAAAATGCTTGATTATCTCTTATATCTTAGACATAGTCCTACCATGAACTTACTACAATAAAAGTTTACAATTTCCAAAACATTCAAAAATGCATAAAGGTCGAAGGTTGTGCTCAGAAATAAACCAGAGTAAAATGACAACTGAAAATAGAGTGATATACAAACCTCTGATGAAGTTATAAGTTAAACTATTTGGTACACCACGATCTCCATCTATACCAGTAACTTGTAATATTGACTTTCCCTGTAATATACCAAAATATCATCATTTAACATAATATATACCATACTGAGTATATAACTCTACGCAATAAATAACAACGCCTTACCACAGTTATATGATTACCTCTATTTCTCTCCAAATTAGTGTTCTTAAGAGTGTGTTTTTGAGAATTAGTCACTATGCAGACATCCAAAACACTGATTAAATTTGCACGAGAGAAGAACAATTTCTCCTAACTTACCACAGCAACATCCTCTTCTACCTCCACATTGTAAGGTAAATTAACAAAATAAGGTGGTGTATCCTGAACATCTAACACTGTGACTACAAAATCTACTGGTATACCTTCTAAACCTAGACCATCCTGAAATCAGAAATTATTTCATAATATTTGGAAAATGTAGGAAAACATCACACTATGATTGGCTGACTAATACATTATATCAATTTTTTTAGATTGCTGAGTTTGTACACTAGAGAACCCTCAACCAACCCCGCTTGACCTAAAACAAAGAGTTAGATCCTCAACCAACCCCGCTTGACCTAAAACAAAGAGTTAGATCTATGTTAATTATTCACATTTAGTCATACAAATGAATAATTTCAACTCCAGTAGGGAGAGAACATAGTCTGAGGTAGATCTGTTGTTTGAAGGTCACACAGCTCGAACTATGAGTAACAGGTTCACTTTTAATACTACCATATCACTCTAAAATATTGATGTATTCAACAATATTTTAACAGCAAAAATATTTTGCAGTCATATTTTGCTACGTAGTCTGCAAGGCATTTTATGCAGATCCTTCAGTTGTGACGAGGTTTGTCAACTCAACTTTACCTTAGACAATATGTTTCTTACTATATAATAACAATATTCTATCTTACCTCAGCTCTGATTTTAAACTGATAGAAGTTATGTTTTTCATAATTCAATGGTTTAATAACACTGATATTGCCTGTTACTTGATCAATCTGAAACGTTGTCCTGTAGTCTTCATCAGCTCCCTGAGCATCAGACTGAAAAATAAAGAGATAATGTTCTATTGTGGTTGGAATGAAATTTCTTTAATCTTCAGGGTAATAGAATTTCAGACTGAACATTTTTTTAAGCAACCTTTTCAACTTGCTGAAAGAAGACTAAATTCAGATTTTCAACTATTGTAATCTATATTAGGTTCTTAGGCTGACAACTTACCCCAACTTCCATAGAATACTGTACGGTTCCACCTCTACCATTATCAGGATCTACTGCCAGAACTCCACTAAATATCACAGAATTTGGCACCACACTCTGAAATACAGTCGTTTATAAAAATATAAAAAATAACCAAGGTTTTCCTTTTTCTGGACTAATGAAATAAAATAATAAAATGTGACCAATTTGCGTGAGTCTATAGAAGCAACTTTGCATCATTTACACACGTAACCCACGCAATCAAGAAGTGTACAAAACAGAGGAGGGGAGGCATTGTTACTTATTTAAAAGAGTAAATTTCTATTATTTACCTCATTTACTGTTGCCTTATATGGTAAATTTTCAAACTGAGGTTTGACATCATTAACATCACTTAAAAATAGGGAAATTTGGGCAGATACCTAGAAAACATAAATTATTAAACATAACACATGCTAGAAAATGAATAGGTGAAGGTAATACTATGCATTGCTACAAACTTTGGGGCTAAACTTGATGATGCTTCTGTCATTCTTGGGTAACTTACACCTGCACCTTCAGACTATGCACAGAGGTGGTTGTTGGTTCTTGTGTTCGGTTCCTGTGCACATGCAGGTAGGTATTATGAATACACAGGCCGTACAAGAATCAATTGAGCAGTTACATATATATATGATTTTCTAGGTTCTGGGCCGTCAATGATCACAGACTTGTGTAAAGTGTCTTTACCTCACTCGTTGAATCCGTGACCGTAAAATACAATTTTCTTTCTGGTGGTTCCTAAAAAATAAGATCAATAGTGTTCACTTTGATAACTTGTGTGGCTCATAGTGTGTATGGCCTTTGAGACGCTTCAAGTTAAAGCCTTTTAAAGTCACTCTTTGATCTGTCTGATTTTTGTTTAGAAGTCAATGTTCAGGATCAGGGCATTATTCTATTATCAGACTAATTTAAATAGTTCACTATTCAGAACTCTAAAGTCTCTAAAGATGACTTCAATGACTTACGTAATCTCTATCTAGTTCCTTTTTTAGTATAATATCTACCACTCTAGTGTCAGCACCAACATCACGAGGTTCACTCAGTTCGACCAGTTTTCCTGTTTCCTGGGTATGTGTTTTAAATTGTAACGGACTAGGACCATCCTCATCAATACCAGTTAGATTTCCTATTATAGTCCCTAAAAAATTGAAAAATATTGTTATACATTAATTTCGACTTTAACGGAACACAAACAAAGCTAGAAACAATAATCAAATAAATGTCAGAGACATATCTAAAGTTCAAGTGAATGTAACATTTATAAAGTTCAGGTGAATGTAACATTTATAAAGTTCAGGTGAATGTAACATTATAAAGTTCAGGTGAATGTAACATCTATAAAGTTCAGGTGAATGTAATATTTATAAAGTTCAGGTGAATGTAACATTATAAAGTTCAGGTAAATGGGACACATGTAAAGTTCAGTTGAAAAAGACATATCTAATATTCCGATGAATGGAACATAATATATAAAGTTCGGGTGAATGAGTCACTATCAATAATCTTAGAATTACACAAATGAGATCCATCTGAAGTACACGTAAATAAAACCCACTTGGTATAAGAATAAAGTAGACCAATCTAGGGAACGAATGAATGAGGCAAGTCTAAGGTACAAGTAAACGAAACAAATCTGAGGTATACAAGTACATTAGACCCATCTGAAATGCAACGACATGAGAAACATCTGTAGAAACAAGTAAATAAAACAAATCTGAAGTAAAAATAAATTAGTTCCATCTGTAGGAACAAGTAAATGAGACGCATGTGAGGTAAAAGTAAAATCAGACGCATGTAAGATGCAGGCACATGCAGGTACACGAGACCCATCTGTAGGAACAAGTACATGAGACCCAGCTGAGGTACAAGTAAATGAGACGCATGTAAGATACAGGTACATGCAGGTGCATGGGACCAATCTGTAGGAACAAGTAAATGAAACCAATCTATAGGTACAAGTAAATGAGAACCATCTGAGGTACAAGTAAATGAGACCAATCTGTAGGAATAAGTAAATGAGAACCACCTGTAGGAATAAGTAAATGAGAACCACCTGCAGGAACAAGTAAATGAGAACCATCTGAGGTACAAGTAAATGAGAACCATCTGAGGTACTAGTAAACGAGGCAGACTAGAAACTAGGAACAAAAAGACACATCTGAAACACAGGTACATGTAGGAACAAGCAAATAAGTCCCTTCTGAAGTAAAAGTAAATGAGACCTAAATCTGAATCATTTAAAAGAAACAGTTAGACCTCATGTGGCATTCAAATTAGTAAGACCACGTTTTGTTCTTACTTACCAATTTGGGTATTCTCTGGCCAAATTAAAACATTTTTAATATTCAATCTTGGTGGGTTATTGGCTATCACTGAAATAACAAACCAAAAATAAAATACGCACATAGGAAGCTTATGATTGCAAAAAATCATTGCCACCAAGAATCAACTGGTAGACATGGTCCTTGAAAAAATATGAATGCTTCTGAGTCAAAATGTAACACAGGATCCACGTAAAATACCATAGTAATGGTGTAATTTGTTAAGGGAAAAAATTGTCAACTTCTCGGTAAATCATAGAAGTATGCCTTCCTATAGACATAACATCATGCTACAATTACTAAAGTCGACATCAACTCGATTCCAAATTCTACAAAACGGTAATAAACCAGCATTGCACTTAATTTCCGCAATGGACATAGATGCGTGTTCCACTAGTTCTCACTACAATCTTAATTTATTATAAGTAAAACGAAATGAGTATAACATTACCATACTTACCAATATCTATCACCAGTAAAAATAGTAAAATATAATCTATAAATTTTTGGTTCACTTTCTTTTGCAGATTTTTGTGTCCGGGAGCCATTATTCTGAAAATGCAAACAATTATGAAAATTGAATTTCAAAATTGGTCGTTTTAAGCGCAGCGAAAGGAAGAAAAAATGATAATGGCCTACATGGTCAGTGAATTGAAATTTGTCTGCTATTCAGACTTCAAAAGACAGGTTGAGTGTAATATTTTCTTTACAATATAATTGATCTCAGAGAAATATTAATCGAAATGAAATAAAACACACTATATCCAAACGTTTTCACAAACATCAAAAAATTAGTCAAATAAAAGACAATCTGAAACTTCCAAGAAACCACAAAATTTATTGGCTAAATTATTTCAATTATTGGCACAATGAGATCTAACACTATACAACGGCAGTAGATCATTTTCAATCAGTATTTCTTTAAGAAATACTTACTCACTTATGATACATATATTTCATTAGCTGCTACCAATATTTCGTCAAAATGCTGTAATAGATTTCGGGTTTCGGTCCGGATCGTTAGTACTTGGTTTATTTATTCTAGACTTGTGCGTTAACATCCAAAATTCATGTTTAGGTTAAAACACTCGTATAACAATGACAAGGAAAACTCAACACGAGTTTGAAATTGTATACATCTTGCTATTTAATATGCTTAACTGTTTTCTACTTGGGTGAAAAGGTTTCCTTGAATATTCTTCACCACCTTTTATTGCCTTTTTCTGGTAAGCTACATATGATTATGACACACTCGTCAGTTAATATTATTATACAAAATTATTGACAATCTTTAAGAAATTTAAATAAGGTCATAGACTACTACATAAAATATTATAGAACATTTTGTGAATTTCAGCCATACAGTTTGTGTCTCTTTGAAATAGTATTTTACTACTACACCAGGTCCGCTTTCTATAGAATGTTAAATTGTCAAAATTTGTATGATCTTGGATTTCGGACCGCCAATAACCCATAATTGCATAGGGTACTGTATGGAAAGAGAGGTGGTAAAGTGTTATACACATTGTTTTAACTATCGGAGGTGGGAGGTTTCTATACCTTAAAACTATATTGATTTCTTGTTGAGTTGACATTGTTTATGTTAAACTGTAACATTAACCTTTATTTTTATAACTGATCTGTGACAGATGTTACGAACTTAATAAAATAAATCACCGGAATATTTAAGACACTTAACAAGTAGCAGGGATTGTTTCCTCTAGAGTCTGCTACATTTTGTAATGAATCATTTCAGCGCAAATTAGAGAAAAACTACATAATGAGCAGAGAATCTAACAATCCTGTTGCAAGTATAAATATACAATGAGTTATTCTAAAGAAAGATCCTTATAGGAAAAGTTATTTTGTATCTTTCAGCTTACCAAGTTGCTTTACTATTTAAAACTACTACTTCCTATATTTTCTCCACATGTGCCCGAATATTCCATTCAGTTTAAGAAATATCGCCAAGATGATATATAAGTTATATATACATTGGTTCAAAAATCGTGTTGTACGTTAATAATAATGATTAAATTCTATTTCTATAGCCATTGACTTATGCCATTTGTTCACAAATAGAAAAATTCCCACCATAGACAGTTTAATTTGTTATAAATACAGCAAATCAACTATAAAATTTAAAAACAAATCATCTATATAACTAATATGTTCATAGAAATTGGTTATAAGGTGTCAATTAAAAATCCATTCAGTATAAATGTCACCCATATCTTGTTCACAATCTATTTTTCTGATTGCATCGAGTGGAAAATTGCATTTTGTACACATTGACTTAATACACGTGTAATTGAATTTATAAAGTATCATTACTTCATTTAAATATATTCTTTAAGAGAAATAAATTACATTATATGAAGAGAGTCTTCTCTGTTAAAGGAAAATGATCTTTCAAGACAAATCCAAAGTTTATTCTCAAATTTGTAGTTTCACCGAATCCCAAGCAATCATAAACATTGCACATCTCTAATATGTAACCAGACCCATGTCCACTTTACGATGCAGAACTATGCTCGTATTATTTCCCAAAACTCTAACAAACCAAAACTATAGAAGTACCAATTATAGTCCCTTTAATCAGCTACAGGTGTCTATTATAAGGTATTTCCTCATTCAAAAAATATAATCATGCTCACCCAACCAAATATCAAGACACGTTTTGTAACGCTCTGTGAATTAAAAATATACAGTTTTAAGTGTATTATTTGCATCAAGTTTATCAGTTGTATTCAAGCGAATTAATCAATATTTGTGTGAAAGGTAATATTTGAATGAGAAGGCATAAAGAGTGAGCTAACCAGTAAGACAATTTTCAAATCATTACATAGATTGATAATGTGTACAATACTCATTCAGTTAATCATGTAAGAAATGGCTTCATCAATTTGTTGGTGTAGATGTTGTCCACTAACAATGATACAGCACATATAGAAAGAAAATCAATATGGGTGCCAAATCTCTTGACAGCGAATCAGAAATGCACCTCAAACTTCCCAAAATGAAAAACGATGTAGAAAAAAACATCTGGAATGAGTCTATCAAAGTCCGCCCTCGTACCTTTTTTCATCCGACAGTAGAAAAGAGAAAACCGTGAAAAAACAGCTATAGATTTTTTACATTTTAGATTTTATGATGAACAAGACACTTTTACCAATGTCAATTGATTTTTTTGAGTACATTTTAATTCGTGCCATTTGAAAGAAATCTTTGAAAAAAGTATCTAAAATATTCCTGAAAAGTTTCATGCTATATCATTTTTCTAACGATGAAATGTTAAATTTCTGTTTCAGTGCACACTGAAGAGATTGATATGTCTTTTATTAACGATATCAATATATCCTGTAAAACAGCTAAAACATTTTATGAAATGATTGATACAAGATAATTAACAATACAATATCAGATAAATCAATAAGAATATGGAATTAATAGAACTTCGTTGACCTTCAAATTTCCTACAACATAGAGTTGAAGGTTAGGTTCGAAGGTTAAAGTTCTCAATAAGAGAATTTTTTATCATTACATATTAAATCTGTAGCTTATTTTCAATGTGGTTGTGTTCTGGAAGGAATGTCCATGCACAAGGTCTTGCTGAGGCAAAACAATCCAGAACATAGTCAGTGTTCTCTCAGCAAGTATTAATCTATAAAGATCACACACCACCACCTCCCAAGCTTCCTTCGTCTGTCTACAGGTAATTCTGAGACTAGAAGATTCATTATGGTATTGATAAATGCCAAGGTATGATATTAGTCTAAAAATGAGAAAGTCGTGTCAACAAGATGTCAAGGTATTTGTGAAGCATTATTAACAATAGGCACCTTTGGAAGTACGCTAGTCATAATATTGGTCATCCTGGAAAATTCACACCTTTCAATTTGCTTATTCTTTATTTTGACCCTTACCTGACAACGTTTAATAACTATCTTGGTAGCACGAAGGGAAAGGCTCCGAAAGTTTGAAATACCACTAAGAAATTTGACTTCAATTCTTAATACGCCATAAACGTTCCACGATTGCAATCAATGTATAACGTCCAGCCAAACAACTCTAATGACATTACTGTCACGGCCAATATCAATAATCTGTGTATTGACCACTCCAAATCAATATTGACTGTCATAATCATTTATTAGTTTTTTATAATTAAATAAATAAAATTAGCCTCATAATTGGTTCAAAATTGACGCTTATAGAACAATATAACATAAATGAAGTTATATGAATACAATTAGTACGATGCAAATTGTTCTTTTCTGTGGCAAAATGGACCTGAGATCAATAAAGAAACCCATTGTGACAGAGAAACTAGCATTGTCTGTAGAAAAAAAAATGTGGTACAACTCGGTTTTAATTTCAACCACTGTTTAGAGTAACCATCTATGTAATCCAAATTTTTGGTAGCAACCCATAAAATCCCTGCCTGTATGTAGTAACATCCGCAGTTATGATAACAACCCCTCTTGCTGGTAACATTTGTCTGTGGTAACAACCTCTGTCTGTGGTAACAACTAGACTTGTGGTACTGTCCTGTCAGTAGTAAAAGAAATAGAGCTCAACAGCAAGAATGTTTTTCCACTTCTATTAAATCTGTATATTTATACATTGGCATGGAACATTCGACTGTAAACTTAGTAAATTGCGACATAAATTTGAAATATGATATGAAATATTGATGAAGAACTATCCATTAATTAATCTATTTTCCAATATATCATGTAATTTGATGATAATCTAACCAGGTAATAATATATTGATGAAATTCTATAAGTCTTGTTATTTTATTTTTAATAATCGTGATATTATAATTAGTGAAAATATCGGGTAGAGTATTGATAATCTAGTATTTCAAAGTCAGGCCTTAAATCTATACATTTTAATATAAATGGTTACGTTTACCGCCCCTTAATTACCTGTAAAAAATTTCATTTCGGGTTAGTGACATGACGAAAGATCTATTTAAACGCATTAATAATGCAACAGAATGAAGGGCGCACCACTTTCAAATTATGCATTCTTCTTTAAATATTATTTTAATATTGCACACAATCCATCATTACTTCAATTTCATTTTATTCTATTAACTTCCTATCATTTCTTTAGCTTTTTCTAGTTTTAATTTCCCGTTATATCATTTTATAGAAATGTGTTTAGTATGATATTGGTTCATTTATTAAGGAAGTTCCTCAGTCATATTTATTAATAATTCAAAGTTATCCTTGTATTGATATAAACAATTTTTGTTAGTTTTTTTTGTGGGGCTAATGTTCTGTGCTCCCAGTTGGATCGTTCTTCTTCAGTACTTTCTGGTGCTTTCTTGGTGTTATTATTTTTAGAGGTGTTCTTTAGGCATTGTGCTTCATGTACAAGTAGATGCGACCAACAATGACGTTTTCTAAAAAGGCGCGCATGGATTTCATTCTATAAACTCATCCCTTATTTGCACCTTGAGATGAAACCAGTGGAATATTGTTTAAGAGACTAAGTTAAGATAACTATGGTAACAAGAGATGTTTTAATGAATAGTCTATATATTTAATTATTGATATACTTGTTGCCATGGTAATGTTATGTTATATTGGGTGTGGTCAATACGCCATTATTTTACGTGTGAACAACTACTTATTTAGATTTCTACATAATAACGAAATAAAAACATGTTTTGTGAGAGGCTGATAATTTTTAATCATCACTGCTGTTGTATCTCCTGTAATTTCCTTCGGATCGATGCATTTCACAATTCTTCTCAATGTTATAAAAATATATGTGAAACACAAGATCGAACGCTAAGAACGTGACTCTCAATATAAATATCATGGAAGCAAGAAGGGTATGAGAGAACTGACATAAATAATTGACAGTTGCGAACTTAGAGCCCCGAAACATCCATCAAGATGATGATAAAGCCACAAGTCATAACTGGCAAGTTTGATAGTGTTCAGACGACAGACCATTGTCATAAGAGAGAACCATAACATGGGAAATTTTAGGCTAACGATAAAATTTTGTTTTTGGGACTTGGTTGGTAATAATGTTTATAAATTTAAAATGATGAAAATATATTGATTAGTATATACAGTCAGCCTACAGATATTATTGTTATTCTCTACAATATTAATCATCCAGATAGATTATGTTGTTAAAAAAAGTTGAGTTATATGTATAATAATACAACACAAATACTGTATGAATTTGATTAAAACGCAGACTTCGATTATTCAGCCTACTGAATTTGATGTGTAGTGTAGTTAGTTACCCTCAGAATATTACGAAACTATCTAAACGATTCGTCTAAATTTTGTGAAATTGAATATAACACAAATTTTATAAAATGACATTTAATGATATTGTAAATCGGTCCAAAGAGGAAATATTAAACCAAATTACATAGGACATAAATGTAATACTGATAGAAATATAAAAGGCATGAAAAATATATCAGAAAAATTCGATATCTACACAATGTATAGTCAATTCGTATTAACTTGAACAAAGTCGTTCAAAACTTAATATAGACAGAATCGATCATCAGTTAACAATGAAAATGGTCCGAGTACGAAATCTGAATACTTCC